AACTGCGTGGGAAAGGAACAATGTATAGAGCAGGGCTTCATTAATTTTTCCGGCCGATTTCATCATTTTCATCCGAAGGTTACGGAGAAAAAGACAATTAAGAGGCATTACTTTCGTATTAAGATGGTCCTCGCCGCGCGAAAGGCGATGAGTCGATTCCGGTCCGGGGAACTCTGAGGGGGGGAGTATTCCAGAGGATTTGGATTTAGGATTAGGAGAGCATTTAGGATTTGGTCGGCTCGGGACGTTGTTGCTATGGCAACTGCTGGCAATGATGTTCGTATGTCACGGTTTCGTCGTGTTGCCGGTCCCGTCGCAGTGCTTCCGCGCGAGTCTGCAGCTTTCGGTTCCTGCTCTGAGTTTGTGTTTTGAAATTTGGAGTTCTCGAAATGCCACGAGAAAAGGCGGCGAAGTTTAATTCGACGTGGGAAAAACCGAAGCAACCGCGAATCGACGAGGAGGAGGAGAGACCGAGAAGACGCGAGGGAGATTCGTTCGCGGCGTTCGCGGAGCCTTCCACGAGAGGGCTCCTGTTTCCGATCCCAAAGCTCTCAATTTGACTTCGTGCGCAGCCGATTTCGGAACCGAAAGAGGCGCTCGAGAGAAAGCCACTGCAACATAGACGAAACCGCAGGTTAAGTGATCCAGACGAAAACACAGACGAAAACACAGACGAACACAGACAGACGCATCACCCCCGGCGCCTCCACGCCGACTGCGAGGGCAAGGCCTCCACGTCAAACCGCGTGGATCCTCCTTTCCCGCGCTCTGCTAGTTCCACCGAGCGACGGCTGGCGCTGCCGTCGCGGGGCCTTCCAAGCACGTGAGCGTGGCGTCGGCTCGTCGGGAACTCCCTCGCGTTCGCCCACGAGGTCTCGTTTCCTACGACGGATTCACTCCATATTTGGTATATTTCGTGCCCTCATCAAGTTCCCGAGTGGAACAAGTTTCGTACGACTCTATTCAGCCTCTCTTAGATGTCTCGATGGAGGTACGAAACGTGAAAAAGATGGAGTGATATAGAAGAGCGTGAACGGAAGTTTTTAGAGTGGAACCTCGTGGTCGCATACAGTTGAGGAATGCAGGGAGACCGAGCCATGTTTTTTTGGTGGAGAAGTGCCATACCAAGGTCATTGTGCCAAACTCTCGCGACGATCCAGTCTAGTCTTCTGTAACGGCCAGTTCACCAAGCCAGATGTAAAGGCATGCATGCGGACGGTGGATCCCTCCGGATGCAAACGAAATGCAAATGGTTCGTCATGGGCATGGTAGAAACATGGTCACGGGTAGACGCCGGGCTTTGTCTCATTTTCCTTCCGTTGCCGAAGGCGATGATGGGAGTTTGTCGAAGGGCATATTTTTCTCTTTTGCATGAGAACTCTCACTTTCCCAACGCGTCCTATATCTCAGCAACAGAGCGAAGACGAGACTTCCGCCTCTACTTCAGGGTGTGACTGCTTTTTGAATAATACATTTTTTAGATTCCAAGTTCCGCTTCTAGCCCTTGTAACATGCTTCATTACGCAAGTATTTGCAAACTCAATCTACTTCGCGCATTAGAGCATCATGCATCTCAAGATCCCACTTCGAGCCATGAAGAAAGAAAGAATAGGTGCGGTCCCAGAAGAAGGCAGAGCGCGGATCGGGCATCCCTGGTCGGCGGCCATGTTTCCTCGCATTCCCTCCATTCCTGCGGCGTGCAGAGTGCGTCGTGCTTCCCATGCGAACTTGTCAGGCCTGAACTGGTTTTTGCGTCAGTGTGATAGGTTGGTATGATATTCCTATGAAAATGGCTGTAGGCCTAGATACAGGCTTTCACGTTTGTGATTACGAGAAGTTCTGTATGCCTTGAGCGTGTTAAATACCTACGAAAGCATGGACGGAATTACTTGACGAACTTGCCTCGCATGAGCGTTAGACCTTTCATAACAAGCCATACCGTCATTCCTTTTGCACCAAGGCGTTAGTGTACGAGTTTGTGACTATCGTAGCCTTAGGCCTACTCCAAACCCTAACTCTGTGCATACTGGAAGGGAACTGGTGGACCTTTCAGATGCATGATCGGTGCAGTTACATGCACATCCATGGGGAAATAGTAAGTTTGGATGCTATCAATCCTTTGGTTCTTTTCAATGGCAGAATACCTTTTAATATAAAAATATTTCAAAATTGTTAAGTTTGACACACAAAAGCAAACTTGTTTATTATATTTCATTGCCAACTAATTTCCAACAGTCAGAGATATATGCATATACTGTTCCCATAGTTTTTTTTAAAATGAAAATGACAGTTGTGGCCAGTATTCAATCTGTTTGGAATTACTACAGAACCCTATTTGTTGCACAGAAGTCTACCTCCATGCACCTCTAGAGCGTATAACTCTATAACTCTGGTAGGGCTGTTGTATTTGTCCAAAGTTGCCTTCTTCCTTCCAATTTCATCAGCTGATGGATCCATTGTTGACAACAGAGGATGACAGACTACGCATGGCTCATGTCATGTGTTAGCTGACTTTTCTTCATTATATCTGTCCATAGTTGCACAGAAACATAGGCTCTGGTGCCATCTGCACAGACTACCATATTGCTGTATACACGAAACTGATGAAGTTGTAATAATATTTTGAGGCGAGCCTCTGATTGTAACATGTTGGTTTTGGTGATGGGCAAGTGGAATGGCATGTATATGGGCTGATGCTATACTTTCTTGCTCCCATTTCATTCCTTCAATTCTCAGCTAAGTTGTCATTTATTTAGCCTTGGTTGATATGTTCACCAACTTGTGCTGCCAGTTCCCTTCCAGCATTCACAGCTGATTAATCCATTGGTGACTAATAGAAAGCCAGAATCTTCCAGAATCTCTGTCTAAACTGTCACATGTAGTTACATGTGACAGTTTAGACAGAGATTCTGGCCAAACTTGTGAAATGTCACATCTGGCAATCTCATTTGTTGTAATATCCACTTATCTAATGTTTCTTCATTTCAGCTTTCTGCATTAGCCCTAGTAATGTAGACGGATGATAGAATCCGATTGTAAGGAATTGTCTTTGGTGACCACCCATAGTGACCAGTGGAATGGGAGATTGCCTGGGCAGGTACTGTAATTGTTTTTGGTGTAAATAGACAAATGACCTCTGATTTGTGAAGGAACATCCACTAAAACAGAACTTAAGTGAGGGAACACCATTGGAAGATTCATTTCAGTCCAAGCCCAGTGACAGGTTTTTTTGTGTAATTTTAAAATATCTTAGTTATTTTCCAGACTCCCTGGATCCTTGCCACAGAACTTATTTGAAAAACGCTAGCCTGGCAAAGTTTGGTCTATGCTAGGTTTGACTCTTTGATTTAACTCTTTGGGGTGCCTTCATCTCCTTGTCAGAAAAGCCAGGCGCTTGGTTCATTTTGGAACTCACTTTCTCAGGGGCCATGACTGACTTGACAGTTCGGCTTTGGTGTTGATTTCCTGATTGTAATTTTTTTAATTAGGCCAATACCATCAAACCTAGGCAAAACTGGGAATTCCGCAGCAGTTTTACATCCGACCGTTTTGTTCGGGTATTCGACGGGCGCTAGCATCTATTATTACTACCCAGGAACGTGTGGGACAAGGCGAAACTCATGCTGGTTTACCGAGATCTCAAATTTCCAGAGGTTCCCCTTCCTCACTAACCAGACTAATACCTCGTCAGCATAAGCGTGCTGTGCTTAGGATTTTTTTTTTAGGGATGAAGTGAAATCGTTCTTCTGCTATCGGTAGCTAATACCTAGTGTATCACCCTCCGAGTGTTGCCTCCAATGGAGTTTGACATCCGTGTGACACCCGACGTTAAAGCGGAAGGATGCCGGTGCGGTTGAGAATTTCTCCGCCTCCCCCCTTCTATCCGGGGGATGGATGCTTGTCGGATCTCTCGTGCGTTGTGGCTGTTTCCCTCGCCGCTTCGTCACTATCCCGCTTCTTTTTTTAAATAGTCGGATGGTGTTTCCACTCGGAGGGCAGGTAGCCCCGGGGGATTCGAGAGATTCGGCTGCCTCTCGGGATAGCGTTTCTCATTGCTCCAGGATATTTGCGTTTTTTTGTGCTTCCGATCGATAGAGGAAGGGGCCCAGACGAAGGCCGAAGGAAAACAAGACAAGACACGTCCGCGCATGCGCACGGTCGTGATGCAAGAAACATGGGAGGGGGCTGCAGCGTGCACGGTGCGCGTAATGTCCGTAGGCGTGAGAGGCACGCCTTTTCAGGCTCGTCCGACGTTGTCCGGCGTCAAAGCGAACTAATGAGAAGATGCGATGGAATAAGTGCGTCAGACGTAGGTCTGTGGACGCGTGGGTAGACTGACGCAAAGCGTAAAATTCGCCGTTAGGCGAAGACTCGACCTCCTGTGATAATTGAACCTTAAGTTTTGCAGATAATCCAGGCATTTAATTTTATTTATTTATTTTAGTAAGAGCTTAATGGGATTTTAAAATTGATATCTTTCTCCGATTTGGGCCAAATCTGACATGCAAAAAAAAGTTCAGTCCATTCAGTTAGCATTTTCTTCACATATGTTATGGGGCTACATAGGAATGCACGACCTTGAAGTCCAAAAAAATTTAATGACGTTTTCCTCATGCCTGAAACATAATTCAAGACAGAAGGGGTTAAGGTCAAATGGTTGGGTATGGTTAGGGTTTGCTTTCCTTATGTGAAGCCGAGATGGAGTCTACGTCAGTCATTAAAAATAAGGCATTATGACGGTATAGTGAGATTTTATATTCGTTCTCCACATATTTAAAGGAAATTCTATACACCAGATGATGTATCGGTATCGATCGAAGCAGATGCTGTAATATTGTAATCATCCAAAGTTTTCCGTCCTTAAGGTCCTTAATTTCACATCAGTTGCTTATACGACGGCTTCCATTATGTTAAGAGGATCACGAAGGAATGGGAACCGACGAGTGGGGCAAAATTCCAGTTTTGTCTCTTATTTCGATCCATCCATAAAGACTAATTGGACCTTTTTATTTTCCAGAGAACGGTGGTTTACAGAACCAAGTACTTGCATTTCATGTCAGGGCTTCCTTTCCAAAAAGAAAAAAAGTTCTGTGCTCCACACCTCTGCAAAGTGTAGGCAAGAGCCTACCGTGCCCTGACGTTGTTCGTCTTCGCGGTCTCGCAGTCGAGGCAGGTGCTGTGTGAAAATAAAAACGGTTGAAAATGGAAAATGGCCTGAATTCCACGAATCGGGTCGGACACAACAACGACTCCCCGAATGCCGTCATATCTCAGCCGTCGTTCGGGAAGAAACCGGGCGAGGACCCGGACTATCAGTTCCACGTCCTCGCCGAGGAGCCCATCAACGACAGCGACGAGTACACGGACTCGGACTCCGACTCGTCCTCGTCCTCCGAGAGCGAGGGCTCCTCGTACGACAGTGACGACGAAGGGGAGGCGGAGGACGGGATCATCCCGCCCGGTGCAGACTTCGCGGATCAGCTGGAGAGGGCGAGCCGGGGCAAGCCCTTCCAGTCGTGGGTCCAGCCCCGCATCACAGAGGAGATCCGCGCGCCCCTCGAGTCGAAGGACCTGAACGGCGTGGCGAACGACACCGTGAAGAAGTCCCCTCCCCCTACCAAGCAGCTCGACATCTCGGATCTCTTGGAGGAGCCCACCTCGAAGAAGCGGAAGCGAGACGACGACGAGGACGGCGACTCATGCAATCTCAAGGAGCTCTGCACCACATTCGCCGTCCCCTATCATGTTGCCAGGCGGACGGCCGTGTCCACAGAAGAGGAAACTTACGTTCTCCACGTGGATGCTAATCTGTAAGTCGAAGGCGTATGAAGTGAAGGTGCATGCCGGCAAGATAACAGTATTGTCGTTGATTTCTGGGCTAGAAACAGGGTGACGTCACTCGATTTGTTCTTTGCAGCGACTCCCCAGATGCACTCATTGCAGCAGGCTTATCTAACCCCTGCATTCATGTGTATAATGCAGAGAGATTGGCCCTCATTGCAAAGCTCAAGGGTCACTCAGATGTCATCACAGGGGTCAAGTAAGTGCTTGGCTTTTTTGTGGTTTCACTCCCTTTCGTTCCCTTGTTGGTTATCGAGGGCCATTTTTTGTGAATTGAAAGGTTAAAGGAAAGTTTGGTCTGTCTGCAAAAAGATTTCCTAGCAATCTCCTGGAGGAAAGGGTGCTAATAGTTGGCTTCTTAAAAGCAAGGGGAAATGCAGATGGATCATTTTTGCTCGTAAACACAAATGTCTTTCTGGATGTAAGGAAAAAAGGTTCATTTGCTTCAAATCATTGCAGTTTAGTAGGTATTTTTGCAGATGAACTAATTTTGCTTTGAACCCTTCAATTATGGAGGTCAATTCCTTGCAAAGTCAGTGAGGAAGTGCAAGAAAAGGGAAAAAAAATTGATGGAAAAAAAGTTGATATTACCTGTGATATGCTTCTGTGATCGGTCCGGGAAATAAATTCCTCCGCTCGATTTGGCAATGTACATTTGGGTATCCCAGCGATGTCCTGTTTGAGATCATGCATTGGAGCACGGTGGCGAAGATTGCATCAAAGCTGCCTGGTTCCATATGAACTCTCCCAGTCAAGTGTGGAGAAGATCCTATCTTCTTACTGACTGGTCAAGTGAAATATCTTCTTGTCTATGTGTTCTCTCCCCCCTGGTCTGCAGGTTCTGTAATACGAGACCTCAGGTCTTACTTACTGGTGGAAGGGAAGGCTCCCTTCGGCTCTGGGATTTACGAACCAAGCCGTACTCCTGTATTCACACATACTCTGGTAATTCCTTCTTGTTTCTTGTATTTCCACCTCCTCCCCTGTTTAGTGTATTCACTGCATGGATGCACATAAAAAAAGAGGGGAAGATTTGGGGGGGAAATGTGAAAAATAGAAGACTTGAAGGTCCCTTCAGTTGGTTCTTATACATTCCTATATGTGCTGTGCTTGGCTATCTGTCTCTCGGCCAGTATGCAAGCCTGCTAGGTGCAGGCTTGCATCTAGCAGCACTTTTTCATGATAAATTCTGGTTTGGGCTCATGCATTCAGCATGATTGAAGGGGAATGTAGGTGATTGGTTGAAGGGGAATGTAGGCTGACAGCACCATAATGGTAGAAAGCTCTGCCATGAATGCTGTTGGACAGGTTGTCATTAATTTCTATAAACTTACCTCTAACTTGGTTCATGATATGGAGTCAAGTTTCTAACATGCCACTTGCACACCAAACATAGTTTGCTCTCGGGTTGAAAATTCTAATGTGAAAATGTCGTGTGGTATGGAAGCAATGAACTGGAGTGGTCATCAAGTGCTGGACAGGTCAGTGGGTGAATCTATCTTTCTGTTGATTGGTCTGACCATAAATGTGGAAAATTAAAACAAGTGATTTGGAGTTAAGCAGGAAGTAAGTATAATGAGCTCTTGGTTTGCTGCGTCCAGGAAACGAAATGACAAGAAACCCCGGTCGCACAAAGCATATCACCTGTTTCGACCTGGACTGCCAGGATCGAATCCTCTGTGCCGGAACTGAGCAGCTGTTTGGTGATGCCTACCTTCTTTTCTGGGATATTCGAAGTACAAGACTCATGGGTGGCTACTGGTATTCTCATGGCGATGATGTTACTCAGGTACTGGTACACTATTTATATATATATTTGTGTTTCACCAGATGGAGTGAAAGATATGGTAGTTTCCCAGGATGTTGTCACTGGTGATAATTTTATGACAGGTGCGTTTTCATCCAAATGAGGGGGACACATTGGCTACTGCATCTGTGGATGGGTTGTTGAATATCTTCGACCTGGAGCAGAATGAAGAAGACGATGCATTGATGCATACACTCAATGCCGACTGCTCACTCGTGAGTTGTGCTCCGACTTGAATGCTGTTATTCTTCTTTGACAAGCATTTGACCATTATGGATTTGCTTACAGCGCACAGTCAACTGGTATGGCCAGTGTGATAGGTGGGGATTCCTGTCCTGTATCACTCACAATGAAGACTTGCAGTTATGGAACCGGGCAGACGTGAACCCTTATGCGTCCTTCTCCCGCATCGACATCAGTACTGAGATGAGGGTGAGTACCCATCTTTTCTCCATCTCCCGTTAGGCAAGAATTCACTGTGCCCCATACAAGCTTTTCTCCCATTCACAGCGGAAGTCTTCCAATTACGTATACCTGGTGGATGTGCACAAGCGCACAAATGACGAGCTGCTCATTCTTTGTGGATCCAGTTACAGAGAAAAGTAAGGACTGCCCACTTGATGCCCTTGGTGAAACTAAAAAAAGTCAGAAAATGAGCTCATTTGTGTGTGTTTTTTTAGCGGATGCCTTCGGCTCCTGAGGGTCCAGAACAATCGACTACGACCCCATGCACTCCTTCCTCAGACCAAATTTGATACTCAGATTGTGCGAGCTAGCCACCTATTTCAGGCTGTGAGCAGATCATTTCCTTTGTCTCATTCCATCTGCTGTCATTTTGTTAGATGCATAAAATTTGTATTTTCTCCCTTCAGAGTGAAGTCCTGTTGACTGCTGGTGAAGAAGGGATTATCAACTTATGGTCTCCTGGTGATCCAGATGAGATCTCCCACGATTCGTCTTTCATCAACGCTGTTTCTCCTAGTAACACTCAGGTACCCCAATTCCCTCATTTAGGGATTTTTTATATTTTCTTCTCACAAGCCAATATTGATTCGGTTTGATGTTCAAGGAGGAGACTGGAGTCGACTTGATTGAGGAGTACAGCAATGGTCAAGCCAGTTCACCAGAATCTGACATGAATGGGACTTGATTGGGATCAACTACCTTTTTCTATTTTCTGTTTTTGTTTTCTCCTCTGTCTCATTTTCCAGGAAATACTTTGTGCCGTAGTCTGGTCTAGTCTGCCGAAATTCCGAGTATTTGTTCGTGGAAGCCTTTGGGAACGAGAGGGCATTAAGTTGAAGGGCACATGTGTGATAAATGATTCTTTGATACCTTGCCACATGATACTTTTCAAAGGGGTAAGTCATGTAAATGACAAGAGTGAAAGTTGTATCAACTACTCCTGACTTGGGCCTGCTACAAAGAAAAAAAAAAAGCTTCAGCATCTGAGATTGGTCGTTTTGATTGGGAGAGTGAGAGTTGAGAAGAAAACAATGGCTGTATCTTGGAAACCTTTCTCAGCACTGAATACCTGACGGTTTACTCTGGAATAAAACTGCAAGTTTGTTGATGTGATGCGGTCCTTTCCTTTCAAATGGAGTGGCGAACAGTGCATGCGCATTTTGAAACTTTTGAGTTGAGCTGTGAAATACCAGTGAATCCACTACATCACCTTAAAAGCGATGTAGTGGAAACATGCGGGAACAGAGTTCTGTTCCCGAATGCAGCTGGTAAAGTTGTTCCTGATTCATTCCTTCTCGCTCCATTCCTTACCTGCTCTATCCTGGTTAATTTATCTCTGGCTCATCCCGAAGGTCAGCTGACAAGGTGGAAGTGCGAAGGAGACATTAATTTTTAGAAGTGCTGCCTCATCCCGTAAAGATTTCCTCTTGTCATGGTGCGATTACCCAGTGACTCGGTTTCGTCCCAGTTAAAACGGGTGAGGACGAGTAGGGATGTAGAATTCTCAGCTTGCAGCGGCGACCAGTCGCAATGTGAAAAGCCTTAAATTATGACTCCAATAGCATTATGTAACAACCTCTGGCGAAATACAATAGTTCAAACAGCCTTCCCCTCAAGCTTGCGAGATTGGCTAAATTTCTCCCCTTTCGTGTAACACCCTCGACAGAACGAGACTCGGGGTAACATTTCTATTCATGAATCACGGCCGGATATCTCGTGTCCGTCGTTGCAACGGTGGCCGCCTTGGGATCTAAAACGAACCTCCCCAGCGGTTCATCCTCGACCTCTTGCCCTCCAACCCCTCGCGGTCTTCTCAGAGACATCGTGAGAACGCGCATGCGCCGTCGATGAGCAGTGAAGATCCTCACGCAGCGGATGGAGGCTGCAGATGCCTTCTGGATCTCGTGCTGGTCCGTCGAAATCCAAGCGCCATGCACCGAACGGCCCAAGGAGCTCCTTGGGGCGACCGATGAAATCGCCACGAGCCTTGTGAGGATGACACCTTGAAGCAGCAAAAAATTTTCCTGAATCACTCCAGTCATTCCTGGATGGCAAAATCGCCGAGGCGCCAGTCATCAGAACATTCCACACGCGTCCAGAAGGTAACAGAGCGCCTCACGTTCACACTGAGTGAGTGCATTCTTGGTCACTTTCCTTATTATTATCATTATTTTCAAGTCGATCTGTGTACGAAGAAGACTAGATCGTAACGAAGTGTGACTTTGTCGCCATTTTGGTCGTTCGGCGAGTGAAGTGACTTCCTGCCGTCGCATCTCCACGTTTTCTTTGTCGGTCTTTCGGACACGGAACCTTACGTCAAGAATCGAATTGCGGTGGTAGAGATGCAGAGCGATTGCGAAACAAAAGGAAGTAAATTATAAAAAAAAAATATTCCGAGCAGGGGCTCGAACGCGAAGTCTGCCAAGTGCGAAACGAGAGCGTAACCTCTCGGCTATGAGCTCCAAAGAGCCGCCGCCTGAGAAAACAGGCTTTTTCAATGCGACGGGGCAGATTGACGAGTCCATTCCATTTCGAGGGGAGGTCGGGAGTCGTAGAGGTGTGTCAAAGTCAAATGAAGGTGAATGAGCCCAGATTCGTGACGTCGCAGGGGGTTCGGCTTGAGAGCGAAAATGTGCTTTTCCCGAACCCGGATAAAAGTGGCCGTTCAAGGTCAAATTCAGTGACGTCATGCCACAGCCGACCTCCCCCCCAAGTCTTGCACTCGGTGGACTCTCCCGCCATCCGACCACCCCTAAGGAGATCCGAGAATGGACTCGTCCTTCTACGACCCTCGTCGAAGCCTCTTCAGTATTTTTTTTTTTAAATTGAATGTCGTCCCATTCTTCTTCCTCGATTCCTTTTTCGTTACCTCACTTCGAAATCGAGTCAACATTAATTGCGATTTCCAGCAATTTTCGAACGATTCGGAATACTTTTGTATCATTGATTTGAACACTACAAATTTCCATTCGAATAGTACTTTTTCTGTTATTTTTCGACTCTGGAAAGTTACCTCCTCCTACGTTCACACATGCACGCTCTTCTGCAATTTTCCCTTCGGTCCGTTTCCTCTTTTTCGACATGCATCACCTGAGACAGGGGGATATATTAATTTATAGACAAGGAATGGTACAAAACCACACTTTATTTCCATCAAATACAGACTGAAAAATGAAAAAAGGAGATGCAGAGCATGCACAAACAGGAACGAGACGTCCCTCCATTCCACAACTCCCTTTTCGCGAACACAAACTGAAAAAGAAACAGAACAATCACCGGGGTCAACTGGCGTTCCCATCAAGGACACCAGCACGCGAGTCACTCGGCCCAAGTAAACCCTTAGACCGTGACGGAGCCTAATTACAATAATTCCTCATTAACCCCTCGAGAAGGAACCGAGAATGAAACCTCACGCACGCTCACACCCCTTCCCCCACCCCCACAGAAAAGCAGAATGCCTGGAACCGAACTGCAAGACCGCGTCAACCTCCTCTCCGAGATCATGCTCGCCTACGCCGGGGTCATGTTCCTCTCCTCCCTCTTCATGAGAGCCCCCTACGGCCGGTACACTTCCACCCGTTACGGGAAACTCACCATCCCCTCCAACCTGGCCTGGTTCATCCAGGAATCATCTTGCTTCTTCACTGCCCTCTACGTGCTACTCACCACCCTTAGGAGAAGCATCCCTTCCGTCAACAAAGTGCTGCTCTTCATGTTCTTTGCTCATTACTTTCAACGGTGAGTCCGTCTGGGTCTTACGAATGAAGCCGAGATCCCGGTCACTCGAGACTGATTTTTTTTTATATATGGAAGGGGATTCGTGTACCCGTACTTGATGAAGAAGAGCCAAGAACACCCATTATTCATCACGTTGAACGCTGTCCTGTTTTGCGTCTATCACGGCTACCTACAGGCCTTCTATCTGGTCGAAGCCGCGACCTATCCGGCTCATCACTTCTACACCCCTCAATTTCTTCTCGGTGAGTGCAAGACCCAAATTCTAAGCATTAACTCTCACCGCTCACGAAACTCGATAAATAAATAAATAAATTCAGGTTCCGCGCTGTTCCTGATCGGGATGGGAACGAACATGCACTCGGACCACCTCCTGAGGAGCCTGCGCGGGTCGGGTGAATCCGGCTACAAGATCCCCAGGGGCGGGATCTTCGAGTACGTCTCCGCCGGGAATTACTTCGGGGAGCTCCTGGAATGGTGGGGATTCGCGCTGGCTTCGTGGTTCAGCCTCCCGGCCCTCTCCTTCGCCGTCTTCGTCGCTCTCTTTCTCATCCCGAGGGGGATGCACCATCACAAGTTCGTCTTCACTTTTCTCTTTCCGATCTCGTATTGAAAATCCGGCCTACTGCGGTCAAAAGCGTTCGTCAAAAGGCTTACATGCGAATGAACTCTGTAATACTCTTCGATATGACGATGAACTTGTGGACGACAGGCAGAAGTCAGGTCTGACTTCTGCCTGGCTTCCTTATATAATAGGTTCGCAGAACGACTCATGAATTTCGTATTTTTCTTTCCAGATTCTACCAGGAAAAGTTCGAAGACTACCCCAAAAACAGAAAGGCCATCATTCCATTCATTTTATGAATCACTGAAGGCAGAGACTTAATTTTCGATCCCCTGATAATTTTTCTCCCTTGAAATTGAGCGAAATAAAAATCGCTTCCGTCTTCTCTCGTGCGAATTCTTTCGAGCATGGAAACAGACAAAACTCACCAAACGCGAAACGCCCTCACGTCTCGTCCGCCCGCTGCTGACTTTGGATCTGGAGCCTCGGAGGTGAGTCAGCTGCTTCATCTGGGAGAGGGCCAGCTCGATCTCGTAGTTCTTGCTCACCAGTCCCACCCAGGTGCTCTCGAGACGCTCGAGTTTCTCTCCCACCTGCGCCTGTTAGTTATCCCTCTTTCAGTTCACCTCTTACATCTTTTTTCTTAAGCCTGAAAGAAAATACGTAACATTCCTTCCTTCCGCCTTCGGTGCATCTCAGAGAGAATGCTCTCCTCGTCACGAAAACAGTAGAAAACTCTTGTCATTCTTCAGCAGAATGTGCTGTTGAAGGATTTTCCCGAAAAATGCAATAGCCTACGTGAACCGAAAGGTCCCATTCCCTAAGATCCTCAATAGTCTCTCCTCACGCCCCAGCAGCCGCTGGTGAGGAGTTGGTGAGGAGTTTGAGGAGGGTGTCGTCGTCGACGCGCCACGACCCGCAGCCCTACTCCCGCATCAGCTCATCGGTCGACCGACATTCCCATCAACCATTCACGAGACATGCTCGCGAGTCACTCGGCCCAACTAAACGATCGAAAAGAACGAGACGGACGAGGCGCAAAACAATATGGACTCATTAACCCCTCCCAGGAATACGAGAAGGAAAGCGAAACGCAAGCTCACTCTCGTTCCCCCATTCCCACAGCATAGCAGAATGCGGGAAGAGAGCCTCAAGATCGCGGATACCAGAAGATACCAGTAATAAGGGGAGAAAAAAAAGGGAACGTAGCAATTTTGAGCCAGCTGTATGAAATGATGGTGGAGAACAAAACAAAGGAGTTCTAGGTTGCACTCTGTAGACTTTAAAAACCACAAGCAGAAAATGAAATAGAGCAAATCAGTGCCAATAGGTGGGTAAACCACTTCAAATCCCTGTTATCACAAAGGGAGACATATCGTCCAGGAATGATATTCTCTTATCGTTCAGATGAATTCCAGGAAGCCCCCTTTACCAGTGACAGGCCATTCAAGTGCTGAAACTAGGAAAAGCACCCGGTCCTGATGACAGTCCCGGCGAGCTCTTCAACCATCTCGCACCGGATCTGCTACATTTGTCGACTGTAATTGCGAATCGCTGGAATAGGATGCTCGTACAAAGGTGATAGAAAAAAAACCCAAGATACAAATAGCCACACGGGCATCCCCTTGTCGTCCAACTTCCACAATATCTTTTGCAACGCTATAGGGAAACGACTCGGGGAGTGGTCGAAAGGGCATCATTTCTCATCCCCCCTTCGATGTGGTTTTAGAGAAGGGGAAAGCACAACAAAACAAACTTCATTTTTGGAAACCCTAGAATCTATGTATTCAAAGCTAGGAAAAGGAACCTTGTTAGTTGTCTACTGTGAATTTTGAAAAAGCATTTTGATGCAGTGGACTTCTTCTGTGGCAAAAGTTAGATCACTGTGGAGTCAGCATCAAATTTCAAAATCTGGTTGGAGCAATGCACTAGGGCACATGATATTGTGTGTGAATCGACCACGAATGGGCCTAGGATGATTTCCATGCAAGAGGTAAAGCAAGGATGTACCACTTCTATTCCTGCTTGATATTAATGACATTCTTAGGGAATTAGCACACTGTGGAGGAATGAGGGAAGAAATGATACTTCTTTCCATTCCAGACTCTGAGGAAAGAGATCCAAGAGGTGAACTGGAAGAGGAAGAACCTACAGATGGAGGTGGGAGAGGAACTCGAGCGCCTCGAAAGCACCTGGGTGGGTCCGGTGAGCAAGAACTACGAGATCGAGCCGGCCCTCTCCCAGATGGAGCGGCAGACTCACCTCCGAGGACTCCAGATCCAAGGGCAACAGCGGGCGGGCGAGACGTGGGGGCGTGTCAGGCTTTGTGAGTTGTGTCTGTTTCTGTGCTCCAAAGTCGGTGTTTGGATACAACGGCGTTAGCACGATAGAGCACGTTGTTTGATGGGACAATATACAACGTCCAAGTGTACCAAATGATATCTGCTCGACTGCAAGAAATGGGATTAAAGAAGTCTCCTGCAGCGGTGCAAAACAAAATGAAACGTCTCAAGAAGTGTTACGAAGAATATCGTGATAAAACCAAAGAAGAAAGTACTGAGCGAGAAGAACGTCATGATGCATGTCAAGCAGAGGACGAGAATGACTGAACAGTCCTCCCCATTCCCGGGAATTTGCTCCCTACGGCTAGGATTAAGACCTTGGCACCCCCTTGGTTTGTGCCTTATCACTTCCATCATTCCCAGTATGCCAACAAGCTGGGTTTTTCTTGTGCCTGAACAAGGTTGAGGAAGGGTGGCTGAGAGATGGCGTCAGTCAATTTGACCTTGAACGGCCACCTTTTTTCTGGGTTCGGAAAAGCTGATTTTCGCTCCCATGGGGGAAAAAATAATTTTTTATGATCATGTAAATGAATGAATGATTTCATGTGCTGCGGGATGAACAAAGCATGGCCTGACTTGGTTTTAATTCTCTCCCGGGCAAGTACAGTCTATTCTCAGCCAAAATTCTCGGATATGGAATCATCCTGACACTTATCGAGGGTAACCATGAGGCGCTTAACTGGATTTGACATCCAGGCGCCACCTCACAGGTGAGAGAATCCGCAGGACTGCCAAATTCTCCTGAAAATGTGCGTTGCATGCATCATTCCAATGAGCTTCTTTGCATTTTTTCACGCAGAAATTTCTCTGATAAATTCATGTTGTCGGATTCCTCCCAATGGCCGCCACGACATCGCAAATACACCGCAGTAGGAGATTCACATCAAGATAATGCATAACATTTCATGCCACCATCTGACATCCCTATCTATTTCTACAATCCCATCTGGAAGAGGCGAAGAGAGAGTAGGAGCCAAACCCTGGACTTTATTATATCAACCTCGTCCTTAGGGCTTGTATGTCATCCGTCTCTCGAAGGACAAACAAGCAGGGACGACGTTGTTGAAACCGGTTCATTCCACGAGGACTGGGATCGTCAGTCGAGCCGTGGCTCCATACCAAGGGACAGTGTGCATTTGCGAGTTACAGTTTGGATTCTATTTTCCCGTACAAAGTCAGCAGAGCGCAGAAAACCTCGTGACAATGAAGAAAATCGCATATTTCAAGACAAGTGGACACACGAATACTTTGGGTGACACGCACCAATGGAGGAATAATTTAAAGACAGGATGAATAAGTTTACATGTTTAACCCTCATCCGGGCAAGCTTTTTTACAACCTATTCCGGGCAAGGTGAGTCTGTCAGACTCACATGTAAAATAAGGCCGTTTGCTACGGTTACGGTATGTATTTCTTTGTATGACAAAGTCAAGAAAGCTAATTTTTCTACGAAAAAAATCATGACAGTAATAGACCGAAATATGTCGTAGTGAGTCCAGCGGACCCACCTTGCCCGGATTAGGGTTAAGAATGTTTCTTTGACATGCCCCATCGAAAATCATTTTAGTTTCGTGAACACGTTTATCCACGACTTAAACACGTTTAAAGGCGGTTTGGGAGCCCTTGCAAGGAGAATGAGTAGCGTGCAAGCTGATGCTCCATTTTCCGTAACAAGTCGGCGACGGAAAGAGGAAACCTTTGGAATTCCACTCCATTGAACCATTCAAGAGGATTGAGTTGACCTCTGATAGTTAGGCAGTTCTGGCAGTCCAGGCGAACCTAGCAGAATCACGTTAAAAATTCCTATCTCTTCATTAGTTTCAATTTCTACCGTCGCTGGATGATGAGAGGCGAGAAAAATGAGGCCCACTCCAGCAAAACAGCATGCTGAATTAGGTCAAAACTAGGAAAAATATTTTTTTTTGTATAATGTTTAGCATGCAGAAAAACAAGTTTCCAATTATGCGGCCCACGAGCCCGCACCCTACAGGCTATGCGGCCCCCATGACCCAAAACTTTGGGCACCCCTGGTCTAGAACACTGACGAGAGGTAACGCTTTCGTTTCACACTCATCAGGCTTTGCATTCGAGTCCCTGCTCGGCATCCATTTTTTAGTGGGCCTCCTTTCCCGAAAGGAAAGAGACAACTTTTGGTCCCGTCCGTGTGCCACACTTTGGTTGTCCGGCGATAGCTAAAAAATATTGGCCTGATCAATGCGAAAATTGGCAAGCGGATAGATATGAAAAAGATCCGCGCTGAGTTCGTTTCGTGGCGAATCTGCACCAAAATTGACATTTTTATGGCACATTTTAGATTTAAAATTGGTCACGGAGGGGACGGCATGAGTACCCGTTCGCCCTTCGGGTTCTTGACCCCAATGCGCATGCGCGATCGACCCCGGCCATAGGCGCGGTGTCGTTTATCAGCAACTAGAGCTGTCAGTTCCCTACCAACCTTCGTGGCGGACGGTTCCAAGCACGCACAACCCTCCATAAAGAGATGGCATTTTGTTCAATTAGGTGACAAAATGCGAGTCTTCTTAAATGAAAGGAAGCCCACTAATGGACTGGGCTTGTCCAACTTGTTTCATTTGTCTTTGGTATTGTAGTATTGGTATTGGTATTCTTACGCTAGGCAATCGGTCTGCATCGCCACCAATGCAATTACCAAAGGTTTTATCCAGGTTTTCTTGTTTTAAGAACCACGCAGGAAACAGGGAAATGCAGCAGGAAGAACTCCAATTTTTATTAACAGATGTCGGAGAGAGAATAACGGCGAAAGACACAGTCACGCTTCGCTACGAACTCGTTTCCTCTGAACAAATTCTGACTGAAATAAATATGCAATTAACCAAAAAAAAATGAAAACACTCACTCAGTGAGAACATGAGACGCACTTTTGCCCTTTGGACGCGTGTAGAATGTTCTGATGACTGCAGGCTCAGAGACTTTTGAAACGATACAAGAAAGACAGGAGTAATTCGGGAATTTTTTTGCTCATCACGGATTCATCTGTCATTACGAAGCTTCTGGCGACTTCACCGGCCGCCTTAATTGTGATGAATATGTGTTCTTGACTCTTCATCAGAGATGAGTTCACAAATGACCTACCAATTAAAAAGAGAAAAATAAGAGATCCTCCAGTCATCAGGATCGAATATCGGCTTAATTTGTAACGTCCCAGACGGACTCACCATTGTAAATAATAGACAAAGAAGAGGAGCAGGACTTTGTTGACGGAAGGGATGCTATTCTTACGGGTAGTGAGGAGCACGTAGAGGTCAGTTAAGAAGCGAGTGGATTCCCGAATGAACCAGGTCAGGTTAGAGCCAATGGTGAGTTTCCCGTAACGGGTGGAAGTGTACCAGCCGTAGGAGGCTCTCATGACTAGCGAGGAGAGGAACATGACCCCAGCCTTGGCAAGCATGATCTCGAGTCTTGCAGCTCAGTTGCCGGTATTCTGCTTTCTTGTGGGTGTGGGGGAAGGGGTGTGGGCGCACGTTTTGCGTTCTTTCTCGGGATTCCAAGAGAGGTTAATGAGATATTATTGTAGGTCATGTACGGGTGCTGTTTCGCTTTCCTTTTGGTATTTCTGCGAGGGGTTAGTGAGGAATCATCTTAATGTCGTGTCCGTCTCGCTCATAGCGATCGTTCTAAGCGAACTAAAAACAATGTTATTCAAATATCCCCCTCTAATAATAAATATCTCCTTGGTTTTCAGCAAAGAGCTCTGAACGTCCAGAGTCTGGAATGGGAAGAAGTATAATTTCTTCCCTCATTTCCCCACAGTGTGCTAATCTCAAGAATGTCATTAATATCAAGCAGGAGTAGAAGTGGTACATCCTTGCTTTACCTCTTGCATGGAAATCATCCTAGGCCCATTCGTGGTCGATTCACACACAATATCATGTGCCCTAGTACATTGCTCCATTCAGATTTTAAAATTTGGTACTGTCTCCACAGTGATCTAACTTTTGCCACAGAAGAAGTCCACTGCATCAAATGCTTTTTCAAAATTCACTGAGGCAACTAACAAGGCTCCTTTTACGATCTTTAGATAGATACTAGGGTTTCCAAAAATGAAGTTTGTTTTGTTGTGCTTCCCCCTTCTCTAAAACCACATCGAAGGGGGGATGAGAAATGATGCCCTTTCAACCACTCCCCGAGTCGTTTCCCTATAGCGTTGCAAAAGATATTGTAGACGCTAGACGACAAGGGGATGCCCCTATGGCTATTTTTATATTGGCGGTTTCCCTTACCTTTGAATATGGGTATAAGCATCCCCCCTATACCAGCGATTCGCAATTACAGTCAGGAAATGTAGCAGATCCGGTGCGAGAAATTTCAAGAGCTCGTCGGGCCAGTCATCAGGACCGGGTGCTTTCCCTAGTTTCAGTACTTGGCCTCTGTCACTTCTTCCTTGGTAAAGGAAGGTTCCTGGAATTCATCTGAACGATAAGATTCCTGAACTATATGTCTCCCTTTGTGATAACAGGGATTTGAAGTGGTTTACCCACCTATTGGCACTGATTTGCTCTATTTCATTTTCTGCTTGTGGTTTTTTAAGTCTACAGAGTGCAACCCAGAACTCATTTGTTTTGTTCTCCACCACCACTTCATATAGCTGGGATTGTGTCGGTCTGTACTGAAACTGGCCTATGACCACGCTCCACTGGATCAAAGATATTCCTATTGTCCTGGTACAACAAAACTTCGATGATTCACTCAATTCAGTATTCCAAAGACATAAAATAGAATTTTTTTTTAATGTGGAGCGGTGGAGAAAGGAATCTGCCATGTTTTCAGAGACGGATGCCAATTAGAGTCACTCAGTCACGATCGTCTATATATATTAGACAAGTGCATTTTTGCGTCTTAAAATTTCTTTCGAATTTTATAGAAATAGACTGAAGAATAAGAGCTGTACTGAGGAGAATATAGACTCTCATGACATAGGTTTTTGAAAGCTGTTTGCGGAAAACCAAGACCATATGTGAGTTGGTAGACGGGGAGGATCTAGATTTGAATAACTGTTTTCAGTTCGCTTAGAACGATCGCTAAGAACGAGAAGGACACGACAATATGATAATTCCTCATTAACCCCTCTTAGAATTCCAAGAAAGAACGCAAAACGCACGCTCACACCCCTTCCCCCACCCCCACAGAAAAGCAGAATGCCGGGTCCCGAGCTGTAAGACCCTCCACCCTCCTCTCCTCCCTTGTCATGAGAGCCCCCTACGGCCGGTACACTTCCACCCGTTACGGGAAATTCATCATCGGCTCCAACCTGGCCTGGTTCAATCCGGGAATCCACTTGCTTCTTCACTGCCCTCTACGTGCTCCTTACCACCCGGAGGAAACGCATCCCTTTGGTCAGCCAAATCCTGCTCTTCGTGTACCTTGCCCATTAATTTTAAATTTTAATGATGAGTCCGTCTGGGTCGTACAAATGAGGCAGACACTCGATCCTGATGACTCGAGAATTTCTTAGTTTTTTCTTTTTAATTGGTAGGGCGTTTGTGAACTCATGACTGATGAAGAAGAGCCAAGAACATTCATTTTCATCACAATTAAGGCGACTGCTGAAGTCGCCAGAAACATCATAATTACAGATGAAATCGTGACGAGCAAAAAATTTCCCGAATTACTCCTGTCTTTCCTGTATCGTTTCAAAAGCCTCTGAGCCTGCAGTCTTCAGAACATTCTACACGCGACCAGAGGGCTAAGCATTCTTGGCTGTTACATTCATTTGCTTTGCGACGGGCCTGATTGGTCTGACAGAGAAACTAAGTTGTGTTGCCGACCCCAGTGTCTCACATTAAAGTTTGGCTGTATTCGCGCTCCTGAGTTTCGTTGGGGTTCACCCCGATTTTAGAGCCTCCTATACGGCTACGGTTACCCCCGGTGTCGGCATCCGGTCTGCAGACTGGAGGGCGGATCTCGCCAGCACCCCAACGTGCCGGATTCAATACTCCGGAAGGGTGATCTGACGAGACAGGCCGCCAAGACCGTCACAGTATCCTACCCAGTCCAGAACTTCTGTGTCCTTGAATATTACTCTCACCTCACACAATCTAGATTCTAGACCCATCTCCTTAGTTCCCAGTTCTTCCGGCTGACTTTGACCGTCACTCGGGGTTCGAGAGGAATCAAATCATCCAGTACCCTTCCGTTGACGTGTTGGTACATCCAACTGCAGAGCACCCCACCGTGGTAGAAAAAATCTTAGCGCACACACAGAGACTTGAATTCCTATTTATGACGTGTGGCCATCCACTTTCAGTCATGAACCAATATGGCTGGTATGGTATCACGTGACAGCGATCAGCCAATAGGAAGCCACAGTTGGCGGCATCCCCACATACAAAAGTTGTCCAGACCTTGTTTATCTAGGGCCTTGCTTAGGACCTTCTCTCCCATTAGCCTTAGGCCCCTCATAACTAATCCGGCCCTGACTCTATCGAGCAAATAACATTGTATCCAAACACCGACTTCGGAGCACAGAAACAGACACAACTCACAAAGCCTGACACGCCCCCCACGTCTTGCCCGCCCGCTGCTGCCCTTGGATCTGGAGTCCTCGGAAGTGAGCCTGCCGCTCCAACTGGGAGAGGGCCGACTCGATCTCGTAGTTCTTGCTCACCAGTCCCACCCAGGTGCTCTCGAGTTCTTCTCCCGTCCTGCATCTGTAGGTTCTTCCCGCTAACAGTTCACCTCTTGGATCTCCTTACTCAGTCTGCAATGAGAATCCGTAACATTCCTCATTCGGTCTTCGGTTCACCTTGAAGAAATAGTCTTTACATCTTGAAACATCACATAAATCTTGCGATTCGAACAGAATGTGCCTGCCACTGCTTAAGCATTCTCCACAAGGAGCAATAGTCACCGCACCCAATCTCCAAACGCAAGGTTCAATTTCCAATTATATCGATTTCCAAAACTTCAAACGCACCTGCAGCTGCTTCTGGGCGCTGGTGAGGAGTTGGAGGAGGGTGTCCTTGTAGACGCGCCACGACTCGCAGCCGTACTCCAGCATCAGCTCCAGGTTGTTGACGTAGTGATATTTCTCGACTCTCGAATGTTACCTACTGTCACGTTCACACCTACACGCTCTTCAGCAGATTTTCTCTTAGGTCCGTTTCATCTTTATAAATTCTCGTCACCTCGAGCCTGTTTTATCTTCTTCGGCATACATCAGCGGAGAAAGGGCATATTAACTTGGAGACAAGGAATGGTACAAAGTCACACTTTATTTCATCAAGTACAGACTGAAAAAAAAAATTAAAAAAAGGAGATGTAGAGCAGTAAGCACGAACTGGAACGAGATGTCCCCCATTCCACAAATCCCTTTCCGCGAACACAAGCTGAAAAAGAAACAGAACAATCACCTGGCGTTCCCATCAAGGACACCAGCACGCGAGTCACTCGGCCCAAGTAAACCCTAAGAACGAGACGGACCCTAATTACAATAATTCCTCATTAACCCCTCGGGAAAGAACCGAGAAGGAAACCTCACGCACGCTCACACCCCTTCCCCCACCCCCACAGAAAAGCAGAATGCCTGGAACCGAACTGCAAGACCGCGTCAACCTCCTCTCCGAGATCATGCTCGCCTACGCCGGGGTCATATTCCTCTCCTCCCTCGTCTTGAGAACCCCCTACTGGAAAATTCACCATCGGTGTGAACCTGGCCTGGTTCATCCAGGAATCACATTGCTTCTTCACTGCCCTCTACGTGCTACTCACCACCCTTAGTAGAAGCATCCCTTCCGTCAACAAGGTCCTGCTCTTCATGTTCTTTGCCCATTGCTTTCAACGGTGAGCCCGTCTGGGTCTTACGAATGAAGCCGAGACGGGATCCCGATCATTCGAGAATTATTATTATTTTATATATATGGAAAGGGCATTTGTGTACCCGTACCTGATCAAGAAGAGCCATGAATACCCATTATTCATCACGTTGACTTTTGTCTGGCTTTCTTATATAATAGGTTCGCATTTCGTATTTCTCTTTTCAGATTCTACCAGGAAAAGTTCGAAGACTACCATAAAAACAGAAAGGCCATCATTCCATTCATTTTTTGAACCCCCAATGAGCTAAGCAATGAGCTTTTGATCCTCCAATATATTCTCCCTAAAATTGAGCGAAATAAATGCCACCTCTTTCCTCTCTTGCGCTAATTCCCTCGAATTCAACACCAACTTCGAGCATGGAAATGAACACAACTCACCAAATGCGACGCGGCCCTCACGTCTCGCCCGCCCGCTGCTGCCCTTGGATCTGGAGTCCTCGGAGGTGAGCCTGCTGCTCCATCTGGGAGAGGGCCAGCTCGATCTCGTAGTTTTTGCTCACCAGTCCCACCCAGGTGCTCTCGAGGCGCTCGAGTTCCTCTCCCACCTGCATCTGTAGGTTCTTCCTCTTCCAGTTCACCTCTTGGATCTCTTTCCTCAGAGTCTGCAATGAGAATCCATAACATTTCTTCATTCTGTCTTCGGTTCATCTTAAACATAATCCTCTTCACATCTTGGGAAGCATCACATAATTCTTGCTATTCAAACAGAATGTGCCTCCCACTGTCGAAGTATTTTCCGTAAGAAGCAATAGTCGACGCGACCTATCTCCACCCGCACGGTCCCATTCCCAAAGACGCTCTGTTCCCAGTCCTCACACGCACCTGCAGCTGCTTCTGGGCGCTGGTGAGGAGTTGGAGGAGGGTGTCGTTGTAGACGCGCCACGACTCGCAGCCGTACTCCAGCATCAGCTCCAGGTTGTAGATGCGAGTCGACTGGTGCTCCAGCTGGGCCTGGGAGTTCTCCACGCACTCCGTCCAAGCCTGGATGTCCGTGAGCTTCCCGGCCGGCGGGGGAGGCAACTCGTAGCGCTTCATACTCAAGATCTCCATCGGCTGACGGTTCCCCAGTCGCTCGAACTCCGCCCGCATCACCTGCGACTGCGCGCAAAGAATACCCGTTCGTTCGTTCGGTTGGAATTTCCTCAGGGTGTCTCCTAAGGCTCGTCCGTTAGGAAACTTATGGAGACACTCTTGGCTCAGCGCAGTTATGATTACGTGAATCGACTTAACACACGATAAAGCGTCCATTATATATTACAAATTATAACACGAGTGCATTTCTATATATAATACTTCTATTTGATTTCATAGACACAATTAGGAGCTGTGAAGGGCTCTGCTGAGGAGAATATACTCTAATGACATAGGTTTGGAGTGATTTTTTTTCATGAAAACCAAAAAGACTCCAAAGTACATGCAATTTGACATAAATTCAATTATTTCTGTTTCAACTTTTACCTTTACTTAAATAGTCAGGCATGACAGCATTTTTCCTAATTATTTTATTATCCGAATTTTCCCTTCTCCTTTAGCATTTTAACTTCAGATCTTAAGAGTTACAATACAAGTTGTCAAACATTCAGTCAGAAGAGTGCTGAGGGCTATCCAAAATCGATAGCAGCATAAAAGTTGAGAGAAATCGAGTCAGTTTACAAAAAGAGATTTTGATACTGGACCCAAGAGGTACTGTGCACATTTGAAAATAGAGAATAATCTCTCGAGGGGTTGCAATGATATATATTTAATTGAAATTTTATGCAAACCTTACCACGAGATAAGCGGTTCATGAATACACAAAAGGTTTTCTTTCTTACTTCAAAGGCATGCAGATTCAATGGGGGAAGGTGTTCGAGGTAGTTCTTTGTCGGCCGGTACCTCCGTGTTTCCTCCTCCACCATCGCTAGGGCCTGGAACAGAATACATCTTCATGAATATTTCACATTAATTACTTCTATCAGGGGGGGAGAAATACAGGAAGTCGAAGGTACCGCTTCACGGACTCCGGGTTCGTCATAACCGTGATCGATGTATGGGAGAGCATCTACCACTACCTCTTGTGTCATTCTTTGTAATCTGGTACCTGAAAAAAAAGGACTAAGCCAAAGGAACCCTCACTTAGGACAAAATATATGCATAAAATAAATGCACAGAATATCACTATTGAGGGATACAGATTTAATACAGTTTTATACAGGAGATTGGGATGCAAGAGGAGGTTATAATTCTCCCTTTCTTCCCTTAGGAAGTTCTTATCCATTCTTCATCATATCAAATTAATGAGAATGGCAAGAACAGCATTAAATAACGTTTATTTTCCTCTTATGGATCCAACATGGATCATTTCTTCCCCTTCTTCTTCTTCTGCTTTGCATCTCCTCCTGGCGAGATGAGGTTCTGAGGATCCACTCCTTGTGCTTGAGCCAGCTGCTTCTTCAGATCCAACAGCTTCCCCACTTCAGCATTGATTTCTTCCTTACCTGCTCCCTTGGCCTTCAATGCTCTCACCATATCTCCCTGCCAGAAAGCACCCAGAATTCAATTACAGGAATCTCCACATCTGTCAAAGAAGCCAAGCCAATAACTGACCTGGTGTGCAACCTGTTTAGTGAGATTCTCCACTAGAGTCAGGTCTCCCATTGGATTGGTCCCAGGTTGATTCGAGTCTTTGGGAGGCGAGGGATCTTTCTTTACCTCGTTACTATCTGCCTTCCCGGCAAACTTTGACTTCAGCTCCTCAATGTGTGGAGTTTCCAGTTTCTGGAACAGGGGACTCACCTGCAACAAATTTAATAAATTTCCATGCTGAAGACTTTTGAGTATATGTCAATAATACCAATGCAGGGATGACTGATGATCCAGACATTTCCAATCTGATGTCCAGGAGGAAGATAGGGTACAAAGGCTCCATGGAGGACATTGCAGTCTGAAGGAACATTCATCTGTTCCTGCATGACTCGGGACGTGTCGGGCAAGAAGGGAGCCAGCAGGACCGAGAGAAGACAGGCCACATTGGCACACACTCCTACGCAGGCTCCTGCCTCTTTCCTGAAAGCAAACCATCACACAATAAATATCATTTGTTATCCTCTAATACATAATTTCCTCTCCACCAACCCACTTTTCGGCAGGTCCTTGCTTCAGAAGGACCCAGGGCTGTCGGGCTTGCATGTGAACGTTGCCGAGGCGAGAGATGTTGAGGACGTGCTTCAAGGCATCTCGCAGTCTCACTTTCTCCATCCAGTCAATGTATTGTGTCAGTTCAACTTGGATATTCCTGATCAATTCCACTTCTGCCTCTGATAGAGGCATCTCAGGTATTCTACCGTCAAAGTTCTTGGTCACGAACATCAGGGCCCTGATGAAAAAAAGTTTATATTTACATGCTCTAAACCTGGAAAATGGCAGAGAAAAAGTAGAGTTAATTTGATTACCAGTACCTGTTAACAAAGTTGCCCAGATTGTTGAGCAGTTCAGAATTGGCCCGGGTCTGGAGGTCAACCCAGGCAAAGGTGGAGTCCTGGGTTTCTGGTCTCACACTGGCCAAGTAAAACCTCCAGGTGTCACTTGGAATCCCCGTGTCTTTTGCATGGTCTCCAAACACACCCACACCTCGACTCTTGCTAAACTTCCCTTCCTCGTAGTTCAAGTATTCTGTGCAGAGCAAGAACGAGGCATCATCACATCCTACAGCTCACACAAAGCAAGCAGCAACCAGGAATGTTATCAGGAATACCAGTGGAAATGAGATGCTTTACTGTGGTCCACACATCCTTTGTACCAAGGAGACAAGATGGGAAAATGACTCCATGGAAGGGAACGTTGTCTTTGGCCATAAACTGATAAAGCTCCACATTCTCAGGGTTTCTCCACCATTTCTCCCAGTGATCAGGGATATAATTTGCCGTGATGGATGGATATCCAATCGGAGCATCATACCAGACATAAAACACCTGCAAAAACAAAGCATTAATGCTTAAAATTTCAGGTTGAATGTTCTTTGACACTGGTGACTGAAGACGGCATGATGGATCAGGCATGTCTAGTCTGTTATTACCTTTGAGGTGAAGTCAGGAAGGGGGACAGGTGTTCCCCACTGAAGATCTCGTGTAATGCAGCGGGGCTTGAGGCCATCCTTGATCCATGATTGCGTGATCATAGCTGCATTGGACGACCAGCCACTGCTCTTCCCTTCGTACCAGCTCCATAATGGTTCACTCAACTGTATCATGTAAGTGCCTCATGATTTCAAGACTCAATGGCATGGAGAATTTTGAAACAAAGGTTCTGGTACTGCAGAAGAGGTGCCAAACTCTTGAAGCAAGTTACCTTGGGAAGGTCAAGGAAGAGATGCTTAGATGTCTTCTTCTGAGGTGGCTTAGAGCAGATTTTGCAACGTGGATTTCTCAATTCAACAGCATTGATCAGCTTCCCACACTTATCGCATTGATCTCCTCGAGCATCCTCAAATGCACAGAGGGGACAAGTTCCCTCAACAAAACGATCTGCCAAGAACCTATAGTAAAAAAAAAAACAACAAAACAGTTGCATATTATGCCAGGGAGACAATGATACATCAGATACAAGCACTTGTCCACTTCATAGATCATGACTTATTGAATATAAGATGTCCCTACAGTCATCCAGTTGGAAGAACTATTAATTGGGACTCAAAAAAGGCTTGAAAAAGGCACCTGCTCAAAGGTATTTGTTTCACAGCATCAACACCCCGCTAAAACTAACTTTGGAAATAATTGAAATAGCCATCTGAACATGATTGACATCTTCACAGGACCCAAAACTTTCACTTGCAGCCATTTCACCTCTGGTGAAATTTCGGTTACATCTACCTGACTTCTTAGTGAAGAAGTCAGGTAGATAACTAAGACGAGTGATGAGGATGCAATTTTAATTGGAGTGCTGTTATAGAGAATGGTTCTCTTGAGACCAAAGCTCTGACTGCTTTTCCCACAGTTTATGTCTCACAATTTGCTTAAGGACATCCAAACAATCCATTCCCCATTGTCATTTTGCCACTGTTAAAGTAGGGGAGACATTGAGGGTAACCCCAAACAGCTAAAACCGGTTTATTAAGAATGAAGATTCCCTATTCTGTTTACATAGAGTAGTATACATAAATGGATATCACATCTTAGTACCTTCTATGGTAAAATACAAATTCAATAAATTATGGTCTGACCTGGAGCAGTTGGAGCAAAACAATTGCTCAACACTGTCCTCAAGAATGTAGCCGTTCTCATGAAGTCTCCAGAAAATTCCCTGGGCAATCCTATAAATAAAAAAAAACAACAAGAACCTCAGTTTCCCTGAAACATTTCCATAATTAGATATATTTAGGTTGTCCTGTAATATTAGGAATAATGACATGACAGAATTTGCCTCACTTGGTCTGGGCTGCAGTGGTTGTGCGGCCAAAGAAATCAAACGAGATGTTGAACCATTTATAAATGTCAGAATGAAGTCGATGAAACTTGTCACAGATCTCCTGAGGAGTGCAGTGCTCCTGCAGGGCCTTTGTCTCTGTTGCTGTTCCATACTCATCCGTACCGCAGACGAACAATGTCGTGTAGCCCCTCAGTCGAGAGTACCTGAATGAGGAAATGCCTGGCATTGCATGTTTGTGGCTTCTCACTGGGATATGATCGAAAAAAAAAAAGAGAAGCATTTGAACCTGGCAAAGATATCTGCTGAAAGGACACAACCAATGATGTTTCCCAGGTGAGGCACATTGTTGACATAAGGGAGTGCTGATGTGATGAGCACATTTCGCTCACCTTCTCCTGGCAAACTGGAAGCAATGGAAAGAATGGACCTGTTCCAAGCCCCAATTCACCAAAATTGTCAGTAGGTAGCAAATGAACAATCCATACATTGGATGAAGTAGTTTTCTTGGTTTGGGCACACTGCCAGGTCCCTTCTGCCATGTCTTCAGAGCTTCTTCTCTCTGCTCTTTCAACTGCATGTTCATCACTCCTTCTTCCAAGTTCTCTACCTGCTTGTGGGGAGCCCCTCATTTGAGTTAATTTCCATAGCACTCAAATCCTGAAAGGATGGGCTACAAAGAACATGGACTCAAATAAATAGGTTCTGACTTGTTGAAGGTTCGGTTGGACGAGTGAGTGCTTGCAACTTCTGACAAACAACTGACGGCATTCAGACGTGGTGCCTGACCAGATTTTCAGGCCTTCCTAAAAACATTTTTTTTTTTAATTGCTAACAACTCAAGTGGAATTCTATCAGAAAAAAAGTAACCTTCATCTGCTACAACAGAAAATCTTACCTGAATGAATGATTTTTGCAGAATTGTGTTAAACCACTTAAGGACACTGGGATAAGACTTGTGGATGATATCATTCCCATCAGCAAGCACTGGATACAGTGTACTCCATGTAATCAAATCAGCATAGCAAAGTCCAATGTCCTTCAATTGAAACACAACCTCTAATGTCAATTTAAATCCATCTTGGCAAGATAAGAAGCAGGTTTTGATTTGAAATGAAACATTGCTGGACCTGAATGAGGACATTTCCTCCTGCAACCCAACTCTCCAAAGCTTTGAGACATTCATCCATTGCAGATGTGAGACTTGGACAGCTCTGGCTCTCCAGAAGAGACTTGACATACTGCTGACATGCAGGCTGCAGGAGAATGGTAATTCACATGGTGCTTTGCATAAGGCACATCTTCCAATTCTACAGGTTTACTGGAGCACTCACTCTGAGAACAGTGAATTCCCAATCAACTGCTTCATCAATGTAGGCTGCCTGCAATGGATCCTTGATCGACTTCCCAGATTTCTCCCAGAGGTAATAGCAAGCAGCATTTGCAGATGATAATGTTTGACCTTGGTTCATCTGAAACTTCAAGGTAGGTTTCTCCTTGCCTATTTCAATTGAAAGGATGCATAAGAAAACAGCAAAGTCTAAGCTGAGCCTGTGAGGAATAGGATCAAAGTCTGGCAGAGTTTTTTTGAGAAAATCTTAGTCACTGGGCAGACCTCTGCATGCATGAATTTCTTGGGTGAGGATACACTGAAAGTGAAAATTATAAACCTGAGGAAATGCAAAACCCCACCAGCTGATTTTAAAACTGGACAATGCAAGTTTTACATTATTATTGGATGCCTTTATTGGGTTATTGGATTCAGCAATAAAGTATGGCTAGCACACTGCCAAGGCTATTAATGGGTTTAGAGTGGGCATAAAGAAAACTTAGAGGATCACTGAAGCATAGACCAAGGTTAGGCTAACATTGGTAAATCTTCAAAGATCACTAAGGCCTATCCTAGGCTAATGGAGCCAGAAACTGCGAATATGCGGAGCTAGACGTACCTGCTTTGCTGCTGGCGGTCGTTTTTGAATCCTTTGGCTTACTCTCCTTGTCATCTGCTTTCCATTGACACTGAAGAGAGGACAGGTTCCCACAGCATCCTGCGGTTATAATGATCTTCAGTGCCTCTGGATCGCTCTTACTTCCTTCCACGAGCATGTCTGATGTGGGCCGAAACCAGAAGCTTGCTCACGAGGAGAGGAGGAATCTACAATTAAACATACCGGAGAGGCTTGAGCAGCTTTCTTATCAGAATCAATCCTAAAAAAGTATATATGTTCATAGGCTATCCTTATTCCCGCATCTATCTATGGTATCAGTCCATTTGAGTTTAATTGAGAAAGAAGACGATATACCAAGCAACCGGTCGAGAAATCACATGAGAATGTGACCGCCACGCATACATGCGTGACTCCATACTAAAAATCAGTGTTGTCAGATGCCCTCCTTGTCCAACGCTAAAACCAAATTTCTGAAGAGCAGGCTAGCCCGAAAAAGCAAATTATTAAATCTAATTTGAAAAACTTCAACTAAAGCTACTACAAGGCCAGAGAACTCTCTCTCCACTCGCTCGAGAACCTCGTTTAGACCCGTACGGTCGTTAGGGGAACCACGAAGTTGGAGCGAGGTAGGTATTTCCAACTCGACAGTAGCAGCAGAAAGAAAACCAGCGGAGTCGCGTAAACCCTAAGTGGGGTTCAGGTTGCTGAGTGACTACCTCACCAGTGGGGTAGTAAATGCGTGGAATGCGTTAATTCGTGTAGTGAGTACCAGCTATATTGGGGGAAGAGACTCGACAACATTTCCTGAATTGTGGGCCATCTACTGCATGTCCCACTTGCCAGCACTGGTTCGCCACCTTCTGGGCCGACATAGGGCCAGCGCACTACCACGTGGGCAATAGCACCACCGTTGGGGGTGAACCATCGGCTGGGAAGGGACCTAATGCCCCCATGCACATCCCATCTCCTAAAGCTTAGCGCTCTAGTGGTTTCAAAAGAATCAACCTGATCACGTGACTCCGCTGTTCTTCGCATCCGACGCGGAACTCTGAAGTATCGAGCGCGACCCCACTAACACTGTATCTTGCCATGCTCAAACTTTGCACTCCACCCTTCTTTATTTCCGTACACTTCTGTATTCCCTTACTTAACTTTAACATTTAATACTTCACTGAATCATTTACTGCAGTCAAAACATCATAATCCCACGCTTTCCTCATATCTGTTCGTAAACTACACAGTAAAACGAGGAAAGAGGGAGGAAACACTCTTGTAAAATCAAGAAGGTCCGTCCTTAATTGCATATGAAGGGTGCAGGGAACTTGGATACCATCTAGTGAAGACTCTTGGTACTGCATCTAAATACGCTGGCTACATTAGCAGGGGCCTGCCACCCACACTAGGTGGCGGGCCATCTTGTGCCGCCTCCGCCAGAAATCCGCCAGTGTGGCGCCTGGACCGCCTAGGGCAAAATACCTTTGTGCTACTTTGGAAGTCAACGTAGGTGCGTTGGATTTTCTCGATAGGCTATTCAAATGTCATAAGTCATAAGGAAAGGGAGTTCTAAGTAGATATTCGCTTCTCGGGAACGCTATCGGATGATGCGTATGGAAAGGATGAATGGACTGCGTCGAGACGGGCATCTCGCGTGGCGCCAGATCCATGATGGAAGCGCGGAAGTCTGTCGCGTCGCTTCTGCGTCGGAAGGGCAGAGGTCGCCGTCAGGCAGGAGGAAGGGTATATAAGGAGACGTCGGGACCGAAGACCTCCTGCTAAGAAAACTGGACGCTCTGCGCGAGAGCAGGGTAACCGCAACGGCGGTCTATGCCCTGGTGGTTGGCCCGAGAACGAACGTCAATGTTTCCTGGATCAGAGCGCTAGTGGCTCTTGAATGAATTCGCACCCGAAGTCTGACACCGTTTCCATTGCGCGTGACTGATCGACATGGCTGGCGGAAGACCATGGAGAGGAGTTGGGAAATCAATGTGAGGATCTCCCTGGGAAGGGGGGTGTGGTACGATTCTTGAATTCAGACAATCGCAAGATGATGCATACTGCGTCGGTTACCTATGCAGCGAGGAATCAGTTTCTTTTTTGTTAATTTACGAACTGCATCATTTTCACGAACTGGAGATCGCCGAATCAAAATGGCAATTCTCATCTATTGCCGAGAACATTTTGGCTCAGCTGCCAGCAAGAATGCGTGGGAGTTGAAGCCAGCTGCAACCCAGCTGGACCCACAGCCTGTTTTCGTCCCTTCAAAACTGAAAGTCACCCCGTTCTAACAGACGCGAAAATTTTCACATTTTCATCAGGGTCGTTGAGCATTTTACTTCATCCGCCTGTTACACATATCGTAAAGCCATAGGCCTAGTGCAAAGCCCTAGGCGAACGCGTGCCTTTCCGGATCCCTGGGAAACCGATGCAACGGAACATCTCCATCCAATCGGCCAAATTCCTCCTGGCACGAAGCCAGAAGCATCCACATTCCACGCGACATTCCGATCCGACGATCCCATTGGTCAGTTCCGCGTAGTTCCGGAGCCAACCACCAGGGCGGGAGGCTTCCCCGGCGTCGCCGCCACAGAGTGCCCAGTCCTCTCGGCATGAGGTCTTCGGGAGCGGGTTCCTGGTGTTAAATTTGGGTGGCGGAGGAATCGAGTGGGAAGGCAGTACTTCCTGACCCTGTCAGAAATGCCTCATGTTTTTGGCGACCCTCTTGTGTTAAGGGCATTCTGGTCGCAGATTTTCAAAAGCGGAGCACTTAAGACACTCGTCGCGAAAAAAAAGGGACTGCGTCAGATGAGACTTTTTTTTGCCTCAATCGTTCGACACCGTGGAATTGATCTTGCCCAGGCACAGGTGTCACACGAGGTTGCGTGTTTCTGCCCCACAAGCGATAAAGAAAAGAAAAAAGTATCGTAAAGGCGAAATTACGACTACGACAGGTTGCAGTCGGCTTCCATCAAAGCGGGGAGAAATGCCATTAAGCGAACGATACACGTATTATACTCGCTGTCACGATCCCTACCGCGAGGAAAACACGAAAGGCTAGACCTTTTTGCACGACCTTGTGTCCTCGACGAGTGCGTCCGCAGTAAGCGGCGGAATTCCTCGCGTCGGGACAGGTGGCCGGCCCTAAGCCGGACCCGGCTCGGACCGGCCACGTCTTCCGGATGGGTTTCTCGCACGAGCGACCGAGATTTCGCACGGGATTTTCCTTCGTGGGAGCATCATAACTAAAAGGCTCATCGCGCCGAGGCCGTCGAGCAAAAGAGAATGCGGAACACTTGGAGTGCAACCACGTGGAGTGCCGGCGAGGAACGCAAATAACGATGGAATTCCCTCTCCTCCCGTCTTCACACGCACCGAGGATGCGATACGTCATCCTCCTGCCTGATAGGCCGGGACGCGAATCCGCGTCTCCAGCGAACGGTGACGAGGGGATTCCGGAAAAGGGCGAACCTTCCCATTCTTGCCGCAGTCGAGTCCGATTTCGACGAATTCGGGGAAATTTTTAGTCCCGTATCCCGATATCCTATTGCTTCGTGAACTAACGTGACGACCGTGGGCGAATAAGTGAACGCTTCCGGATCGAAATTCGTGGATTCCTCCAGAGAAACAACACTTAGAGAATTAATATTTTCCAATAAGTGATTGAATAACGAATACCATGGTTAGAATAACCTTTAACCCCATGAATTCACGAAAAAATTAACGAGAAGTAAGTGCTTTCGGAAACAAATATATCCAGTTTTTAATACAATGGATACCACTATTAGTCCTTGGAGAACTCCAAAGGTTCCGTTAAGTCGTTCCACGACTTCCTTCACACATGTATTGCTGTGAATGAAGCAAGACGAGTTACAGACCGTAGCAGACTACGGGGAATTGCCAATCGATCCGTAGAGGTTCGAGCGGGCCTGTGCTGTCGGCCGGCGGAACAAGCACCGCAGAAAAATCAGAGGGACCGCGGGAACGTCGGACGGACCGCGGGAACGTCGGATGGACCGCGGGAACATCTCCGATGCGCCCGCGGACGATTAGAGCCATCCCAATTACAGAAACCAGCGAGTCGCGATCCGCCAACACCTCTACCATGAGCATACCTGTCCGTATCAGATGGCTTCAAGTTGGATTTACTCGACGCTCTAGGCCTGTTGTGAGAAGGCTGACCATCATTTAAAGGCCTCGTAACATTCGTCCCATCACAACTTTCTTTTTTTTTTTCCCGCAGGCTTTTCTCGATTCCATGTCTTGGGCATGCAAAAAAAAAACTTATTTCAGCTTTGAGGATTCGACGAGGGTTAGGAAAGAACTGGTTCCTTCCAGTGGCGTAGCCAGGTTTTGGTCAATAAGGCTAAGCGGAAAGTTGGGGGGCTAATTGGGGGCTAAGCGGAACGTTGGGGGGGCTAACTTCTTCTGTTCAACTTCTGTGGGTGGGGCGGACGCATTTCGACGGGGGGCTGAAGCCCCCCCCCCCAGCCCCCCCTCGCTACGCCACTGGTTCCTTCATTATTTTCACGCTTCCATTTGAATTTGAAATTATGAAAAAAGTATAACATTGTGCAACGACATTACTGTATTTCAGCAAACAATAAAATCCTCATCGTCAGTCACGCATTCCAAACGTTTCAATGTTACTTGCTGTAATATAAATTGCAAAACTCAACGAACGCGGCTCCCTTTCCTCAAAATATTCTTTTCTCACAGGAAACCAAGTTTAGCTCAGCTTTCCCCTTGGTGTAATCATAATTACAAATCGGTTCAACACACAGAGGCTGTCGAGAAAAAAAAGAAACTCCTACACTTGGAGTGCAACCACGTGGAGTGCCGGCGAGGAACGCAAATAACGATGGAATTCCCTCTCCTCCCGTCTTCACACGCACCGAGGATGCGATACGTCATCCTCCTGTCTGATAGGCCGGGACGCGAATCCGCGTCTCCAGGGAAGAGTGACGAGGGGATTCCGGAAAAGGGCGAACCTTCCCATTCTTGCCGCGTTGGGAATCCGTATCGCATTCGCGTCCGACTTCGATGAATTAAGGGGTCTCCTACCCCAATGTCCGATTGCTTGGTGAAATTACGTGACCAACCGCGACTATGGGCGAATGAATGAAAACTTCCGAATCGAAATAACATTTTTTTCTCACGAACTTCGGAAAATTCCGAAAATATTAACAGAAAAAAAGTTCTTTCAGAAGCAAAATTGTCAGTTTTTAACAATGGATATCGTAATTGGTACTTGGGAGACTCGTGAAGCCGTTTCACGATTTCTTTAACTCGTATACGAGATGGAAACGTGTATCCATTTACACATCCTAGCAGATTACAGGCTATTGCCAATCGATCCGTAGAGTATCGAGTGTGCCTGTGCATTGCGCTGGCGGAACGGGCACCGCGGGAACATCGGAGGCACCGCGGGAACATCGGAGAAACCGCGGGAACATCGGAGAAACCGCGGGAACATCGGAGGCACCGCAGGGAGCATCGGAGACACCGCGGGAACATCAGAGGCATTTCAGGGAACGTCTCCGATGCCCCCGCGGCCGATCCTAAGTACCGAAACTTGCCGAGTCATGACCCGTCGCAGTTTCTACCGAATCTACCGACTGTTACTCGTGTTAGGCTGTTCGTTTCGATTTCGATTAGCAGCGGGTAGATATGAACAAGATACAGGCTGAGTTCGCTTTGTGGTGAGTTTGCACCAAAATTGGCATGTTTATTGCAAATTTTGAAATTTCCCAACGGATGGGAAGCCACGAGTACCTACGAGCCATTCGGGATAAAGATCACAATGCGCATGCGCGTACGACCTAGACTTTGGGCGCGGCGCCGTGTCAACAATCAGAGCTGTCAGTTCCCTGCCGACCTTCGTGGCGGATGGATCCAGGCACGCACAGCCCTCCGTCATCGTTTCATGGGCACCGTTTGCCAAATTTATACCAAATTTAAATGTGAAATGAGGTCTTCGAAGGTCAAGGACCGGGAAGAGATATCATTTTGTTCAATAAGGTGACAAAATGAGGGTATCCTTAACCGAAAGGAAGCCCACTACTGGACCAGGCTTGCCCAACTTGTTTTGTGTGCGCTCATGTATTTCCTCGTGGGGAATGCATTGAGCTTCAGCGTGTACGTAGGGAGGAAAAGGTCAAGAACCCCTGGTTCAGAAGGTTCCATTTCTGATCCTTGACGTCATTCCCCCCCCCAAGGCCACACCAAGTGGGTGGAAGGCGCTATATTTAGAAGTGTGATCAGATTTCCAAGGGATGCACAAAAGGGAGATTTTCTGATGTGTGCAGATTTAAACCTCGTAATACGAAAACTGTTTTCTTCTCCTGGATGAAAGAATGACTAATACCGAACGGCCGGGGAAAAAATATATATAATGAAGTTATTTCGAGCGTCGACTATATGTATTTATTAAAAAAAATACTATGGGAAAGAGGAAGACATGAACATTTTAATATAAAAAAAAGTACATGAAAATAGTTCGTTTATATACTAAAAAAAAAAAAAATGTGCGAAAAAGTTTCGTGAAAAATAGAAACCAGGCCCGAAAATTTCCGAGTTCCTTCTCTTTCTTCTGCTCTAGACATGTGTGCAGGGACGCGACCGACATATCGTAAACACACTATCAGATGCAGGTAATTTACACTGCTGCGGGGATGCAGACGTAGCCATTAATCAAGAAATGATTATATGACGGTCGAAATGGGGAGTTACCGACAAGTGCATTCCACTACGACCCCGGATGTGAATGCGGGCAGAAAGGCCCTTTCTGCATTCACTCCATCCTCTTGCAGCCGTATAAAAAAAAAAAAAAAAAAAAAAAAACATAAAAAAACCAGACCCATTGCACGGGGACACACTCGGGCACGATGATGGATGACTCGCGAGTGCATCGCCCGGCCGAGATTTTTATTCATTCGTTGCAGGTACGAGATGGAAACGGGAACTCAAAACGCGAGGAACTTGAGGGAAGCGACGGTAAGGAACTGATTGTTCTGGCTGGCGATGAGCGTGGAGCCGTGGATGTCGAGACTGAGAAACGGCGACCGATCGCACGCCTCCTCCGGGAGGAGATGGACCTTCTTCATCTTGGAGCCTCCCTCCCCCTCGCTCCCGCTCCCCTTGGACAGCTCCCCCCGGACGTGGAGGTCTGCGAGGTCGGCGTCCCAGGAGCACGTGACGAGGTGATCGGGCGAGTGGGGCTGGAAGCGGAGGTCGGGGATGCCCGCGTCGTGCACCTGAGCGCGCGAGATCACCCCCGCGGGGCTGCGGAGGTCGAGCAGGTCCAGGCTCCCGTCCTCCCGCCCGTCCGCGATCGCGTGTCGCATCGCGGGGTGCACCGCGAGGGACAGCACGCTCGAGATCTTCCGTTCTCGCGGGCCCAGGACCCTCCCGCTGGACGCGTCCATCTCTCGCGTGTCCCACGCCTGGATCTTCCCGCAGTCGTTGGCCACCAAGAACGTGTTCCTGTCCACGAACTCCATCGCGGTGATGGGATGCGCGATGAAATTCTGATTGTAAACGGGCTTCAGAGTGTCCGCGTCCAGAAACCACACGTCTCCGCAACGCGTCCCGACCGCCAGATTGCTCCCCGACGCGGCCAGGCACGTCACGCCCCCGGCCGGCCCTCGCCACGCGGTCGCCCCGTCGTCCTCTTCCCCGAACACGTGCACTTCCCCCGTGGACGCGGCGACCGCGACGTGGGCGGATCCCACCGCTCTCAGGTCCACCACGTCTCCCTTCACCGGACGCGACGCGGCGACCCGGGGTCGACCGTTCAGGGTCCAGAAGGTCACTCCGTTGCCCGGGGGGAGGTCGCCCCGCGATCCCGAGACCCAGCGGAGGTCCGGCGTCGCTTCCGTCTCCGGCGTGAGGAATCGAACTCTGGTCATCGAGCCTCTGACCCAGTGTTGGCTCACCGACCGCTTCTTGGTCCATTTTGACTTTTCCATCCTCGAGTTCTCCATTCTTCGCTGCGGATTCGACAGACCTGAACCGAAAACGGAACGATCACGGCTCACCTTCCCCCCCTACTCATCTCAAATACCCACAACACGTCACACCATCCCAGCGACCACGGAAACCGGGACCCAACGATCGATCTTACCACCCCATATTTAGCGGTTTCCACGGCCAAACGACCCACTCCCCTCTGAACCCGCGGACCGCCCTTTTCGTCCCTGCCACGCTAAACGACCCCCTCCACGCATCCGCCTCGTCCTCAGAGGCTTCTAATACGCATCGTTACCGGCTCCACTAACCTCCCCCGATTCAGGAACTGGTTCCATCGGGTTCCCATCCGTCTCACGCGAATTTCACCCGTCGTCCTCGGAAGTCGTACGCCTACGAGCGGGCTTACACTCACTCGCGCGAGCAACCCCTTCCCGTAGACGACGCACACGAGAAAGTGCTTCCAAGAAACGGGGCACGAAATGGACATTTCATTCATTTTCGCAGGGGATTCTAAAGGAACGCGAACTCCCTTTCGTGCACTCTCGTTGGACCCAAAGAAAAAGAAGAGAATGTGGCTCAACGACGACTGCATTTCGTGCTTGCAAATATCATAATAGCGAGATCGAGACCGAGGTGAATGGCGTCCCAAGTTCAGCGTATGCTCAATTGTTCTCGGTGGACCTTTCGGACACAATTCTTTCTCAAATCGTCGTAGGTCACGAATAAGACAAAGCTCTACTTCGGGGGAAATTCTGGCGCAACAAAATTTCTGACTGTTTTCAGTAATTAGGACACGTTCCACACACGGTCAAGTGCATAACTTTTGAATATAGACGTTCACCCCCAAGTACAATCTGGAGCTAACATAGTTGTTACAGCCCTGACCTCGGCAAGCTAGCTGTACCCTGGCCGTCAAAATCTTGCGTTTCGATCCGTTACACATGCCCCAACAAATCTATTAATACATTTTTCAAGTCTCACCTTCATATTTTAGACTTTTGAACTTAGAAATGAAACCCTCATTCATATTTAATATCTCCGTGGAAACACTAAACGCGAACATCCTGGACGAGTACCAGAGAACACGCCAGCAGCTATGGACTTTCCTACTGCGTTCATTATACTGGTTCCCATAATGACAGCCTCTCTCCCCCTTAGTTTACAGAATTTGTTTCCTTCGAGTCGATACCCCTCAAGCCGCCTGCACTGGAAACAGAACATGTAATTTGAGGGAGCACCCCACACTACCAATCCCAATGCGAGAATTTCACAGGGAATGGAGAGCATTCTAGGAGAATTTAGTCACGAACAGTAAGTCGGAGCGGTAAATGGAAAAACAGATGGGAAAAGGAAAAACCTCTCAGTTTTATTAATACACTAAAAAAAAATCCATTCGCTTTGCATGGATTCAACATGTTCCCACAGGAATGGTCATGACTCATGAGAGGGGGATGGAGACGGGCATTTCCAAAAATAAGGGCGGAAAGGAGAAAGAGAAAAGCCAGCATGAATCCTGGGCAGGTACTGTTCCTATCACGGCCTGCCCCTCTTTTTCACATCTTTAAAAAATAGATACTCTTGACCCTCATCGAGAAAGAAAGACGGAAAAAAACCTGAAAAGAAAACCAGAAGTCGGAACAAAGAACGAGAGACAGCAGGCAGGGCAGCACCGTCAGCATCCAGCTCTGCTCACAGCTAAACCAATCAAATTCAACCATCCTCATTTGTACTTGAGCGGCATGGGGCCCCAATTTCCTTGCCTAAAAGTGAGCATCAAAAAAACAATGCTTTGCACCAGAGGGGGGAGGGAATAGCAGACCATAAATGTCTTTAGATTTGTTTCACTTGTAGCCTCTTATATACTCCTTGGTATATACCAGACTGAGGTGGCATTGGGGCCCCAAGCGAATGAAGAGAGGTCTGCAGAGGCAAGAAAAAAGACAGAGCGAGGTCATGTGCCATCGTCGCGGCGATCGCGGTCCGACGAGAACCCCGGACCGGGGACGACACGGTAGCGATTGTACGTCACATACGGCGGCCGCTTCACGTCGTTGTCCGTAAACACTTCCGTTCTATTTGTACGGAGGCTGTCCCGTTTCCCCAGCAGCCACTCCAAAGTGGACTTCTGCTGGCTGTCACTCACATGCTCCGAAGTCCACTTTGCATGCCAATCACGAAACCGAGAATTCAGTCTGTGCGACACTGGCTCATGACTCTGAAGAAAAAAATTTAAAAGACAGTTAAAAACAACTTCTCGTGGAGTTTTTCAATAAACAAAGAAACAGGGACAGACCTGGTGAGCCCTCGACAGTGCCTTCTCGTGGTACAAATGAAATGCAGAATTGCCAACGAACACCATCCGCCGATTATTGAGCTGGAATCGGCACTGGAGGTTGTCTTCAACGATCGGCCCTCGCTCCTTCTCGGCTTCGTCAGTCTCCTTCATCCGATCCTTCAGGGGTTCCAGGAGGAGGTCTAAATACTCCTTCCCCTCCTCCAGTTCTACAGTAGGCCGTAACCTGCTTTTCATGTACTGGGGTCAGTAAAGGCAGGAACCAGAATTTCCACTCAATGAAGAAAAGGACAGGAATAAAATCCTGGTACCTGTTGTTGCCATCTTGAGGGTGATCTCGAGCGATGAACCGAATTCGATCCCTTGGACACCTGCTCAGGTTTCTTGGTAAAAACACTGGCTTGCGCAGGAGAACCTCCCTCAATTTATCACTAATATTGCCAGAATATTTGACTTTGTTGTTATCTTCAGATTCCTCTCTTCCTTGCCTCAGGTATTGGTCCACATACTCAGACCACTTCCCTGCTTCATGGATGTTGCTATCCCGCTCACCATCACTCTCTTCACGTGTATCAGTGTCCAACAGCTCAATGCTCATCTTGCAATCATTCTTGAACTATAAGACAAAGTATAATCTTGTCTAATAAACTGTCATGAAACTACTTAAGATGGAAGTTAAGAGTGTACTTACAATAATGATCTTGAAACAGTTCTCATCAGGCAGAAGCATTTCCCCTTTCCTTTGATATGCATATTCCTTTGCATATCTCATGTGAGCAGTATCCACACGACCACCTGTGGCGTTTTTGCTTGCTTGGGTTTGGTACAGTGTCCAGCACTTGGTACTCACCTCATCTGTCACAATGTTTTGTAACTAAGGGAAGATGAGACCAAATTCAAGATGCAAAAAAAGAGGAAATATTAATAAAAGGACCAGGTGAGGATACTGCTTACCTGTCGAACTGCATTAGAAATGAGCTTGTCAAGGGTAAAGGCCACATATGCATGAATGCCAAACATTTCCCTCAGGGTGTCCTCATAAGCACTTGAGTCCAGATTCCCATCCAGATAATTCTTCACCATGTCCAGAAAGGCTGGATAATAGTCTTCAATCTCAATCTCTCCTGAGGCAAAAATAATGCAAAAAAAGGTATGAAAAAACTGTGCAGCTGCATTTGATACCACTTGAAGACATGGAATTTCAAGCGTACTCTTGGGTCTGAGCCTCAGTGCAACAGCAACTGAGGGAGATTGCTGTTTCTTCTCCTGTTTCTCTTCTGCAGCCAAACCTGCTGCAGCATGGAGGATTTTGGCTAATCGAGTGCAGAGCAGGTGATGAAGCCTCAGGAACACATACCAGGGATTATTGCCCAGCAACATACTGTACTCCTCATCCTAGAGAATCAATTACCATAGACTTGCATGCAGAGAAGACTCCAGAAGATAATGGATTTTAACAATACTCACCGGATTGTTGGAATAGGCCATGGCTGATTCACTCGATGGAGGGAAGTCTGGGTCAGATTCAGGAGACTTACAGTCCTGCTCTTTTTTCCCTTCTTTCTTGGAATCCTTGCTCCTGACATGTTCTGTTTCTTCAGTCTGATTCCAATTGCGTCTCTTTTCATTAGGCTCCTTCTCTACTAGTTTCTCACTCTCTTTGCAATTCCCTCCTTCCCCATCTTCTGTTAAAAGGGCAGAGATTACTCCAGCAGAAAGTACACAATGGAGAAAATATAAAATGTGAGTGCCAACAGACCTTCTTCATCCTCATCATCTGAGAGCTCCTGTCGTGGCATGTGAAAGAGATCAGGGACAGTGTGGCGGACGATGGTCTTTATACGACGCTTGTCATCCTTGGTGATTCCAGGTTGTCGCCTGGCATGATGAATCATGAGATTCCCTGCATCGATGAGCACGGATCGATCTGGATACTCCAAAGTGAGGTGTGGTCCACTTGGTGCATCCATCCCATTATCTTCTGCTTGCTCCGTTCGCTCGTCATACAGAGTCTCGATCTCATTCAGAAGACTCTTACTGCGAAGGTACTTCACATCAGTCTGCTTGAAGTTGATACCTTGGTGATCCAGACTTTTGAGGAAGTACTTTTCATTCTGTTCATTCCATATCTTGTTGAAACCCTGTGTGAATTAAAGGACAACCATGCAGTAACACATAGATGATGCAAGAAGGCAAACACTCAAACAGCTATTTCAAACCTTCTGTGCCTCGCGCCATTCCTCTTGCTTCATTTTTAGCCTCCTCAGGACCACTGGGATGGCAACAGCTGGATTTTTCTTTAGCCCTTCAATGATTTCAGGAGATCGCTCCCCATAGATCCTGCCATTCAGACAGACAAGTCAACACTCATTCCCGTTCAGTCAGCATATATAGTCACACTAAGGACTACAAACCTCTTGATTGCACGCTGATTGTGGACTGTGGATCTGCCACCAAGAGTATCATCGAGACGAAACCTGGCCTGTTCTTCAGGTGACATATGGGAGATCTTTTTCATCACTCCTTCCAAGGACTTGATTGCAGAAGCATTAAGCTCCAGGACTGTGTCCAGCTGTCAACATGAAATCCAAAAATTGAGTGCCTCAAAAATAAATACTTCCTGGCCACATGTGCTACAGATAAATCTCTTCTACTTCGAAGAGCATGGAAGACATTTATAACAAAAGATGCCCCTAAAGCAGAATTCAAGATATAGACTGCTACGATTCTGAATGTTGCTCAAAGCTGATTATGACATAACAGGAGAAAGAAAAAATATTACTCAATAATATAATACATGTTCAGCTATGTGCTCAATGTGCTACAGTGCTGCAACTGATGGGTGGCTTCCAACACCATCTCTTAACACTTTTGCCTGTCCAGGGGGAGGAAGGGGAGATGAATGCCTACTTTCTGTAGAGATGATATGGAAATTTCATGGTGCACAGTGCAGAGACCCATCAAGGTCCAACCATGCCAAAGTGGTGGCCAAAACTCATGGCTTCAAGTGCAATGGTACATACCTTAATGGGACAAATGGTGCTCTGATGCCAGAGCCAAACAGTCAATCTTGTTCATCAGCAATCTGACACCCCCATTAACAGGAACCAAAGGTCACAAACCCCATTAAATATTTCTCTTTCCCATATCCAAGTAGAACAGAGGCAGGGAAAAAAAGCCCTCCTCTTCCACCTCACACTTTTCCTGAAATTGAGTATTGGGGAGAGAGCTCTTTATGCAAGCATTCTCCCACCCAAGCCAGCTATTTCCATCTCCCCCAGGGAGTCTCGTCCATCCCCATCGGTGCCTCAACAAATTTCTCTCTCTACTTACTTCTATAGTTGGCATGCATCATGGCAGGAAACAAAAGTATTTTCAATATGATCTACCAATGAAAGATGAAGTTTTCAAAGCATATAAAATGTGATATTGCTACAATGTGACTGACTCATAGAACTAAGCTCATGTCTGTAATTTGCATGGGGGAACCTCAAGGTATTTCACAAATGAATGACCACGATTATTTGGTGGTGTCAGGTTTCAGATCTGGACAAATTTGCTTGACCCCTGAAGTCCAGAGAAATAGAAGTTGACTGTACGTTTTATAAAACCACTTTTATAGAGCTCTTAGGGCATTCTGACACAGAACTGCATCACACAAATCAAGGACAGAAAGCTTTGGGCTAATAAGATAACCTGAAAGAAGCTCACCTCAAAGCGTTCATCCTCACATCTGTAGATCTGTTCTTCAAACTGGGTCTTGCGAGAACTGACAAATGTTGAATCCTCAGACCAGGATGGGAATGAGACCCATGTCATATTGAGCACCTCCTTGCTCAATTCTGTCTCACCAGTGCATCTTGGTGGGACAAAGGTCTTAGGAAGAGCACAATAACTTGCCCCCAGTCGTTTGCATGTTGAATAATCTGGAAAAAAAAAAATTCAACCACTCAATCATTGAAGAACTTGGTTTAAAAAAATTATACCCCATATAGGATAATCTGTTTACCTATTTCCATGGCTCGTGCCAAGCCAACTTTGTCGGACCTCTCTCTCAGAGCTGAATTGGGAATAGGTTCAATGACAGCATGTGCACCATTCTTGAACCCAATGAAGTCTTTGAACCATCGATAGAGATCAGGGAACCGAGCCAAGAAGGGTTGAACAATTTGTAGCAGTTCTCCTCTTGAGATCACTTCTTGGTTAAATAGCAGGAGGCAACGAAGAAAATTCTCATACACCACACCAGTCCCCAAGGCCTTATGAACCTATTTCAATAATGCAAGAGCAACTCGTCAAGCATCACTGTCAAACAAATTCATAAATCAGGAAAGGCATATGTTTGCAAGGGCTGTACCGATATGAAAATTTGGTCAATAATATTCCTGATGTAAGTTCTGGAGAGATACCAATATTAACACAGGCCATTATGTTTGTGGACTAGATAGGTCATTCTAGCAATAGAACAATCTCAAGATGGTATTAACCTGAATTCTGTGCTCCAGTTTTACATAATGAATATAAAGTGGAAAACCATAAGTGGGTGGTTACTTGCAATCTTGTGCTTCTCCAATATAACAAAAAAGTACAACATACATGGTTCCAAATTCCAAGAAAATTAAATGTAAGTATCAGATTCTCTTTTTACAAAAGGAGTCCTATGGTAAGGAAAACACATTAATTTCGGCTAGGGCATTCATTAGTATCTATGCAACAGTACTGCTTTAGAATTCTACATGACTGTAATTGGAAGCGGAAGAACGCATAGATTTGAGCTAGGATAGGCCAGATGGAACTTGCCTTATAGGCAAAGCTCCAACTAGATTCAGAGCAGGCCCACCATGCTGCACATGCAAGGGCTGCATCTATAGACCTGGGCTTAACCCTTTTAGTGCCAGTCAATTAGATCACTGTTACAAATTTCATTTCAAAATACCAAAGAGCTTGCACTAGATGGATCAAAGTGAAAGGATAAACATGATCAAGCACTCTGGTGAAATACATTTCTTAATCCTATTATTGCCAGCTCTTTGACTCTGGCACTACAAGGGTCAATGTTAACATCTGACCTCTGCACACTTATTGGGAACAGGCCTGATCGATATTCAAAGTGTATTTTTTTTTAATCAATGACAACAGCATATTGTAGGATTGAATGGGGATGACACAGCCTCTCACACATGCTCCATCAGGAGCCAGTCAACAGGAAGAAGTTGTTCACCTAATGGCACCACACTTCCAGCCATACATAATTAATCCAAGTTTTGAGTTCCATTCCTCAAACTAGATGCAGAGAGTACCTATAACTGTCTACTTGTGCTTCCCTGGCCTGCTACAGAATTCCAGGAAATGAATTCAATGCATGTTGAACATAAAAAAAAGAAAGTTATAGTTTTTGTAAGTAAAAGGGTCCTAAGAATTGGTTTTGCTGGTTTAAGGAAAAACAAATGAATTGGCCTGTGTCTGGTCTAAAAATAAGTAAGTCCTAATATTTACTACTCCTGTTCAACTACCCCCTCCCAATTGATCTTAAACTCATGTGCTCCGACTCATCACAATCAACTTTCATTCAAGAGGAATGCCCACCTTGTCGAAGAATGCAAATTCATTGAGGGTTCCATACTTGGCAGCCTCAGCCAATGAGACATCCCTAATACTTGTCATGCGAGGCTTCTTTGCAGGTGGTTGTCCCTGTCCTGGCAACTGTGGCTGTCCAGGGACAGTACCCAACAGACCAGGAGGTCTCTTCACAGGTGGGTAAGGAGGAATGGAGGCATTGGGCATGGGGGCTTTGGTTGCAGGGGCTGGTGGAACAGGTGGGATGACCTGATTGTGGGGATGGAATGTACTCTGAGAGTTGGGAAGGGTTTTCACAGGAGGCCGCTTGGATGCCGACACGTGATCATTAGATGTGACCTTTGATGACACCGGCTGCTGAGAAACAGTAAATTGAACGAATGAGAAACTCAGCAGGTCTAAAGTTATTTCAGCGAGAAAAAAAAAATACATGAAAAACAAGCTCACCTTTTTCACCTTGAAAGCAGTCCATGCCTCACCCTGCAATAGTAAATAATATACCACTTTTAGCAAGATGGAAAGTAACAAGGATTTCAGGAAATGGGACCATGAGCTGATACTAACAAACATTGATCCATTAGTGGCATCAGGCAAGAATTGACCAAACTCTTGCAGCAAATCCTCTTGGTTCTCAAAGAGTCTAGCAACCTTGGTGTAAACTTCAGCCTCACTGAGGCTCTTCCCAAAGCCAGGGCCTAGTCCACCATCTTTCATGCTTCGTTGATGCTGCTGCTCCTTCTGGTAGGTATGCAATATCTCCAAAAATTGCTTGTACACATTAGGCTGCCCTTGAAATCGATTCTATAAAGTCAAAAGAGTCACATCTCAATTTTAGCTCTTTTAGCAAAATGATCTGGGGCTACTTAATAAAACCAGCCTCATCACTCACTTTGATTTTGTTCACATAATTAATGGCATGGTTGAATTCGGGCTGATTTTGAGGTGCTGCAGGGGGTGGTGCAACAAGTGACTGAGGAGATCTTTGCTGCACAATTGGTTCAGCTGGCTGAGAAGGTGGAAGAGCAGGTACTGTTGGAACGTGGTGAGATGCTGGAGGACCAGAAATGGTAGGAGGAGGAACATGTGGAGGAGGTGCAGGGAGGTAGCTCGGTTCTCCCACGAGATGGGGGGAACTCTCACGTGATGTCCGAGGTGTTGTGCTCGTGCTAAAATGATCAAAGAAGAGGCTTCCATATTATGATACTGACAATTGATCAGAACTTCACCCTACAAAAACTCTTAGCTGTCTATTGAAATTAACTAATATGGGAAGTTGGTAGCCAAAAACAAAATAGAACCTGCATGTTATCATTTGTGATAGAAACTTGAAGACAATAACCACATCCTTACATGTGAGCAGGAAGAGGGGCTCCTTGAGGTTGATGAGGTGGTGTTTTACTCTGTGGTACATTTGTAGGGGTTACCAATGGTGGTATGAGAGGTCTGGGAGGAATGGCAGTTGGGGCAACTGGTGCTCCTATTGGAGGTCCTGAGGGTGCAGGATGAATAGATGGCTGTGGTGGCAGCGTAAGAGGAGCCGGACTGCTGCTGTGATGCGTGTGAATCCCTTGAGGAGTGTGCACCACTGTTGTCGTGTGTAGGGTTGCATTCCCCGATGATGGGCACGTGACCTGGAAAACACCATTCCACAGTGCTTCAAAATGTGAAAAATGGTCAGCAAACCAATGCATGGCTGGGTGCACCCAGCAGAGTTCAGCCACTGAGGATTACAAACAACATTTGAGAAACAGAAGAGTTACCATGAAGGTATTCCTCAAGGAAAAACCTCAGGATTCACCAGGCAAACAGTAAAGCAAGACTGTGTGTGCTCTTAAGCCTCGTCCTCATTTATTCATGTTGTCTGGAGTAACACAGAATACTGCATAGAGGAATTCGAGACAAAGCCCTGTGTTTACCCTTCAATTACATGTCAGCTACATTAGCACCCAACTGTCAGTTTTACTAAGTGCAGAGGAGTAATGTCATTCCTGATCCTGTCCCTGACTTTCAGCATGGTCAATTTTTTGGTCTCGAATTGGGCCCCACCACACTGGTTTAACCACAGGCTATAAATTCATCAGCTTGTTGTCTACATCTACAATTTTCAGTCTACCCTTTCACCAAACACAAGGCTGAGAACTTCCTCCGATTACATCAAACTTCTCAGGAAAAATGTATATACTCCTCAACTAAATTCATCTCTTCCTGATTCCAATAAGTGGCTTCTTCCACTCACAATTATTAGTCAAAAGCTGAAGTTGCTACTGCAATACTAGTAATCCCCCTCCCTTCATGAATAAAAAAAAAGAACCTCACCTGGCCATTGGTCTGGACCTCAATCTTATAGCCAGGAGGGAGGAAGGTGTTGAACCCAACAATCAGCTCTGGGTGCCCTTTGAAGAGATTTGACACCCTCTGGATGACTCCTGGGGTATTAATGCTAGTGAAAAAATAAACAAAAACCAGGTCATTTACCTCCTAGGAGAAGAGATTAAGCTGGAAAAGAGAAAGGATGACTCACCTTTGAGACTTGAACTCCTTCATGATGTCAAGGAAGTCATTATAGACGTGAGGTTGATTACCGAACTTGAATTTCACTTGGTCCAAATAGGAAAGGGCATCTTCCACTTTCAGCCTCTGGAACTGCTGTTGCTGTTGCTGAGACGTAGGGAGAGGCGGACCTGACGGGGGCGACGGACTTCCCAAGGGTCCGTGAACCTACAAAACCACATGCACCACGGGTGTGAAGCCAATTCCCTTCTTAAGCGACACAGAACCGACAGGAACGAGGGGGGAAACTAACCCTTTGCCGTGCGGGTGGAGCTGGAGGCGACGGGACTGGGTTGGAACGGGCAGGAGTAGGGATGACCTTCGTCGGCGCTCCCGGCACGGGCGCCACAGCATGGCCATGGAGAACCCCTGGCCCCGGCCCAGGAACAGGATGAATTCCAGGTCCCATCGAAGGAGGCATCACATTCTACAAGAGACCCACCGTAATTAGAAATGACATCCCGAGACCGCACGCGTGCAGCGACGACCACCACACTCACAGGCGGATGCTGAGACGGCGGAATGGGCGGATATCCCGCTTGAATGGGGTACTGCTGGACACTGGCTTGCATAGGAGCTGGGGGAGGCGGCGTGCACACGACCGTACCGGTATTGCAAGCAGTCACTCCACTGTTGGTGATGGTGCTACCAGAGTCCTTACCGGGGATCGACGCAACCAAAGGGGCAGGGGCGGTCGTAATCACCGGCTTCAATGCAAATGCTTGATTCGTCCCTGGAGCTGCCAAGAGAGTATGCAACCCCATCAAACATTCCGAACTGCACTTTGCTTCACCGCGGAGACGAACCGTCGCAATTCACAAGGAGAGTCAGTTAAGAGGTGTCAAAGATTCTCTTACATCTACAATATGTACGGAGCAGCCAAAATTGCTGTCCTTCAAGACTCATTTAGAATCATCACTCTCTCCCTTGCAGACATGCACCGACGGTCACGACCAGTCCCTTTGCCCAGAGAAATGCTCCACAATCTGAGGCCTCTAACATCTACTTCATTAGTGCACACGTGCTTCCATTTTTATGCACTTCGGAAGTGCTCAGTACGTTCTCCCTGCAAAGGCATGTCAAGGCCATCGTTGGCGTAAAAGAAATCTTAGACAAACAAGCGTTGGCACGTTTTTCATTTCAGGATCGTTTAGCCTTGATGCAAAAATTGACGAGGCATATTCGTCCACCTTCGAACCCAGACATAATCTGGCCCTCAAGAAGGCGGATAGAGAGAGAAAAAAAAGTACAACAATGTGAGCGAAAGGGCCAAAGAAAACTACTAATGGCTAAAGCGTTCCTTTCGATTCAAACGCATAATTTCAACCTGTGACAAAACCGAGAGAACGAACATCGCGGCTTCCGTGTGACAAAGTGATTTCCCTTCCCTGCAACCCATACATGTACCATGGCAACAAAATCATTCCCACACCAATACACACAACCTCAGAAGAAATCATACGGTAGACGGATGCCGTGTCGACGGGTTGGGGGAAATATTGATCATTCTCGAGATCGGACGAGTGTATACACAAGTGTTCCATTGTATGTTAACAGGGTTAATTAAAAAGTCGGATTACTTTTCCCTCTATTTCTGCCAACCCGGATTTCCACCGACGCTCGTCTCCGAAGCGCCGACAAGACTCACTGGGAACTCGAGAAGCCGCTACGGCAGCGGTCGTCAGCGACGACAAACTGCTCAAAGCGGCGGCGACGGGCACGGGGATGACCCTGGGGTGGGCGAGCGCGGAACCGGGCGTCGCCGGGTACTTGCCGAATCCGTCGCTCCCTCCTACTGCCGCTGCGAGGCCTACCGGGGGAGGCTGGGCGTCGGAGGGTCCAGAGTGGGGGGAGGGGGCGATGTCCACCGGTTCCGTGGACGCGGCGGGGGTCACACTTCCTGATGTCGGTCCGATTGACGCCTGTAAACGTTTCATCGCATCTTCTCAATGCCAAGCATCTCCATCCTGCACGGACGAGAGAATCGGAAATGCATGAAGCCTCACCGACTTCCCAAAATGCACAATAGTAATACGTTACTAGCGAATTTCCGCCACGTTGGCATAAGCCTATGCATCGATACCCCGCTTTCCCAAGTGAAGACCCCACCCGCAGACGAGACGGGACCGCCTCGTCCCGTTCCATTGTTCGACCGAGCCTCTCGACGGCAAAAGCTTTTACAGACGAAGGTCACAAGGACATTTGGTATAATGGGGATCAGTTCCACGGGCAGGGTCCATTGGCAGGTTCCCAGATGTTTACCAGTTCGAATCGGGAGTGGATAGGGCAAGGTTTCGAGATTACGACTCCCTCGGCGTTGTTTACCTTGAGAAAATGAGAGACGAGGGACGAGCACAAAACCCATGAATACCACACGTCTCCAGGACTTCGAGAAAAGGGGGAAGGAAAGAGAACGACGGAGAGAGAAAGAACGTGGATGTGTGTGGAAAAAAAAGCTAAAGAGGGAGAGGAAAGCGAATTACGTCATGTGCGCAAGTCCGGGGCACATGTGGATCATCATGGTCCCGTCCCTGCCTGGAACGGCCCCAAGCAGAACTTCTCGGAATCAGCCGAGTTCCACGGAGTGCGGTAGTGGAGGAGCATGGGCATGGCCCCAGCGCAGAGGCAGAGTGGAAGCGCTGTTCTCCCCGTCGCCCTCCTCTCTCCCGAGACTCCGTGACACGTACGCACTGGTGCTGCATTTTTCCAACTCGGACCATGGGGCCTTCCGCTTGCTTCCGGGAGACGAGGACCACATCACGGTATAGAAGGATCCTTCCTCTACCTGATGAACCTTGTGTCACCATCGTGAGTGGAAGAGCAAAGGAGTGGGAGGCTGTGGAACGAGGCACGGTATGGGCCTTCGCAGAGGGGAACCGTACGACGAGGGAAGACCCAAGCCTGTATCGATTCCCCGCAGCACGGCCGCCTCCTCTCCCTAGCCTCTTCCCTTCCTTCTGCCCCCATGGTCCCGGTGGAGGCTATCGCTGCATCGCACCTCGGCTGGTTTTGCCGGGCCGTCCTGGCAGCGCGCCAAAATCCAGTTTCGTTTTGATAACTCCGTTCGACTGGTTCGGCCAGGTACTCGGCGGCAAGTGGATCGCAGGAGGAGGAGTGTGAAAGGCAGGAGATATGTGCGTGAGTCCCGACAGCCTCTCCTCTTCCCAGGAATCGAGGATAGGCCTACCTTGCCTGCCGGGTATATAAACAGATGCACGCGAATTCGTGTGCGCATTATGTGACCAGCGTTCCTGACGGGAGAGTTAACCGCACTCGTGATACGCGAAGTGCCGCATCCGTGATCTCAACAGGTGACGGGCGGAACGAGACGGGAAAAAGCGAGATACAAAAAGGGGGGGGAAGCGGGCATGTGAATGTGAGAATCCGCCGGCGGCTCGTTTTCGTCCCTCATGCATCAGCTGGGCTATAAGGAAACACGAGGGCAGAAGAAACCCCAAAGATATTCCCTATCTCGGCTGCAGATAAAACGCTCTCTTGGCGAAGAAAACCCAAATATAAGAGCAACGACCCGGCTTATAAAAATTGACATTTTCCTGCGAAATAAACATGTAAAATAATATTAAGTTAGCTAGTATAACGGCATGGGGGTTCCGTAACTGTAAGGTCCAAGCCCAGTTTCCAGTGTTCTCTTTCGAAGCGCGTAAATCTATCCGCGGCCGGGAGCTCACTCTGAAGTAGCACACGTAAACCGGAAAAGCATACCATTCTTTGCATGCAACTCGCTCCACTGGGGGCCACGTGTCAGAATCTGATGATATTTCAATAGCAAAAATTCCCTGCCGATAACTCTAAAACCCAAATTTGCTGACGTGCACTCGCATGGAATTCTTCCTTCCCTTTCCCAATCCATTCGAATGCCGCTATACGATTTCGACTTAATAAATTACATGTAAATCATTTGTCAGCCTCATTAGATAACAACTCGACAGATATATAATCGACACTTATCACTCAAAATGGTGCGAAGCAATTTCACAAGTCAATGAATTCTGAAAATGTGAACTCTCCCGGAAGGACGCTGATACCATCCATCGAGTCAGAATTTATGATACATGCTTGAAAAAGCCCTGAATAAAGTGGTCATTTCCGAAATTGATGTTTCCCCCTTAATTGTTCATATGGTAGCTCCGGTAATGATCGTACTTGTGTAGTTTCGTTTTTTTGGCTCTCCAGAAATGAAGGAAAAAAAATATGAAAAATCACCACCATAATTAAAGGAGCTGTGTTCTTATTACACCTATTTTGCATGCAAGCACTCGAAAAGAATTACTGGTCACCCGGAAAACCTCATCCTTTTCGGCAACCGACTCAGTGAAACAATACATGACCTAGATCACCGGCAGCCCTAACAATAGTGGTGAAACCACTACGGTATGCTATGTGGCAACTTTTTGGCAGAAGATCTTGGCAAGTGATACGATGTCACACGCCCGGGCCTATTCAGATTTCAGACTTAATCTGAGGAGCCAGGAATCACATTCACGGGCTCAAGTGGACACTGAATAAGAGAAACATTAACAAAAACCCAATAATCTTCATCACACCACCAATTCAATATTTAAGAGAAGTAAGATAGAACATAAGACATTTAGAAAATAGACTGGAGTTGAAATGAATCCTATGCATGCTAGCAACCTGCAAAATCAAAATTACAAAAACTAGATAACTTTGAATGCCTAGAAAAATGTGGACTTGGAGAGCCACAAATTGATTATGCATAAAGCAGTCAAACCCTGCAGAAGATGACAGTGAAAAAAAAGTGCATAGAGTTCAGATTATGCAATGGATCAACTGAGTCACTTCCTTTCTTCTACATTTGCCATTCCTGCTCCCTTGGCATCCTACACCTTTGGCTGGGATTACAAAGAACCAATCAATGCAATGATATTTGACTGCAAGGGTCATCAGGTGTCAGGCAATTAGATTAATAACCATTTATACTCTTTACGATTATCATCACACTTAAGCAACCGACTCCCAAGGCACTATCATTGGTTTCCTCAACTCTCAACAGAACAGACCCAGCAGTGCATTATGGTTCCTGTTATAGAACATCCGTCTTCACAAGCTGGAACTTTCATGACATGAATATAATTCAAATGAGTCTACTATTAGGCTCAGTTCCAACAGTACTACAATCGAATTGATGAAGACATTCCTAGATTACTCTGCCAAAACTGGCAAGTTTATGCAAGTGGTGTTTCTTGTCAAATATACTCCTGATTCCCAATTGCTGCACCACCTCTCCACACACAGTTGTAGATGCACAAATAAAAGACTAATAGCAAGAAACACCATCTTAATCCACTTAGAAGCTGAGCTGGTACATCATGGATGAAACTTGTTGTTTTTCAACCATAGATCTACTGTCTATCACCTATCTGCTTCCACAAGTCATGGCAACCACCAAGGAAAATCCTGATCAATACTCCTCTTGACATAGAGGGCTTGACCAGCTGACATCACATTGTGACATTCCACAAATGGACTTAATATTGATTTCAATATCCTACTAATAAAAAATGTATTCACTTGTTTGCTATTGATGGATTTCACGACAAAGGCACACTCGGGACTCCCTAGGAGCAAGATTAAATGTGTGCTTGGGCCACTTCCAATCATCAGGACCACAATTGCATAAGCCCATAATAACAAAGACCCAACTAGCAAATGCTCATACTACCCTCACCTAAACTCTTCGTGACAACAAAAGGATCTCTTCTGCCTTAAGGAATTGGTAGATGGCAATAAGTGAGCCAATGTATAAAAAAAAATCTGAAATTAGCCCAAGTATTGAAAAATGGTAAAGAAAACAATACAATTTGGCTCAAAGCCTAGGCCCATAATATTGTCTGTTTCTGTATAACAAAAACCTACTACCTCACTCAGCTTGGCTCCTGGTAGGGGCTGACGAGGTCCAATGGATTCCTCATTCTTATTGTTATTTACTAATGCTGGGGCCATGTGTTCATATTTTTTTGTATCGCTTTCTATGCTGAAGAAGTCGAATGTTAAGGTTGACATAAACAAAATCAGCAAAGGCTCGAGTCCAGATGAAAAGTTTCCGTTAAGCCCGGCTTGCAAAGTTACCTACGCCTACCGGTTGGGGAGATGACGCATGGCCCCCAAGAAGCGCCACGATGATTCACGAGAGTCAAAACCCTAGGCGTACTAAAATTCTGATTCCCGCCAAGAGAATAATGCATAGCCCGGGTGAAGCAGCGCTGCAACTACGCATAGGCCTAGGCCTATGCGTAGGGCCCTACACGCTTAGGCCTAAGCGTCGGCCTATGAAAGCCGACCGAACTAGGCCTCGTCGATGCGATGCATGGGAAACCATATATCAGCTTCTTTACCTACAACGAACGATGGCCTAGGCCTAGGCACCACGTTGGAGCTTCGTCAAACTGCATCACACGAAAACCTCGGACTTTATCGTCATTTTCACTTGAGGTCAAGGTTTGTGATCGAGCGGCGGACGCTAACTGTGCCAAAAGCGGCTTGGCATGCTCTTCCCCCGACTTCGGAATAAGGATAACTGTGGCGTAGAATCCGAAGAACTTCCCTCACCTTGTCCAAAGCGGAAGAAAATCCGAGATTGCAAGCACGGGATCGGAGAAACACAGCTTCCCTGCTTTGATCGACAGAAGCACGACTCGCACTGGGCTTCTCCCTCTTTCTCCGTACGCGTTTTGTCGTTTCTCTCACTATGGTCGAGAATCACCTGACGTCACGGCGCTGCTGCTGCTGTTTGGGCCAATAAAGCGGGACTCCCGCGCATGCGCACTCCACCCACACGCATTCTCCCTCCACTCTCTCTCACACACACACACTCGCATTCACAGACGCGCATCGGCCACCTCAGCAACCGGGATCCACCTGCTGCCAGTCCGTGCGCCGTGTTCCGCCCTGTTACGCTTTCCTCGTCCCCTCTTGGACTTTCACGAATTGCCCCTTGTCGATCGGGCATACCGAAGTGAGCGGCTGTGGCTCGATTAACGACGCGAAGGGGCTCCCTCGGTAAATCTTGCATTTCGCTCCAGACCAGCGCCGACTTGCAGACCCCAACGTCCCCCTAAAAGATTTTCATGTTCCTCCAGCATTGTTCCAAGAAAACAAAAACAGAATCCGATTGGAATTCGATGAATGGACAAGCCACGTGCATCCAGCCGATAAATCAACAAAGCATGACCTCTTTTAAAATCCAGACAGAACACATAATTTTATCAATGCATTCCAGATGTCACCACCTCCCCCCCCCCTCCCCGTCTCCCCTGAGAAGTTATTCAGGACTCGCCGTCCCCCCAGGAGGATCCTGGATACAACGAAAGCCACTGGCGAAGCAGCCTACATTTCTCCATCCGACATGGATCCAGATCGTTGCACTTGAGTCCCGTTCCCCCCTTGCCCCCCCCTTTGCTTCCGTCCGTGAAGTGTGCAACCGCTGCGTGGGGAAAACTCGAGTTATGTCGAAATTTCGGCAGCAAACAGAATTGCATTGGTGGTATTAAATATTCAGTTTCCCTCGAATTCGACTGTCTCAACTTGTTAGCTCACCTTAAGGTAACTCAATTTAACGAGTTCAACATGAGAGCAATGACGAATTAAAACAAACCGGAGGAAACACGATTTTTGTCGATTTTGGTATTATACGATTATTTGAACTTGAGTATTATGAAACAAAACCTGAAATAAATAATAAAAAAAACAATGGGCAAGCAACATCACTGGGAAAGCAAACATTTAGTTCGAAATCAATTTTTATTCAAACATTTACATTTATATTTCATTTTATTCCTAATTTTGAGTTTAATTTTGACTTTTGAAATTTAGAAAATGCCATACCATGCAAGGAAAGTTTAACGGAGGGATCGAAATGGGGAAATACTTCACTGCCGATTCAGACGTCTCAGGTTTGCAAGCGGTGAAACTGCCAAAATATCCAAATAAGCTCAATTGGCAAATTACATAATTTATATTTTGTCGCAGGGTAAGTCGAGCAACGACTTGAATCGCGCGAATTTTTCTCAGGACGAGCTCCATGTCTCCGCCATTCTGATTTCTGCACTTGGGAGTCGGCAAAGCTCGTTCGCGAACGCATTCAATGCTAAGCACGTTCATCCGGGTCGGCGACTTTTCTGCAGCGAGTGCAGGAATGATTGGCGGACAACTGGCATACTCCCAGTTACGACCTTCATTCGGCCGAATTCCATTCGGCACCGTCGCCGTTTCGGTCCAATCGCACTCGGAGATTGCAGTCCAGAGCAAATCGAGTCCTCCAGGACCCTCCCAGGACCATAACTGCCGTGATTTACCGTCTGCGTTCCTCACGTGCTTTCCCAGACGGCCGCTGCGGCTCCTTCCCCGCAGCTTCATCAACGCTGACTGGTGACGGAAGTCGCCCCCAAGGGCTTCGCTTTCCCGCCACGCAGGGTTGCCGGAGGCGCAGGCACCAAGCGAGTACGGTCATTAACTAATTAACGGCGAAGAGAGAAGTGAGCGGTGCGATTTATCTTCAGCGAAGGAAATACAACTTGGCAAACGGCCCATAGAGAAGTGGGGGGTCCTCAATTTGAAAAGTGAATATGAAAACATTGTAGATATTGAGCCCTATTCCTGCGTCATTTCTGAAATGCAGACCCAAGAGAGTTGTGCGTCAAAGATCGCTGAAACCATTCAGGAGGTTGCTGAATCAAAACTAAAACCATAAAGACTGGAGAATTGAGATGATGAAACGCAGCAGCCTTTCACAGGCATTACTTCATTAATTAATTTACGCCATTATCACACAGTGCATGCCGGAATTCTAAGGCCTTTTTTTTTTCTTCTTTTCACGCCAAGCGTGTAGCAAGTTTAAAATAATACTCGATAGCGCGACAATCATAGAAAAAAATCGTCACATACTTTGTATTACATACATTTTGGGACAAATAACTTTGATTGCAAGTATCTAGACCATGAAGTTATATAAATAAGACTAAATTAGGGGATTGCATCGGGGACCCCCGATACATCATCGGGAATCGGCTTGACTCGACAGTCGATGGAAATCGGAATGGCGCCGTCAAATTTGCGTCTCGCGTGTCGCCGGGTTCTGGGAAACGCAGGCTTAGGCCTATGCTAATTCTGGTCTTTCTCGGGCAACAATGTAAACATGATACAGGCCAAGGCATAAATCTTTCTAAGCCCCCGACTTCCCCCGCTAATTTTCCCGCATATTTCACAGGCGCGTGAGTCAGTCGTGAGGATGCGGTTTTGTGAATCTCATGGGCAGTCGCGAAAAACAGAGTAAATAGCAATAAATTAGGCCCTGCGACAATTTGGTGGCTGCCGGGATTCGCCACTAGCTGCATCTGCATCGAGTGACCCGAAGCAAGCGCCATTGCCATTACTTGCTTAATGCAACTTTATTTATTTTTGAGTGGATGGAATGACTGAAACATCAGCTATGGAATTTAACTTCATGAGTCTTGGTGGTGCGTGACAAAATCCTATTTGAAATTACACATGGACTCTGGCAATGCTCTGGAACATTCAAAATGAAAGACACCTTCTGAGAAACCTTGCAAACTTTCAGCACAAAGTACACAGAACCTAGTAACCTGATGCAGGGTGCCAATGTTCAAACCGGTCTCCTTTCTGGTGTACGTCTTTCTTCGTATCGAGAGTGAAACTATGAAAAAGAGGGGAAAATGGGTAATTTAATCTTATTTTCTACCAGCGAACCTGGAATTCACACTCAACCCTGCATCTCAAATTATCACAAGTCTCATCTCAACAGAATTTGCAACTGAGTCGATGAAGATTTGACCGTAAAAGAGTTTACATCGAGTAACCAAAGGCATGCCACCATTATTTTTTCATGATGGAAGATTGATGGTGAACACAAAACAAATTTCAGGCTTTCCTTAAGTTCATTCTTTCAAGACATTCCCCTCACTGCAAATGCAAAGATGCTACATTGCTGCCATGCAACTTCATAGAGATTCAGGGGTGAGACAGATGCACCCAGGCTTTGAGAGAATATCTATTCTCTACTCTCACAAAAAATGAGTACATTTTAGATTTAAAAAAAACTCTTGTACAGTACACAATGGTTAAATAGATGTCAGAGAGTGAGGATTTCAACTCCATCGTCTGTGATGTGGATGGTGTGCTCGAACTGAGCAGTGCGAGCATTGTCCAGTGTCATGGCAGTCCACCCGTCTTCCAGGATCACGACCTGGCTGCCACCCTGACTCAGGATCGGTTCCACGGTGAACACCATACCGGACGTCATCTGCTCTTCTCCGTTGTTATCTGCTTGGGGGATTTCAACCATTGGGAAACAAGCATGGACAGAATAGGGAGCATGGTACTTTTCTCACGGCAGTGTAGAACATCTGGGGGTCCGTGAAAATAGGTTCCGATCCCGTGGCCAGCAAAAACCGGTACGACTTTGAGGCCGTGCTTCTCTGCCGTGGTTTCTACTATGTGTCCTAACAAGGAGGAAACAGATTTTCTCTCATACCAAAACTATGAATGATTCTTAAGAATTCACTAATCTGAATTAGACATTACCAATGACTTGAAATGGTTGTCCTGGACCACAGTGCTGGATGGCCTCATCTCGGCAGAGTCGAGCCACATCCACTAGATGTCTCCCAAACTCATCCACTTCTCCAATAAGGAACGTCTCGGCACAATCTCCATGATATCCATCCAGATAAACCTGGGAGCAAAATGATCAAGATAAACCTTGAAAAAATAAATGGAATAATGTTGGGAAATAAGTTTTTTATCTCTGACATCTAGCTTCTGCTACACTTGGAAAATATTCACAAGAAACATACTGTGACATCAACAGTGATGATGTCCCCATTGGACAGGGGACGTGAGTCCGGAATGCCATGGCAGGCGACATTATTCACAGAGGTGCAACATGATGATGGAAAGCCTCGGTAATTGAGTGGCGAAGGATAGGCACGATTTGCAAGACACATCTCGTACACAAGATCGTCAATTTCATCAGCTCTCATCCCAATCTATGGGGCAAAATTGACAATCATTTATGAGTGAGACAAGCAGACTCAGTGCATTTTCCCACTGTATTGGATACGTTTAATCTTACTGCCTTTTTCAATAATGAATAGAGAATGAACTTACATTAAGGAGAGAAAACAGTTAACCTTTATGGATTGACCCACGGTCTTGAGGATGGAGCGGGCTATCTTTCCTGCTTTTCTCATCTGCTCAACCTGCCATGCAGCCTTCAGGTCAGGAGTCTTAGAGGGTTCAGGTGGGATCCCAGACTCATGATATGGAGGCAGGGAGATCTCAGATGGGAAACTACGCTTCTTGTCGACCCTTGGGTGAGGTCGAACGATCTCATATGATCCATGGCTCTTTCTAAAACGTTAATAGGATCCTCATCAACTCTCTTACTTTAATGCAGTATGAACAGTGCAAAGAATTTAGTAACCTCCTGGAAGGGCGAGTCCAGAAATCACTGAGGGAAAAGGAAGTTCTAGAAATGCCCAGATGGTAGGTAGAAACCATTCGAACAAGTTGCTTGCAAGCAGATGTCATGATCCTCAATCCTAATGCACTTGATGGTGCAACAGAGAATAATGAAAGAAAAATATTTTGTGAACAAACCATAGAATTAGTGGCTATGTCCACCAATAGGAGTATCAAAGATGTTCCAAGAATGCCATAGCCATGGCATCTCTGGAAACTAGTCCATGCCAAAACTTCCTCTCTTTGTGAAGAAAGAGCAAAAAATCCATCAGACCTCCATGAATGGGAAATGGTTTTTATTATGAAACCAATTGCCCCTTTTCAAAACAGATCACAAAATCAATGGGAGATGCTGGAACATCCCTTAGTCCCAAGAATCGTCAACAGCACTGTCAGAAGCCATTCGTTTTCCCTCCATTTTCTGTGGAGCAGCTCTCATTGAAGCAGATGGGCGGTTTTCCTGAACCGGCCTGATTGACAAGTTTTTCATCTCGTGCACCACCTGGCAGCTCAACTGAAGCAGACTTTTGTCAACACCCTGGCCCTCATAGAACTTCTTCCCATCTTCTCCCAGTCTTCCACCTTCTGAGATAAGAGATTCCAGCATCATCAGAAGGTGACACTTGGCTCCAGGCTCTCGCTGGGTATCCTTCACAACTTCGAGGCGAAGTTGGTTCAACAGGGCAGTGTAGTCGTCGGGGCTGTTTGACTTGAAAAGCACTGCAAGTTGTAGCATCTGCACAAATGGATGAAACTAAAATAAATAACTGCATTTCTTAAAGACTGAGAACAATATATTTCAAGAACTTGCCTGTCTACAGCAGACTTTGATTGTTTTCAAAGATGAAGAAGAAAGCATAATTTCCACATAAGTCCTGGCTGGTACTAAAAGGAACTTGTAAAAAGAGCCATCATCCAAGCGTGTCAGAAACAAAGTTTCACAGAGGAGAATAGCAGCATTCACAAGCAACTCTTCAGATCTTGTATGGAGGCTGACCCTTTCTATAACAAAATAAAATATTTTATAATTTTAGGCTTTTTTGATTCAACTCCTACACAAGACAGAAATGGATTGGACAGGAGAACCTTTAAAGTCTTGCTCCAGATGAGGAAGAAAGAGATTCTGCAGATTCACTGGTGCTGACTGAGGACTGTGGAAGAGTTGCTTTCGAAATTGACTGTACACAAAGGCAAACTTTTGTGGGAAGTCTCCCCCATGGCCAAGGCATTTTTTATGGCAGTCATTCATTACCTGTCTATAAGGTAAGAAAGAATGATAGAAGTCATTGGACAGCCAAAATCCTATTTAAAAAAAGCATGCAACAAGGGCATCAGAAGCTTCAACAACTTAGCTCTCATAAACAGTGTAGAGAAGAGGCAACTGTAGGGCTAGGAACTTAATAATGATGAAATTATCAGAGGCTCATAGTCATCTTACAGGCCAGCAAAAATTAATGATGTAAATTTGCATCCAGGATCAAGACTGTTAGTCAAATCCCCAAAGACCATTTGGCATTATCAATGTCACTTGCTTCTCCTCTTCTTGATAGCTTATGAACTCCATATCTATGTATCACAGTTTTGCAATACAACACTCTGAAATAATTTTCTTTCTCCTAAGCCAGCAATCAAACCTCCCCATATTGTTATACAACAGAGACCAGCACAATTCTAGGATCCTTTCATGACGAAATTTAATTTGTAATGAAAATACAGATACGTAAGATAAAAAAAAGGTTCAAAAAGATAAAAAAAAAAAGATTAAGGAATTGTTAAAATCCAGCAAAGTAGGCCTGTGGTATCTGCCATTCTTCAGTAGGCATTGGATACATAAATGGAGATCAGTCAAAAGAACAAACCTTGCTTGTTCCTCAGACAGCCCTTCCAAGAGGGATTTGAATTGGCTGATGACCATTGCATTGTCTGCTTCTCGTTGTTGAATTCGATCGATGATCTCAATAGCCTGCTTAGAATATGGAGGGACATTATCTCCATCAGTCTATTGAGAAAAAAAAGTGAATCAATGCAACGTTCTGGAAACGAGGAAATGACAAGTACAGATATATAACTAAGCCTACCTGAGCAGGGCCACTGGAATAAGTTCCAATAGGTAGTTGAGGCCTGCGAAGGACATCGACATCGGGCCTGAGTCCACGACCTCGTCCTCGCCCGAATCCAGATTGCATCTGCACCTGCATCTTGCCCTAGCTTCTAAGCTGACAATCCGGAATAGCTATATGTATCAATCCTACTCCTATGGTTACTGTGGAAGACGAAAACGACGGAACAACATCTCCAACGTAGACGATTCACCGGTCACATGGGTCACTCGCAGTCCGCTGTGGGCGGGGCCATGGCAATATCTTGGAAGAGGTTGTCAGATATTTCATTTTCTTTAGAAACTCACTGAGGACTCTCACAGAGAGCAATGGTGCTGGAATTCACTATGAATAAATTCAAACTGCGAAATTCACGAATGGAGTATATTTAGTCAAAGAAGACTGCTTTTACCTTTTGCATCCCGATGCATAACTCGGAGCAACCGTGCATGGCAGAAATCTATTAGGAAGGTGTTCGAGTCCTGTGGTTTCGCGATGTCTCAGGGTTCTTATCTTCGATTCCATCTTCATTGGTGAGGAGATATTTAACAGAAAATTTTATTTGAACCTAAATAATGAGTCCCAAACTGCAGCTTCGAATGGAAACAGCTGCAGGAACTTTACGTTGTTGTTGGCCTTGTTGCATTTCCCTTCCTAGCTTTATTTGAGGTTCATGTGCCTTTCTCTTCATTCATGGACCAGTTTCATGAACTCCATCAATTTCCATGTTTTTTTTTATGCTTTACAGAAAAATAGGGTGCCATGGGAAGGCAATCGCCATTGGAAGATGGGACCCTCTCCATGAGGCAAAAGGCCTTGCTCAAGAGAGATATCACCAAAGAGCACCTTAGCAATCTCAAGTGAGTGCTGATCTCATTCAGAGCCCTCTTAAGCATCCCACAATAGGCATTTTACTGCCAGAAATGGAGTATCCATGCAACATGAATATTTCTCTGGCCAGGGCTGGTTATGTGTCGATCCATGAGGCATCGCTCCACAAGACAGGTATTCGTGGCCGGAAGACTTACCTTTTCTGGGCCTTGGTTGGATTTCTCCTAATCTTGGCACTGGGGAATCTCATTGTTACCTGCTTCCTACTTGGAGTCCTGCGACTTGCAAATGGCATGAAGAACTTGGAGCTACTCCCAGATGAAAACATAATCAAGTTCTATGGAGACATTGATCTGAACATGACTATCAAGCGTGATGGCCTTTTAGAAGCATTTGCAGAGGATGGGATGACCATTGAGAGCCAGGAAGGAGAGGTCCACTTGGTATTTTCAAACAGTTCAGAAGCAATTCACATGGACCCCATCAAGACCCAAGTCGATAACGTAAACTCGTTTGTCGTGTACGATCCTGAGACGGGAGAGGAGATCTTTTCAACCGACTACCCCAATTTTGGTCTTCCAAAAGGAGTGAAGCAAATCAACATCAAGCAAGCAATTGCACGCAGCATTTCAAGCCCTGTTGGCTCCAATCTGGAATTCAAGAGTCCTTCTAAGCTTCGGCTTAAGGGGAATGAAGGAACCAAGATGGATTCGAAGAACATGATTGTGACAGCTATGACAGATCTCTTCCTGAAGGCAGTAGAGGGTGCCATCGTGCTTGAAGCATATGACGGAGTTCGCATCGATGTCAAGAACGTCAACTTGGCACGTTCGTCTCCCACTGATGAAGCCCAGTTTCAGCTATGTCTCTGTGCAACAACTGGCCAGATTTTCAGAGTCCCCATACCATTGAACAATGCACGCAGAACGGAGAAGATCACATGTGAGAGTGCTATTCTGCATGATAACATCTGCGATGAAAAGTGACAGTCTTGTACCAACTGCTTCTTTATATGTATTCTAGTCATTGATGTGTTCATGAGACTTCTTGTGCAATAAACTAGCAATATAAGACCACTGAGAAGATTTTCATTGCCACCACAACACCAGTCAACCAATAAGGAAGGAATCCAATGGCGATAAATCAAGATAAAGAAAGTTTAGATCAAGTCCATAGAAAAAATGAGGTCTTCAACCTCATTGGTCAGCCATTTCAACAGTTGTATCTGGATTGTTCTCTTCTTCCATGTCTTCCTCATTCTCTTCCTCTTCCTCTTCTTTGCGGTCATTCTCTGGGCGGTATGCACGTTCCAATGGAGACACAACAACACCATCCCAGACACTCATGTCTGTTGCAATGCCTAACAGAGTGCAAATGTATTGACATCAACACCAACTTGTCAAAAATATTGCATTAGTCAGTTATTAGTCATTTAAAACAAGACTGCCTGTAGCAGATTAACTTCACAGGGGTAAAACAATAAAAGCAGCTCAAAATAAACATGTCCTTGAGCCTATTATCAAGTCACATCAACTAAATGTAAGATTATGAATAGCTGCAAGCCTCCAAGGTGCATGCTGTCACATGCTGTACATCCCCCATGTGAAAAAAGTTTACAGTATCATGAAAGGCTCTTCAGGCCATGTGACAAGTTTACTTGGATAGTTGACAATCCAAAGACATGGATCCAATTATGTTTATAAATTCAGCCCTTCATATGACAAGGAATTCAAAATATAAAACTCCAAGCCTTGAGCCTTGAGAACACCCAGGAAGATGAAGAAATCAAAACTCACTTGCATTGCCTTCAAAGCCGAGAATCTGCTTGTAGCCGCCATGTGTGAGGACTCGCATAAGTGTTTGAGCAGTCAGGCATACCTGATCCTGTTGCTCCAGTGTTATGGCCATGTGGACCCGCATCACACCCCCCTCACATGGGTCTGTGATCCCTATTGAGTAATCCCTCATCACAGTCTCACATATCAGAAGGAAAGCAAAAACATCTTTCTCAAATGGCTAAATACCTGAAGAGCCAGGGAGGAAGAGTCCTGCTGCAAGCAATTGGATGCAGCGACGGAGTGCCAGATTGATTGGTAGTGCTTGTCGAGTTGGGTTGTTCATGATGGAGAAATGAGACTGAAATTGAAATGATAAAATTCAGCTAACACTCACATCATAACATAACTGAGTCAAAAGTGTAAAAATTATACCAGGAGATCTATCATCCAAGGTGAGAGAGGCTGTAGTCCCTCAAAGCGATTGCGCAGATCCTTCAGAAGTCGGATCATCACCTTGATGGTGGAATGGTGTGCGTTCTCCTCAAACCAACGACTAAAAAGGATGTTCCTTCATTTTTCGCCTCTCATAACCAACCACATTTGTTTGACAGTTTCATACCTGTGACGAATGGCAGCTAAATGACTGGAAGCAATCTTCATGTTCATGTGAAGTTCGGGCTCCAGTTTGCGGAGGTTACGATGGACTGTGGTGACGAGGACTCTCACAGATGCATCCCCGGTCAGAATGTCAAAGCCTCTTTCAGTGTTTACCACCTGCATACCTACCAAAGCCAATGTTAACATTTAACTGAATTTAATTGATGAAACATCATCTAGCAAGAGATTTAATAACATAAACAGCATTTGAGCAAACAGCCACCAAAGAAACCAAACAGCAAAGAATTAGTATGAATTAATGTCCATGCAAGGAAATTAAAACCAAGGAAAATTCCTAGCTCCCACAAAAAAAATGTTCTTACTGCTCTTAGGATCTTGAGCCTTGAGGTTCTCAGACACTTTGGCCCCAAGTGCTTCCATAGCTTGTGTGGTTGGAAGGGTTTTGAGGATGACAACAACATCAGCAACATTGTGCCCAGCCAGCATTGTACCTTTCTTGAATGATCCCACTGTTCGCACTTCCTCCAGTTGCTGTGAAGAAGGATACATTCAAGCAGACCTTGAGGTGGAAAGAGCTGTTCTATGCAGTAGACATAAGTCTAATGCTGAAACATCATTTTGGGAAAGATAAAGGGGTCTTAAAGACAAAGAGTTCTTATTCCCCAAGGGTGTCCATGGATTCTCAAATAAAGGAGATTTTAGTTCATGGGCTGTCTTCAAGTGGACTGGAGAAGACCATATGGTGGTCCTCAATCAATTCCAAAAACTGTATGATATCCCTTAGTTTGTACAAAAATAGAAGAAACTTCAATTTATTAAATTGTATAATCTGTCACTTCAGAGAGGGGAAATAAGGATGATTCACTTCACAATGTTGACAAATGGTCGAGTATTGCATGGGGGAACTTTATGACCAGTCAATAACACGTCTCCACCCCAACCATCTCAGCTCTTTGCCAAGTTTCTTCAGTCTCTCGTCATTCTTCATCATGTGGCGACCTTGGAGTTCTGAGGAAACGGATTCACCACAACCATCACCATCGTCTGCATCTTCATCATCACCACCATCATTTCAACCCCAACAAGAACCATTGTCACCATTGCCGGATGCACAGGCCCCGAGTGCTCAAGGATCACTCAAGGGAGTGGTTTTCACAAAGCCGATGCAAGCTCGTGCTAAATGCTTACCGATATTGCAGCAAGAAATTTTGGCATGAGGCTGTGACGAAGACTGCAGAAATTCTCAGTATTCATCGAAACACTGTCTCCAAAATTATCAAGTGTGGAACTCCAAAAACACCACAGAAAAGAGGCACAAAGGTGAAACAATTTTGTAAGGCTGATTCCTTTTTGTGTGACCGCATTCGCAAAACAGTTTATGATATGTATGGATGCAAGAAAGCCCCCACTACAATTACTCTGCTGAACCGTTTAAAGCAGAAGATGGCAGGAACTGACGATTGCTTCCTATACAAAGTTTCCCATCTTTGGTGCCTTCTCATACAACTGGGTTTTCGTTATTGAAAACTGGATCAGCAACAGATCATCATGGAGTCACTGCGATTGGTCGTCTGGAGGAATGATTACCTGAGAAAAGTTCAGCAATTTCATGTGGATGGCTACAAAATCATCTGGTTAGATGAAACTTGGTATGATACTCATGAACAGGTCACCCATGGCTTCACTGATGGCACCTCACATTGCTGCCTTGATGGACCAACTTCAAGGGAGAAGATGATTGTCATCTTGCATGCAGGCAGTGAGGATGGATTCATTCCTGGTTGCCTTCTCCTTTCGACAAAAAACATCAAATCGTCATCTACTGAATATCATGAGGACATGAATGCGGATCTGTTCGAGAAGTGGTTTGAGGAACAGCTCTTGCTGGCGATTCCATGAGACCAAAAGGCAGTTACCGTGCTTGATAATGCAAGCTATCATTCCAGGCTTCTTATCATTCCACCCAATCAAAACACCAAGAAGGCTGACATCATATCCTTCATGGGAGCAAATAACATCCCAGTCCCTGCACCAGTTCCATGGAAAGAAGTTCTTCTAGCTGCTATCAAATTGGCCAACATTCCCCCGGAAGTTTGCTTGAGGACCTGGCGCAACACTGCGGCATTCAAGTATTACGTCTTCCCCCATATCACTGCTGCCTGAATCCTATAGAGATGGTGTGGTCAGCGATGAAGCAGAGAATTAGGTGTCAAAACAAGCATCCTATTCTGAGCAGCGAGGTTGTGTCACTTATTCAAATCATTTGTGACTGTATTTCTCCTGCTGTGTGGCACAACTGTGTCAATCATGTAATCAAGTTGGAAGAGGGTACTTTAGGGTGGATGAAAGAGCAGATGCCACAATTGACAGACTCATCATCAGTCTAGCAGATGAGGAATCAGAGGAGGAATTGGAATTCCCCTCTGATTGACGATCCACACGACCATCACTACCATCATCACCATTTTAATCAGGTTTTTATATCAACAGAACAGTTGATCCTTCTCAGGACTAGAGGGGAATGAAAGGGTTGGAAATGCACATAACAAGGAATGAGACACACATCTCATTTCATTAGCCTCTTTCCAATCAAATCCCATCTGCATGTCCATGTTGTATTCCCTAGGATAAGCTGACAGAGGGGCATTGTTTATCATGTGTTTTCCCTATTTGCACGAATTTCTTATGCCCGAACAAGAAAGGATGCTGATTTTCTTTGCATAGTTGCATATGCGCTCTACCATTCTCCTTCACTTCTTCACAGCTTTCCGTCTTTTCCCCACTAATAAAATTTAGGGTCCAATCGTGTTGACAGATGCTAATCGGCTCTCCCTCAGACGGGCAAATTCACAAGAATTCAGGGCATCAACTATACTTGTAAGGGCTTGGCAATTAAAGTTTCATCAAACTTCAGCAAATGCTCACAGGAGATGGAAACAATGATTACAAATGTTGCCTAGAGTCTAAATTCTTTCCCCCTCCATCCCTTGCCTGCAATTCGCTCATCAGGGATGCCATACCAAAGTCTAGTTCCTTGAGACTCCTCATGGGTAGTCATGGAGAGCAAAACAAGAAGCTTCAGAGGCTCTTAAAGGCCTCTGAACTACTGAAATTCACTAAATGAAAACTTTGCCTTATTTGATACCTGGTTTAGCTGATTTAGTTCTTAGTTTTGCTCTGAGAAACTACAGCACAGGGCTGAAGTGTGGACAACAACAAAACCAGTATATGTACCCACAAGAGACTTCATCATTTGATTTTTTAACCCTGATTCCTGGAGCCTACAAGTCCCTAGTACCCAAAACATTCACATGTGGACAACATCTTTGTCTTAGGCTAGGCCCCCACTGCCTTAACCTTTTCCACTTGAATGGGCGAGTATACTCGCCCATTGGTACTTTGACTCTTGCACTCATTTGGTGCAGTATAGTATACCACAGTCTCTTCATTCACTCGGGTGGGTCACCTTGCTGCACCGGAAAAAATTACGTATTTTCATTTTTTCGCTTTATGTGGTAAAAAATACGAGCTACCGGAGAAAACACATGAAAAAAAATTCGAGTGGAAAAGGTTAAAGTGACAAGATGATACTAGTAAGCAAAATTCAAATCTTTACTCACACAGGCTTCAATGGCTCCAGGTGTTACAATGAGACTGTCAAGGATGGCCTGGACCTTGTTCACCAGGTTCAGTATAGCAGTCTGTTCTTGAGATGTGGGGGAGAGGTCATTATTCCGCTTCAACAGGGCCTGCAAATGTGACAAACAGTTTTCAACCACTTGATTTCACTGTTCACTTAGCTTTTCCACTGCTGTAGGACAAAAGGATATTCTTGCATTTTCACAGGCCAAGGCATACTTTTTTAAGAGAGATTAGGGTTTTACAAAGAAAATCTTTGCATAGATGTCCAAACTCTATCTGAGAAAGCGGAGCACCAACATGGATTTATTTGTTCTGATTCCAAAGTCCTTCAAGCAGTAGGCCAACAAAGGCTGAGAGAAGGGTAGAAGGGATCAACCACACAAACCTGAGTGAAAGCAGCATCATCGGGCGGTGGCTTGACTCGAGGGAAATGGGTTTCACACATAGTGAGATCAAATGGAGGTCGGGGGATATAAGTCATCATCTTGTATGGTGGCATGCCTCTGCGCGGAGGTCCTCCCCCTTTCTTTGGCCGATTTATCATTTTGACATACACTGTATGCTTCACTTATCCTTCCCTTTTAAAATCACAACTGGATAGAGTTTCTGAATCTATTAACAAAAACAAGAGACTTTCTATTAAAATGCCCTATCCAAGCAAGTGCCCAATATGCTTTAGCACATCAAACATCAACTGCCCAGGTTTATTTTATTTTGAATGTTAGAAGCCTTGCAATGCCTCCAAGCATATCATTCAGCCTATACAACAGAATCAAATTTAAAATGTTCTATTCATCAATAAAGCAAAGCTTGTAGATTTGTTAATTGTAGAAACTATATAAATGAGTTGGATGGGAAAACATACATGTGAGGAGAAAGAATAAATAACAAGTCTACATTCACAAATGTCAGAGTTGACAAAATGGGCAGGGAGGAGGAGTAGCATATGGATCATAAATGTGGAGAATATCACAGGTATAACCACAGCATAATGGGTCAACTGGATGAAAGGAGGAATAAAATCGCTCTCAGCTCCCAAACAATGGAGCAATCTCTCCTTAACAAGTAACCAATAAACCTATACACTATGGCTATTCAAAATTTCTACCTCCCTCCCTTTCTACCTCTGGCTTTTTTTTATACATTTCAATGAATTATCCTGATTAGCATAACTATGATTACCTGCTTGTTTCACTGACTACTATTACCCTTCCTCCTCTTTTGACTGCCTTGACATGTATCTGCTTTGTTTCCTCTGCACTTTATCCTCTTTTACACTTTAATCCTCATTTTACTTCCTTTTCTTCCCCTCCTTTCCTCCTCTTTCATAGGCCTTTCACAGGTGGTGTCTCGTTCCTTAGCCCTTCCTTAAGGTGAAAGAGAAATAAAATATTAAAAAATTGGAATAGGATGAGGAATTTGATTAAGTGGAGGCTTTGATCAGGTTCATGTCACCATGCTATAGCACGGAGTCTCAAAAGATGGTCTACAATCTAGACTCAAGACTCTAGATTTAGGTAAGTCGTTTAGTGTGTATCAGCAATGATAACCAAGGCATATGCAATGATGGAATGTATCGAGTAATGACGTTATGAGCAACAAAAACAGGTTCCATTAGTACCAGTGCTGATATGTGTACCGGCTGCTGAAAATATGTGGTTTACCAAATCATAATGTTGGGCTATCCGATCGGTGATCCGAAAATGATTTTCCCTGATCCCCCTCGCTTCAGGGACAAGAAAGTAACTGGTTAGAAATCAATACAAGCCCTCCTACGAATTACTCTCTCATCGACCTTTACCAGTCAGGAACTCTGGAGCAAAAGTCAATTGAGAAGACCCAGATTACCCCAATCCCATATGCGTCCCGGCGCCGGGCAAGCTCGCCCGCACAGAGGAGGTTTCCATGTTGATTGGATCAGTGATGCGATAATGCAGTAATGCAGTGATGCCATGAATGAGTCCTGGAGCAATAAATCAGAATCTCAAGTCAGACAAACTAGGTCTTCATGACGGAGTCGATGTAAGTGGAATCCTTATGGTATATCCAAGAATTTCATTGGGTTGCCTTATCCTCAAATTTTCAATATTATTTACACCAGCGTCATCTCATTAAATTTTTGGAATTTAAGGAGCTTACTAGCAAGGTCCTGTTGGCCCAAGCTGTAGCGATAAAAGATTTTTATGTTGGAAACACTCGAATGGGAGAATAATTACATTCACAGAACTTGCAAGTGTAATGTGTCGAACCATATGACTGACAACAAAAAAAAGTTTACCCTCAATATCAGCACTTCACGTTCACTCCCGGAAGAAAAAGTCTATCGAGACTGTCCACTGCCGAGAGATGGCAGCACTGGCAGTGGAGGGAGCTCCTTCGCGGCTGTCACCCCGTCGTTCAACCCCCGCCGAAAACGGAGTCGTCCTTTTCTGCATGAATTTCCGCAGGAACAGCCAGACCCCCTCGTCTCGAAACGCCGGAGTCTCTCCCTTCGAACCCTGATCCCGAAATCCCCTCGTCCCCCGTCAGTGCGTGCGTGTCCCTGCACGAAACATGATCCCCCCTCGGCGCCTGCTTCTCGTGCTCTGCCTGGGGCTTGTTGGAGGGGAGCCCCAGGCCACGAAGGACGACATCGACGATCTCAAGCATTTTCTGCAGGATATCAAGGGTGAGCCAGAACTTTCGTAAAAATTTCTCGGCTTTTCGCTTCGAGAAGTGAAGGTGAAGCGAAATTCCATCATGCCTGCCTCGCCCTAGATTGCTTAGGATAAAATTAACATCAGTCAACACTTTCACATATAATATTTATTGCATATTTTAAACATATTTATTGATCATAAATAACATGAATAAATTCGGGAAATTTTACAACCCGTCAAGCGTGTAATTTCCTGAGCAAGGTGGAACCCACAACGAGTAATCACCACAATCACAATCACAAACCACAATCGCTGCGAATCTGCAGTATTTCGTGCAAAAAAGAAAAAACCCTGAAAATAAACTCAGTTCGTCTCTAAATATCATGAACGCTGAGGGAAACGACTCCTCCAGTGAACGTGGAGATCTTCAACACCGTGTACCTGAAGCCCCTACTGGAGAAGCTGAGCGAGCTCGTCCTCGCCGTCTCGAACGTGGACGCGAACGTGAAGCACCTCCAGGGCCGGGCCCACGTGTGGGACACGCTCCAGCACCACGTGGCCGCGTGGAACGACCAGATGAAGACGCTCGATCGGAAGGTCGACCTTCTCGGGTGAGCATGGGGAACGTTAATATAATATATTATATTATATATGATAGAAAAATATGCATTTTTTAGCTCCAACATTTTTATGCGTAATAAACGTTTTGAAATCGTAAAAATGCAATTTTAAAAAAGTATAAAACAAGTAGCTATTAAATGTGGATTTAATTTTTTTCCCACCATGTGTTATGTCATTCTTGGAGAAAAAAAAATTAATTAGATTGGTACACAATATACCTGGTACTTCAATGGTATGTGTAGCTTGCTCGACTTTTCCTTTTCGATCGAAAACTTACTTCATCCTGCATATGAAAACTCAGGTACGTCTGCATGAATTACTGCCAGCGTAATAGGAACGCGGTGCCAGCGCCACTAGCAAGAAGCGCATGACTGGAAGGACGTAAACAACACAGACACCCGGAAGTCGAGAACCGCAGCCGTCAAGGCAAAGCGAACGAGGTCAAACAGAGTCGCAGATGAAAGGCGAGGGGGGCGGGAAAGGGGGGAGGAGGAAGGGGCGAAGGGAGGGGAAGCGAGCTCTAAGGGATTTTTGTAGGGGAAGGGATGCACTGAGACGCACGCATTTTCTCAATGCGTTTTGTCTTTAATTCTTGTTCATTTTGCGGATTTTATTTTAATGTTTCACGTTGAAACTGTTTTTTTTTTTTAAGTCGAAGTAAATAAATGTATTTATTTGCTTATTTATTGGGACATGCGTGGACTCTGACGTCACCGTCTCGCGTGCCTCCGATTCAGAGGAGCGGAGAAGAAAGAAGATCAGAACGAGAACTTCCTGGTCGGCGTGGAGGTGAAGCTGGAGCGGGTGGCCGAGAAGATGGAGGACGTGCGGGGGAGGCTGGCAGGGGTGGAGAAGCTGATGGCGGCGTCGGGGGAGAGGCCTCTCGTGACGGAATTCGCGGGGAAGGGAGTCCTGAGCACGCTGAAGGACATCGACGAGGCGACCCAGGCGCTGAAGGAGGGCCAAGCGGCGATAAAGAGCGCGAGCTGCCCCGAGGGAAGACTCACCACCGACCTCCAGGAATGGCGCACGGAAGACCTCCACCTCCACCGATCGACGAAGGAGCACTTGGAGAGGCTGGAGCGACGAATCCTCGACGACTCCCACCGCCACGCCTCCTCCTTCTCCCACCTCACCCACCTCTCCGACCTCCTCCTCGGCAACCTCACCGAGACCCACCGCACCCTCGACAGCCACCTCGCCTGCTGCAACGACCAGACCCACTCCCTCTCCGGCTTCCGCGCCTCCGCCGACTTCCGACTCGCCCAGCTGGACGAGGCCCTCCGCACCCACGAGCACGCGGACGAGAAGCGACTCGGCGCCACCCTCGGCCACTTCTCCAAGCACGTCGGAGAGGTCCTCCGACGCATCGACGCGGTTCAGCTCAAGATGGATCTCGCCTGTCGGGAGGAACAACCCACTCCCGCGCCCAGGCAAGGCGCCTAACTAATATTTAATTTAATTTAATTTTTTATTTTACTAAGATATGAAATATCTTTAAAAGATTGCAGGGAAAACGGAATAAACGATTCCGCGATTTTCTCTCGGTTGTGAACGGTTTTCCGCTTTGTTGACTCTTTCGCTACCAGAAATTCCATGGCCTTCGTTTTAAGGCCTTTCCTCACGAACAATTCTGAAATTTTCATTTTATTTTTCTCTACCACGTACCAACGTTTCCACCCCATCGCCTTCGTACATTTTTGAGGATTCAGGTTCTCCTTAAAATGAAATTTCTTTCACATTTCCAACTCATCATACTGTGTATGCAAAATAATTTAAACCGATATATTTTTTTTTCTAAATTTATTTTATTTTATAAAGGTACTTAATTTTTAAAAAACCATATTATCTAATGCATTCGTTTTATTTCTTCGCATAATCAATAAACTAATTTCCAGAGAGTCCGACGAAGGCGAATCAGCGGAGAGCGCCACATGGTCCCCAGAGGCCCTCGAGGGCTGCGCCCACCGCCGGATCAAGGACGACCCCGTGGGCCAGCGCTCCGGCGTCATCCAAATGAAAGGCCAGCGGCGATCCTGGAACTATTACACCAGATATTGCGACCAGGAGACGGACGGAGGCGGGTGGACGGTAGGGGAAACTCCTTTTAGTCGGGGATTAATCAATCGGTGGTTGTTTCATCGGTGATTAATTAATCGGTGATTGGAGAATTTTATCAATCGATGGCGGGTGAACGGCGGAGAAAAAACTTTAAAATCGGTAATCTGCTACCAATTGACCGGATATTCATTAATAGGTAGCTAATTATATCAATTATTAATTAACCGGTGTTCGATGATCGACCGATCGGTGATTAGAGACTTTGTTAATGGAGGTGATTCAACGAAGACGGGACTTCGGGGAGCCCCGCCAGAACTTCACGCTGAGCTGGGACGATTACAAGAAGGGATTCGGGGATCTGGAGCGGGAGTTCTGGTTTGGGAACGACTTCGTCCATCGGTGCGTCGTTTTCGTGCTGGTTCGTGATGGTTAGTTGGTTGCTTAATGGGGTGAGGTCGCAGGATGACGTCGGAGGAGCCGTATGTCCTGCGGGTGGACCTGGCGGACTTCGAGGGGAACCGGGCGTACGCTCAGTACTCCGTCTTTATGTGAGTTTTTTTTTTATTCCAGAAATTAAATTTTTTTTCATCGCTTGGTTGAAAATTTTTGTTGTAAATATTGTTTTCGTTGATTCGTGCATGTTGAAGACGCCTTTAGAAGGCTAACTTCGATCGTGAATTGTTTTCTGACGTGAAAATGAAATTTGGCGTAGTGTCGAGGATTTACGCCTTCCGCTAGATGTCTCTCGTGAGGGGACGGGGACCTTGTCCACATTTGCAGGGTTATTACGAAATTAGAGGCATTATTAAGGTTAGCGGGGAGCTCCTTTGGCTTTGTCAAGGGGATCTCCGTCGGAATTGAATTTCCAGGAGGATGAGGTGGAGAGGAGGTAAATAATCGCATTAAGGAATTTATTAATTTAAAAGCAATCAATTCATTGAAGGTTTTCCTCCTGTCTCGTGCCTGCTGGGTTCAACGTTTCACATCTACGGAATTCGTGACGCCTGACAAACCCTCGATTGCTGCGCGCTCGAGCAAGGCACGAGAAAGATGCAGGAGGCGTATGTAACAGTTCTTGTAGGAGGCGTATATACAGCTCTGCAGGAGGCGTACATAACAATTATTGCGGAGGGCGTATATAACAGCTCTGCAGGAGGCGTATGTACCAGCCGGCATGTGAAAACTCGCTCTCCGTGCTTCTTTTGAAATCGGTATCCCGTGGTTCCAGGCAAAAATAAGGTCGTATCATTATGGTAGTCCCGCGCAAAATGCGACTCGGGGTACGTGCGTTCCAACCGTCGGAACATTTCCAGGATCGCAAATTTACGGAGTACATTCGAGGAAGCGATGAAAAAAAATTTTGGATTCGTCGCACGAAATGCTTGCGCATGCAAGACGAAACGGCTGTATTTTCCCTTCGCGTTCGGTTCCTCCGCAGTGTTGTCGAGCGGAGAGATTTATAGCCAACGAAAGAAAGCGTCTGCAAGAAAGAAAGGCTTGTTACTCGAAGAAAGGGATTCTTTGTTTCATTCTATACGGTGGAAGGCCTGTTTAAAAGACCGAAACGTAATCGATGAGTCTGTGGTGCCCCTGTTTATTTCCGTTGCAGGATCCTCCTCGCCACTCATTTTCTGCATTTCTTGCAAACGCTCTCTACCTTTTTTTTTTCCTTCACCGCCATTCTAATTTTTGTAGTTTAAATTACAGGGATGGAACGAGCCAAAATTATTATTATTATTTTAAAAGTACGTTTATCACTGTAGTATCATGCATTGATAATGACATCGGTCCTAGCTAAAAATGCGATCTATGAATAGAGTTTCCTTACCCTGGCTCGGGAGATTTCATTCGGCTGAACCCCGCATGGAAGAACCACTGAGCTAAGAAAAAGAACCGGAGATGGCGCACAATAGAATGGATTTGCTGCTATTGGAAGCTATCTTAGTTGGGTCCATGGCGGCTCTTCTCCATTCACTACAATGCAATGGGATTCTCATCATTTCCCATCCCAGTTTTCTTGCTGTCGTGAACATGATGGCAGGCAGTCATGGTACTGGAGGCCTAATAAATCTGGAGGAGTTTCATAGGGCTGATGACGTCATGTCGGAACTCTTCTCTCATGTGAGCGAGTTTCCAGTTTCTTGAGTGGGCCTCTAAGTTCCAGGCCTGCCTTTGCTGAGATTGCTGGGCGAAAGCGATAACGTTACGCCGCCCTTGCATCATCACAGTCGACATATTTAACAGAATTCTTAGGCATAAAGTCAAACGAACTTCGAGTGAACGTTCAAAGGTAAATATAGGCTAAAAGGAGACGAAGGGCGACCACGAAGTGGATGGTAGAGGTGTTGGCGGGTATTGGGAAGGCATGCTTCCGTATTCAGAAGGGCTGCTCCGATGTTTCAGCGGTACCTGCTCCATAACTCCGCCAATGCGCACCACAGGCCCGCTTTAGCCTGGTCCCAACCAATATGGCTTCAAAATGCAGCCGGTTTCCCTATGCTACTACTATGGGCGCGCCATCTCCAGTTCTTTTTCTTAGCTCAGTGGGAAGAAACATGGAGAGCGACGTCAGACGGCGCATGCGCACTCGGACCTTCCTAGCCCGGCGCATGCGCACTTGGGCCTCGCTCGGCGCACTCCTCGGCTGCTGGTCAATAAGGGGGAAGGAGCAAGAGGTCGTGGAGTCCACAGACTAAATATTTAACCCAATTGGAATACGTTGCTGGGATCGATGGAGGCGCGTCCTCAACGGGAAAGAGTTCCTTCGGTTTCTCTCTCTGGCTGTCTGAGGCGTTCTGTTGCGTTTGCTTTTATTGGAGACGAAGGTTCTGGGCATGAGCATTTCGAAAACTAAAAAAGGATGTTTCGAGACTTCCGAGGCTTTCTCGCTGGCTCTTTCGACTTCTCGAGCGTAATGGATTCGCAGAAGATCGCTGCGAGCCTGAAAAGGGACGAAAGTGCAGGTTTTTTTTGTCGGTTTCCAGGAAAGCCAGAATTACTTCCTTAATCGAATGGAAGGATGAAATTTGGGGGAAATTTACTTCTTCCGTTCAATTATCTTAAATTTTTTTTGCATTTCAAAAGAGTTTTTTGAATCCACATCCTCCCCTTTATGCCAGGACCGAGAAGATGGAAATATTTCATGACCTCGTTTCGGCCTTATCCTCCTCAGGATCCCAATGCGTTCGATTCGGTGAAACAGGCCTTGGAAGGGGAGGGGAAAAGGGGGAGGGGGGGAAGTGCTATCAGCGGAGGCAGAACGTGCCTAGAAATGAGGGGAAGTTCAGCTATTGTCTCTTCTGTCTGCTTTCAATTCATTTATCTAAATTCTAGGTCATGTGCACATTGAAGAAACCAGGGATGCCCTATCTCTCGCGAGCAGTTTAAGCTTGAAAGTGTGTATGTGTAGGGGGGGGGGGGGGAATATGTACTACTTTGAGAAATGGGGAGCCGTGAAATCGAATACGGAGGGAATTCTCCGCCTCCACGAGAGACATCTAGCGGTAACTGATCGAGACCCACCTCCTCCGCAGCGTCGGATCGGGTGAGGAAGGCTACCCGCTGAAGGTGGAGGGATACGAAGGAAACGGGACGGACTCGCTCTCGGCTCACTCGGGGTCGAAATTCAGCACCTGGGACAGGGACAACGACGATGCGCCGGAGTGCTGCCCGTGTGCCCCGGCGTATGGAGGAGGGTGGTGGTTCTACTCGTGCTTCGAGTCCAATCTCAACGGGCAGTTCTTTCCGGATCCCACCGAGAATGGATACTATCAGGTAGGGTGAAGCGAGTACCTGTTATCTGCTGCTGTGAGGGGGGAGTGACGAATGGGGAAAGAGAACGAGATGAGATTTAATGATGGTGCGTGGTAAAGAGGAGTCGTAATGAAACGAGTCGATCGGGGAGTCGGGAAGCGCATGGGAGCTTTTGAAGCTTCAAATTAACCCTTTCCATGGCACATGCGGATGTCAAATTCTACATAGTCCTGGCAGGCTCTTCCCCCACAAAATTTCCAAAAACGTATGCCTTTACATTTTATTTTACTGCCAGCAAACAAGTATCAGTGCCGTAACAAGGGGTGTGCGAGCGGTGCCCTCGCACAGGGCGCCGATTGGCTGCCGGATTAGTACAAAATATGAATAAAACTTTAAAAAAAATTGCAAATTATCCTGAATTTAACTAAACTAAACAGAAACTGATACGTAATGTATTGTTGGTGCTGTAGAAGCTGGAGAGTTATAGAGGGGGGGGGGGGGGTTTGCTGGATTGATATCTCGCACAGGGAGCCAAGTTAAGGCGCTGACAAAAATACATATAAAATTGAAATGTTCACCTTACATAGAGGAGTAATTCTACTTTACTTTGATAACATTTCACTTTGATACCAAAGAATCACGCATACATTTTTATTTGCGTGGTAAGTGCTAAAGCATAGAATTTTCCACAACGATGCACAGTCGTGTGCAAAGTGCAGAAACTTGGAAAATTTTCTGAAATATAAGCAACATCTGTTGCCATATCACGGAGTGTAAAACATTCCCCGAGTCGACAAGTAGTCCTCAATTTCGGATTGTTTATCTATGCCTTTTATGAAGACGCGCGCGCCTACCTTTGGTTGCACAGAAAATCAAGATGCGTCTCAAAATTTGAAGCGACCTCACGCGGTTCACTCGTATGCTTAGTCAGGACCTGAGCTTATTTTTAAAAATATATAATTTAATATCCAGAATTAGAGAAGACAAACATGCATATCTGATGGGGAAAAGCAATCTGCAACTTTATTGCAGCAACAATATTGATCTCGACATTCCTCTTCTATAGACACTCGCCTTAATCAAAGTGTTTTCAAAGCGTTTTTCCAGGAATAGCCAATTTTGATTCAAATTGACTCATATTGCATACCCCGAGCACACTCATTTTTATTAATGTCGGAAGCGTCGCTCTTCCAGGAAGAGCGACGCTTCCTTTATGCACCAGATAAATAACATCGATAGCTTCTGGCCTTGTGCTACTTTTTCGTCAGGCAAAAAAAGGAAATTGACCCACGGCACGCGAGATGAGATCCGCTGTACTAGGTAGTAAAGGATTTTGTGGATATTTGTTTTATTCAGAAAAAAAATTGACCGCTGCTTTTTTCTCTTTCTTTTTCCTTTGAAATTCCCATAGATGAACACAATGAAACCCACAATAGCCTGAAGAGAGTAATGCACTATTACCCCCCCCCCCCCCCTACACATACACTTTCAAGCTTAAACTGCTCGCGAGAGATAGGGCATCCCTGGTCCTAAGAGGAAAGGATGGATGGATGGGAGGACAAGGCACAATGCATTGTAAACTAGTTCCTCAAAACCGCAGCAATGGAGAGGCAACATCTCTCCTCGATCACCCCATCGAAACTCCTACAAGAGTCGTCGTGCGTTGTGTACTGAGTCAAGGGGGTACTGAGAGCAGAGGAAAGAGAGGGGTATATGCACTCGCGAAACTCAGAGAGAGCGTTGTCTTTGATCTTTGAAATTAAGTACTGCAACAGTTGCTTTGTGCAAGACACTTGTGGAACACCTCTTGTACATGCGTTCCACAAACGAGTGCAAAAAATTAAAATTTCGAGAAACTACTTGTACTTTTCGGCAAACTTTCCTCGGTTTTATCTTTTATTTATATTTATTTATTTATTATTATTATTTTTTATTTATTTACAGGGGATCATCTGGGAGCATTGGAAAGGGGACTACAGTCTGGCGAGCTCCGAGATGAAGATTCGCCCCAAATGGTTTCATTCCTTGATGGAGAGTGGGGCATTTGCAGATGCCCCAGCGGATGGAGACACCGCCACCACCACCCCCTGGTGGGTGGGGCTGGGCATCTCGCCGGTTCCGGATCCCTGATCCGTCGACTCGACACGTGCTTGCTCTCATGTATTTAAAATCTTTTATTCTTTTTTTTTTCGTCGTTTCTAATAGATAGAGGGAGCATGCCTCTCGAGAAAAATATTTTAAAAATACAAACCTGTCGTGAAACGGATGAAAACCGAAAGAAAGAGAGACGAACGTGTCAAGAAAAGCTCCGGCTAGGCAGAAAGGCTTGAGAAGTGACGAAGAAAATAAAAAAACCGAAAAAATCAAATTCAGCGATAAAAGATCACCCTAGGAGACCCTAAATGTCGCGGTAGAACTTCTTTAGTAGGGTGCTCTCTTCCAGATGTAGTATCAATAGTCGCCACTAGATGGTGTCCATTTTCCATGCTCCCTTCGAACTCAATTTAATATATGACTTCCTTATCTAGCAAATGTGTTTCCTCATCTCTTTCCTCTCTTTATTTTTATCGTGCAATACGTAATAGAAAAGATATGGGAAAACGTGGAATTATGATGTTTTCATGCAATATATGACTCAGGGAATTATTAAATATTGAAGTTAAGTATAGCAATAGAGAAGCGTACGGTAATAAGGAATGCTAGAGTGCATGAGTCAGACGCAGACTCTTTGGACGATGATATGCCGAGAGTGGAAATGGCCCAGAAAGACACCAGAACGCGAACGAGGAAGATATTTCCTACAAGATGTGTTCGGAGAGGAAGGTGACTAGTCTGGAAACACTGCAAGGTCGTGATTCTGATGTTTTGATTCGAGTGAGAACCGAAGCAAAAATATATATGATGATGGTAATAATCGTGATGATGCCATGAGACTGCACTAGGGAACTGGGAGCTGCGAGATAAGATAAAAGATGAGCAAGCCCAATCCCGTAGTGGGCCTCCTTTCATTTTAAGAGACCCGCATTGTTTTAACTAATTGAACAAAATGCCATCTCTTTCCGGTCCTCGGCCATCAAAACATCATTTTCAGTTATGTTTTGAAATCTACCCATGGTGCCCATGAAATGATGATGGGAGGAAGGAGGGTTGTGCACGTTTGGAAGGAACCACCCGCCGCAACGGTTGGTAGGGAACTGACAGCTCTGCTTGTTGACACGGCACCGCGCCCAAGGTCTGGGTTGCACGCGCATGCGCATTGTCATTCAGATCCTGAAGGTCTTATGCCTTCCCTTCCGTGACCAAATTTCAAATCTACAATTTGCAATAAAAATGTTAGTTTTGGTGCAACTTCGCCACAAAACGAACTCAGCCTGTACCTTGTTAATATCTACCTGTTTGCCAATTTTCGCATCGGTCAGGCCAATATTTTCTTAGGTCTCGTCCACACCAGAAAGTTTTCTATGCAGGTTTTATTTTTTTTCAAGTCGACTTGCAAATAAATATTTCATAGTGTGGACGTCTTTGAAAGTTTCCTTTGCAAAAATTTTTCCTTCCGTGTCCTCTTTGCAAGAGACATTCAAAAGTAGAAACCCAGTCTACTTTTCTTGCATAGAAGGTGAAAGACTTCAGTGTCGAAAATGGAATGAGACAGGGAAAAGACTGTTGAGTTGAATGATAAATATTGAAGTGAAGAGTGCCTTTGGAACGTGAGAAGGGTCCTGTACAAAGACAAGAAAAGAAAACAAGTTGGTTGGTCTAATCTTGCAACGGAATTGGAAGTACCGGTGGCTGGAGTGCAAAGTGAAATTCGAAATGTGAAAGTCCAGTAAAAGGCAGAGAAGATGAAAGTGGACATATCAATGAGGAGTGGAGCAAGCAGCGCTGAAATTTGGTGTTTACCTATAAGCTCTTCTTGTTTTTTTTATATTTTATTTTATTATTTTTTACCGAAATTTGGGATGTAAAAGAGACACAAAGCTGTTTGATAAATGCAACAAATTCATTTTCAGCACAAAACACTGAACAGCCATTGGCATGGAACAAAAAAAAAAAAACCTAAAACACATTCTCAGTTCATTGCAAAGCCCACTGCCAGGGAACAATACCAGTTTCAGAGGAGAAAAACTCATGCAATTCGGTGATACGAGAACCAGGACATTGTATAGTGCAAAATGACAATCGCAATCACAGTATATGTTGGAAGTGGCCACTGCCATGTCCAATACACAAGCGTGCACGGCAGAGCATGTCACTGGAGACAGACCGTAACACCGCCGGCTTTATGCTGGCAACGACGCGTTCCAACTCTTCCAGAGTGTAGAAATTCTTCGCATATGCCTGGGATTTAAGCTCAACGATAAGTAATCCGGTGATTATGAGTCAGTGTCGAGGCCATAATTTTTTAATACAGGGTGGGCCAAAAAAATGTACCCGATTTGAAAAAGATATTACAGGATAACCATGCAAGATAGGATTGAATAATAAAATGCATTAAGCTGGCAAATTTCAAAATTTATTTTACAAATTAACCCTTTCTTGTGTTGCAAGTTCAAAATGCCTAAATTAAACTTACAACAAAAAAATCTTTATCGTTTAGGAGCATATCAAAACTCAATTATTAATTGTGACAGCATGCATTCAGAAAGGAGTTAGGTGCCAACAGCTAAGACAATATGAGGAATTCTGACCAAACGAAAGGGGAAAAGGTTGTATTAAAGAAATTCGTTGTATCGTTTCAGCCGTTGGCACCTCCAGGCACCCCCTGGCACCTCCACATATGCGATAGCAGAAAATGAATTAAACATTCAGCCAGCGCTGTTAAGAGTCTGTGTCCAGCAACACGCTTCACCATGCACGTTTGTGTAATGATCATGGCGGTGGCCACTTCCAACATATGTTGTGACTATGATTGTCATTTTGCACTTTGCAACGTCCTGATTCTCATATCACCAAGTTTCATGCATCTCTGAGTTATTATTAATCCTTTTTTTTAAATATGCATTTCTTTGGGTTAACTGGTAAAACGAACACCCTCTACAAAGCATCACAAACTTCCGGGAGGAAGGAAGACATGGATTGTTTCTTTTTAAACGCGATAGAGAAACGCGGTAAAGGCTGGTGAAGTCGCAAAAATCTCAGAGTAATTACCAGCCGAAACGGACTCACGATAGCGAGTGTCCTTTCGCGAAATAAACGGTCCAATTCGTCTTAGGAGTTCCTCAAAACCACTCCCACTCATTCGCAGAAAATTCTTGAATCCAAGAATTCAATCCGAAGAACTCTCGTGAGAGACGAAAAAGCATCAAAATCGAGCGGCGTGCCTCCGCTTTCTCTTCTTAAAAAAAAAAAAAAGAATCGTGACGGCTTTCGCTGCCACACGTTGATTTCCTTGTGATGGGAGACATCTTGAATACTTCACATAAGCATAAACATTGGTATGGAGAACGCTCTGACGAAGAAAAATCCTTGCAGAAAGAACTTTCAAAGACACCATGAAAGTTTCTTCGCAAGTTGACATGCAAAGAAAACTTGCAAAGAAAAGTTTCCGGTGGGGACTATCTCTGAAAGTTTTCTTTAAAAGTTTTCTTCTGTAATATTCTTTCATTGTCTATGCAAGAAGATTTTCCTGGTGCGGACGAGCCTTTAGTTATCGTCGAACAACCAAAGTGTGACACAGACGCACGGACGGACGGACGGGACGGGACCATAAGTGGTCTTTTTCCTTTCAGGAAAGGAGGCCCACTAAAAAAGGAGGGGAACGAGGAGTGCCTCATCATCGCTCGTGAGGAAGGTTAATGGTTTTTTTTTTTAAATAGAAAATTGGGAAGCAGCGAAATCGAAAACGGGAGGGATTCTCTACCTCCACGAGAGACATCTGGCGAGAACTGATTCGCCTTTTCATTGAAGCGTGTGCCATCTTAAAGCTACGTTCACACATAGCATAGCATGACTGACGTAGGATAGCACAGCACCGAAATATTCTGGTTCACACTGCCGTCTCGCTAGGCGGTTCCTGTCATCATCTACGTTTGAATGTCACCCTCCATCGCTCTCGATCCAATTCTTCAGGCGTGATATTACGGGTAGATTAATGAGAACTTCTTTCGGTGCGTGCATTCCTCCAGATGCAGTACCAATAGTCCCCGATAAGTGGCATGCAAGTTTCATGCTGCCTCTAAAATTCAATTTAATATAAGCCTTCTTGATTTAGCAAAGGTGTTTCCTCCTCTCTTACCTCTTTTTATCGCGGAATTGAAAAAATAAGGGGAAAGCGTGGAATTATGTTTTCATAGCAAAATACGACTCAGGGAATTATTAAATATCCAAGTTTTTTTTCCTATGGGAATAGAGTAGTGTACAATACAAGGGATTTTTTAAAAAGGTCTCAGAATCATTCTCAAGTATTACCCATGGACCCCCACCCCCGGTTAGGAGAAACTTTGAAACACCTGGATTTGTGTTTATAAATTATGTTTTTTGGGAGCTCCCTTCAATTATATATTTAGTTTTCCATGGATCCCAGGTTAAGAACCACTACTCTTCAGAAGGTTTCACTCCTGCTGCCGAAAATCTGGATCCCCATCCATAGACACAACACGTGCTTGCTCTCATATATTAAAATCTTTTATTCTTTTTTTTTCTTCATTTCCAATATAGCAAGGGAGTATGCCTCTCGACAAAGATATTCAAAAAATACAAACGCATCGTGAAACGGATGAAAACTGAAGGAAAGAGAGACGAACAGGCCATGTCAAAAAAACTCCGGCTAGGCGCAAAAAAAAGACTCCACCAGAGACGGCGGCGGCGAATTAATGAACAAAAAAAATCACATTCATCGAAAAAAGATCACCCTGACGAGCGAGGATGACTCATAACAAAAAAGCCTCACACAGCACCACAGCACAAGAGAAGGAAAGAAAAAATAATAATTTTTTAATAATAATAATCATCATTATCAAAGAAAATGTTCTTCCTGATAATTCAACCCCCACCCCCTCCCTCCCTCCCCCCCTTCCTCAAAAAAGAAAAAAAAAACTTCCCCCCCCCTAAAGAAACAAGAAACCCCAGAGAAAAAAAAGAAGGAATTCGCAAAGGAGAAAAAGAAACTCCTAATTTATTTCTTCGTTCCCAACAAACCAAATAAAAAAAAAACCCTCATATTTTCTTTTTTTGGCACGTCCGTGCTACCTAAAACAGCTATTGCTTCCCCCCATAGACTACAAAAAACGTCTGATGATTGCCGGTAGCCCGGGAGCATGCCCTTACAGGAATTTAGGGAATTGATAGAAAAAATGTGTGTTGCATATCATTTGACCCTTCTGTACAGCACTGAAATTCGAAGCGATAAGTAGAATTTTATCTCTCTCTCTCTCTCTCTCGCTCTTTTATTTTCTCGATATACTGTGTATCACCGAATGATTGTAACGAGGCAGAAGCCCAATGGTTCTCTCTCTCTCTCTCTTTTTGTTGTTATTTCGTTTTGATATGATCGATGCAACACGAGACGTGTGTGACGAGGGAAACGCGAATTGATTTTGTTTGTTTTTTTTTGGCACCCGACTTGGACAAAAACGTTTGTTTATCTCTCTGGAAACTACAAACTACGTCTTCCCTGGCAAGACTGATTTTTTATTAATAGTTCTCTTCTTTCTAATACTGGAGTCTTTCTCTCAATCTCTCTCTCTTTCTCACAGGCAGTATATAGACAGACAGACGTGTAGACTCTCTTTTTGACGATGATATGCCGAGCGTGTGGAAATGGCCCAGAAAGACACCAGAACGCGAACGAGGAAGATATGTTCCGAGAGGAAGGTGTGTGTGTGTGTGTTTGTGTGTGACTAGCCTGGAAAAACACTGCGTATGTGTTTGTGTGTGTGTGTAAGTGTGATTCTCGTATTTTGATTTTTTTCACGAGAGAGAGATAACCGAAAGAAAAAAAAAAGAAAAAATATATATGATGATGATAATGATAATGATAATAATCATCATCATCGCACCGTCGCGCAACGATACTATGAGACACTACACTAGCGAAAAACTGCGAGCTAAATTCGGTCGTATACGATCGGGCTCTCTAACGCAAGAGGATTGCCACAAGATTGTCGTGGTCTCGATCTCGAGGATGAAGCACACACTCTCTCTCTGAAACTCTCACAGACGAGAAGAAAATGGGGAGTGTCCCCGGTCGACACGATGACTAGATCTTGCTGCCCTCTCTCTCTTTTGCTTTCTTTTTTTCCACGCGAACGAGATGAGAGAATAAAAAAAAAAAAGAAAAGAAAAGAAGTAACATTGCACAGTCTGATTCCGTATCACAGATAGGCAAAACCTTATCTTGGAGGAAACACGAAGATGGCACGAGGGTGTGTTCGTGTGCGCGTGTGTGCGTGCTCCTTCGACCGGGTGACAGAAGAGATCTCCGACGTGATGCGTGAGGGTTTTTTTTAGATGAAAAAAAGTCTCTGTCTTCGTTTTGTAAGGTTCCGTCGGGATGCGGGATGATCCGACGGCTTCAAAACGTCGCGTGGGCTTTGAGAAAGTGCGGAGAAGATACGGGCACCGAGTGGATGTAATAGGGATATGCCGGGGCCAGGCCCAACCCTGCCGTCTCCATTGCCAATCTGGAAGGAGAAAAAAGAAAGAAGAGAAATTTTCATTCACGGACGAAAACCTGCTGCTGGAATTTTGCCACTTTGTCAGAAAAAAAAAGCAACCGAATTCATGATGATGCTAAGGACTATCGGGCGAATGTACACATACTGAGGGCAGAGAGGGTTAAAAAATAAACTCGGGGTACGAGTGCAGAGCGAGGATGGGAGTATCTCTCTCTCTTTCTCTCTCTCCGTCTATCGAGGGTTAAAAACAGGAAAAGTTTCACCGGCTCACCTGGGGATCGGGAATTTCTTACAGGTCGGGACGGTAGATAGGAGAGAGATGGCACGGGTTGGACACGGAAATGAACTCGGGTGTGTTTGTCGGATAGGGGAAGAGACCGGGTCGTCCATCGGATGCTGGACACTGGAATGGTGCTTCGGTGGTCGGTTGGTTAGTTTCGGTTCAGGAGATGGGTGGAAGGCTGAACCAAATTGTCCCAGGAGTGGATGAAAAAGGGATGAATGAGACAAAAGAAAAATGAAGGTGTCACATTTATGCAGAAACGGTCGATCCCTGGATTCTCGGGGTGGATTCTAGCCGAGAGAGAGAGAGAGACCTCAGGTCCCACGCTCATATATATCTTTTTTTTTTCTTTTGTTCTCGGCTAGAACGAAACTCGGAGAATCGAGGTACGATCCTTCACTGCATAAGGGCCGACATCGACATCGATCGATTCGCGAGTCGAGATGGAATGCTTTGGGATTCATTCATCGCGGGTAGGAGGATGCGACTCGGCATCTCTGGGAACGGTATCGACGGGATGGGAGGTGAAGAAGAAACAGAAATGAACGAGAGGTGTGTGGATCGAAGGAAAGCCATGACCTGTCTTTATTCTGTTGCAATGGAAATATTTCTGCGAACAGGAACAATGCAAAATTCACGGCCTCTCGTATGTACAAAGACCCCTACGGACAGAGAAAACGGTACAATCAAACCCCTGTTCTATACAACAGTGCACGGAATACTCCGATACGAGCTTGCCGATTCGACTCGACGGACACGAAAAAGTCTCTACAAAAAAAAAAGTCTCATCGACTCGTTCCGATTGCTAGTGAAAAGAGTGAGAGAGATCGACGAGAAGAGTGGATCTGGAAGCTGGATATCGAATCGACGACGGGATGGATGGTGACGGTGGGATGATCCATCAGTAGGGATTGAATCGGGATCGGTCTGATCGGGAGCGAGGAGGGCTCGGGGAGCCCACGGTGGAGCGCATCCTCGGAGCATAGGAGCGGTGATGGTGAGAGGATGAGGACGAGGAGGAGGAGCGGTGCACCCCCGTGGTCGGGAGGTGGACGTCGTTGGCTGCGCCCACCGTGGCGGCGGCCAGCGTTCCCAGCAGAGTGGTCAGGCTCCCCAGAGTGTTGAGGTTGAGGGCATTCCCCAGGAGCCCGGGTTGGGCCTGGAGGAGTTTGGCAAGCGGGAGGAGCGAGGAGGTGGAGGAGGAGGAGGAGGATGACGATTCGGCTTTCACAATGGAGGAGGAGTTGGTGGTGGATGTGGTGTTGGAGGAGGAGGTGTCGGAGGAGCCTTCCATGACGGCCTTGTGCAGTTCGATGCTAGAACGGGGGACAGATAAATAGGGAGGAGAGATCCAGAGAGCCAGGGGTCCCACTCACACAAGACACACCCTCACTCAACTTGAGTCCATTAAACTCGTGCAAAAGCAAGCTGAACGGGGACCAAAGTTACATTTCATACATTTGCTGAGTGCAAGTGAAAAGGAAGAATTCATAGCAGACACCTACAAGCAAAACAAAACACAAGCGCCATCTTAGCTGTTCTGGTGCGAAGTCAGGTTTGTTGTGCCTCAAGAACGATGAATGTGACCTTGGTCCAAGCATTATTTTTGAGAGAAACCACAGACGTAAGTGGTAAAAGGGAAAAAGAATGCAAATGAATAAACAAAATCAGTCCAGAACACTCACAGGCATAAACAAAATCTTTAGAAAACATTCATGAGCAAAAGCTATTTCTGGCATCTCTGGCCTAAGAGGAAAGGATGGATGGATGGGAGGACAAGGCACAATGCATTGTAAACTAGTTCCTCAAAACCCAACACCACTAACCTAGACCTTGGGAGACAAGGGACAGGTGGAAGTGGTGGGTAAAAGGACAGAAGACCATGGGAATGAGGGGCGATTCATCTCCCATTACTTCCCAATCCCCACACCAGCATGCAAGTCCTCAACCCGATCACAATAGCCCTGTGCCTGTAAGTGCAAGTTGCTACCCAACTCCCCTCCTTTTTTTTTTTCTCCTCTAGTTCAAGCAAGGTCTTTCTGAATAAACAAAGCATATATTCTCCATGAGACATACTTCATGCATGGATGGATTCATGTTCGTGGGAGCATGAAGATGTCCTTCCAAGAATGTTAAAACTTAACTACTCCATTAGCAAACAATTACGTGCAGCTGTGTGCACTGCCACAAGTCATGAACTCGGGGCAAGTAATTGGATCTCTGAAAGAATTTTCAATACAAACATTTGTGACAAGTTTATATCAATCATTTTGGTTTCTGACAGGTTTCAGAATACTGTAATCCTATTAAAACCAAAGGAAATGAGGGACAAAGATAAGAAAAGCAGTATAAGCAGCTCTGACAAGGATCATTGGAAGCCACATCCATACATGGGTCACTCTGAAGGTTTTTAGACTTTCCACTAAGAAATGAAAGGAAATTTAAATTTGGTCAAGCCCCTTCATTGATTGAATGGATTTCTTTTAGGTTCCTTTTGTAATTTTTTGGTCTTGTTTCCTTGACATTTAGTGAAATTAGAGCATTTTGAGTGGAAGCAGATAGTAAGATCTCATGGGGAACCATTCTTTCCAAGGCTAAAATTGATATGCTTCATCACCTTCATACCATCAATTTCTACCAATGGAAGAGAGCTTCCTCAACTGATGCTTGCCCGTACGAGAAGTCTAAGATGTTCAGCTTAAAGCCCCTTCATGTCCCACAGCGTTCTAATGGTGCAATCCCTTCCAGAGAGGGAAAAATGATCGAAGATTGTTGTCAGAAGGCACCAAGACAATCAAAAATTGAATTGTTCCAGTCGCTGTTTAAAAATAAGTTATTCAAAAAAGAATCCTATGGAATATCAGTGGATGCCCAATGTCAATGTTTGGTTGAGTCACTGCTCTCATCAAAATTGGAGCTCATCAAAATCAACTGTTCCCTCAATCAAAGAGACAATACCAGATGAACACCATCACATATGAAAGGGGTTTAATCCTACAAAATATCTTATATGCTTGACCGAGGAAACTGTCGGGTAAGGAGGATCTGGTACATTTCTAAATTATAGCAAAATGGCAGCAAAACATTCAACTTATGAGTAGGCAACTTATCACTTTTAGAAGAAAAGTATATATATAACAAATATACAGGGTGGAATGAAAGTTGCACACCATCAGTGGATTTCACTGTTACACTACAATATTTCTTTTTCTTTCTTTACAGGTAAGCAATGGCTGCAAAATTAACAAAACAAGAGAGTGTAGTTAAGATATGTTCAAACATCATGTGTACAGCAAATTGAAGTGTTTTCAGGTTAATGGCAAACAATTTGAACATTTACTGTGATTCACCCTATAGCGCATGACTTTTGTGCCACCCTGCATATGTAAAAACTTTCAGAGTGACTCACATAAACCCATTAACCTCCATCAAGCACTGATGTCTTTCTTCTCTTACAGCAGAAGGATTACAATGAAAATCATATGACAAAAAGAAAACTTCTGCTACCAGGAAAAAAAAGAAGCTAAGTGACATTGAGCTTCATTCTGACAACAATTCCAAGGGGTAAAAACAGTTAGATACTTGCAGTTGATCTGCATTACACCTTCAACAGGCTCTGTAGTGGATAGAGAATCTGGGGCTAAAGGGATGGGGCATACAAGAAAATATACACATGTATTCATGCAAGAAATGAAATGAATCAGAATAACAAACCTGGTATTAATGAGGTACTGAGCCAGGGCAACGGATTCCCCACTGCCTGTGATGCTGATAATTCGGTCGGTCTTCCCACCTTCCCGATCCTCACAATTGGAGATGCGGATCATGGCTCCGCTGATTTGTCTGCAATGGCATGTGAAAAATCTGTCTAGCAAACAATCTGTAGACACGGACAAGAGTAGTCGACCGAACCACATGTAGACCCACCTGATTTCAGCAATCTTAGTGCCACCCTTGCCGATGATGCAGCCGATTAGCTCATTGGGCACAGTCATCTCATGAGTCTGCTGGTTGCCACCCTGTCGTCCACCAGGCGTGGACCCACCCGGAGATGGGGTGCCGTTGCTGCGGTCCCCTGCAGTCGTGTTTGGAGCTCGAATTTGACTCCCAGCCAAAGCAGCGAGGGCTGCGACCGACAGACCTTGCATTACAAGGAGGGACACGAAAGGACATGACGAAGGATGGACAAAAAGCAACAACTCCTGGCGAAGATGCTAGATGGGGGATGAGTGACACTTTAGAGCTTAATTGAATAATTACCTGCAGTGTTGATACCTCCACCAAGGGATCCGCCAAGACCGACCGAGCCACCTAGCCCCAAGAGCTTGGTCAACTGTGGGTGAGAGCAGCAGTAAAGCAACAATGCACCAATGATACTCTTCCTTGAACTGTTCTTGGACAAAGGGGCATTCTCAAGATGCGAGGGAGTCACTGCCATCAACAACACTCCATTTGATTCATCTTTAGACATGGGAGCAGCAGAAAAAAGGCTGAGCTGAATGGGAACCTCTAAGAAAAATACTGGACATCTACTAGTTCATTCACAAGAAAACTCAAAAATACTACTGCAGATTCAGATGATCCATTGTCACATTTTCATCCTCTGCTAACCATGCAAATCGACCTAGAAAAATTTATGCACACTGAAAGAGTTGAAACTTAACATCCTGTGCTCCCATGCCTGGGTCAATTGTTAGGCTCATCTACTTCAAATTGCTATCATGTTTCACTGACATTCATTTTCATAATCGTGAAGTCACTAACTGAATGGCTGTATCAGTTACCAAAAACACAAATCAAATCTCATACAAGCAGAATCACAAGACCACAAACATTCAAAATACCTTTACCTTGCATCATGGCAAGGATAAAAAAAAAAGTCTTACTTCCAGGCACTCATGCGCTTCATTCCCAACGCTTCGAAAACATGAATGGGGAGAACTCATACACATAAGCCTGGTTGGGGTTTCATGAATCAGGGGAATAGAGGTCAAAATACCACGCCACTCTGGCCCCTCTGCCCTGGGGTGGAAACAGGGATGGAACATGGGGAAGAGATAGAGAGACAGCAAGAGAAAGGTAAGTCAGAAAGAAATGAAAGGGTTCTCAAGCGCATGCATATATGATGCCATTTCTGCAAAACCTGAACTTTGTGACTACTTCAGACTTAGGACCACAAGCAATTACTAGTTAGGGACAAAACTCGGCTAAGGATTGTATATAGGTAGTGCAGGGTAGCATATAGATGAGAACAAGAATGCGTCATTATAACTGGAACTTAAAAGTGTCTTTCTAAGAAGTGCAATAGCCCTAACTTCACAGCAAGAATGAAACCTCTCAAGCTTTTTAACATCCCTGACAGATTAAGAAGAAATCAAGATTTTTACAGGCAAATTCCATAATTTAAAGAACTGTCTACTGTATTCAAAATGTGAAAAAAAATACCAAAACATAATAGAAATGGGGAACTGGATAGGTTGCGGTACATCAAGGATGAGGAAGGGAGGGGAAGGAGGGAATCAAAGCAAAGGTCGAGGAAAAGCGATAAGACAAAGAGAATGAGATATTAAGAAAAGAAAGAGGAATCGAGTGAAAGAGAAAGAGACTGGACAGAGGCAGACACTTACATCGATGGAGTTAGAAGTGGCCAGTGTGACTGGCGGGAGGGAGGCCACGGGCACTTGTGACTTGAGTTCGGCGGCGGCCAGTCCTGGCGGTAACTGGGTTAAGGGATGGTGGTGGTGGTGGGTATGGTAAAGGGTAGGCAGAGGGGCCAGAGGTGGCGGGGCTTGCGAGGCGGCAATCGCTGCCACTGCCCCGGGGGGGCCGGTGCCAGGAGGGCAATTACTTACGTCTGTGGGGGAGGAGGAGAGGCTGAGGTTTCCTTGTAAGGGTAAGCCTCCGAGGAGCATGCCGGCTGCTGTGGCCGTCGGCGCCCCTCCAGGTGCCTTCGGACGATACGGGATCGTGGCACCTTTTGGCGGGTTCTGGTTTGGTTTTTGGTGGTCAAGGTGATCAGGCAAGGCAGGGCGGGGCACAGTTAGATCCGGGCAGGTCCATCCAATCAAAAAATAATCAACGGAGAGAGCAAGGGAGAGAGAAAAAAAAATTTCATCAGGTCAAGTCCAAGGGGTATGAGGAGAGCAAAATTATTCTAGCAAATCCCTACGCAAAAGTGTTTGCGTGTATGTGTGGAGGTGTGCGATGCAGCCGGGGCCATATCATAGAGATACGTGCAACAAGGGAGGGCTGGGTATAGAGAGAGACAGAAATAGTTTATCCATACAGCCAATGGGCGGGTTGATGGGCAAAACGGGGAGGGTATGAGGTATGGCGAATAGAAAAGCGTCCTTTACCAGGACAAGTCTTCGTCTCCTCTCCTTTTTTGGCTAGGGAGATTTTCTCTCTCTCCCCCCGGCGGCACAGCTCCTCTCCACTCTCTTAACTCGACTCGCTCGACTACTTCAAGTACACACTTTCAACGGACTCTGGCCCGTAGCTTGAATGTAAGGAACAAAAGTACGAGCTACCAGTAACAAAGCTTTAAAAAAAAGTATTTATTTATTTAAAATGCAAGTCACAGGGTTCCCACAACTATCAGGGTGGTTTTCGGTCCGAAGTATATTTGCACAAAACCAACGCTAACAATACTTGCATTTGGCGTGTTATTTTAGCTCACCATGAATCAGGAGTTCTTCGGTAACTCGTAAATACCACAATCTTTTCAAGGATGACACGCGTTCATTCCAAATGGTTATTCCTCAAAAGTACTCCTCTTTTAAGATGGCTTGGTACTAATAACGTTTCTGAAGAAAGCTCCACCTGTAACAGATTTGATTCCGAGAGATGTCCCACGCAAGAACGAAAACTGCCTTGAAACCCATGATTCTCAATGCGGACAAAACAACATTGTTAATAAAATCTTACATTCATGAGCAAAAAATGGAAATGGAAGCAAGTTTAGAGGGGGATTTCCATTCGCATAGCTATGACTTCTCCATGCCAATAGCAGGCTTTATGATAGTGGGTAGGCCTTTATTGACAAAGTTCGGGAATAAATTAGCCTCTATTTGACTTTCCCATAAATGCGATGGCTCTGATCATTATATGCATTCGTGTATGGCCTCCTCTTTCTTCTGCAATACATTTATTTACAGTCAATTCATAGTCAAAATCAACCGTGCCTTTCATCTAGTAAAAAAAAAAAAAACCCCAGAACTTTCATCCTTCTGGTAACAAATACAAACTCTGGTACTCAAATAACACGCCGAGGCTTCTGTTCATTACCCTCCTTTCCCTTGGTTTATTTTTGGTTTCTAAGGGCTGTGGGGGCCCTGCACTGTCAAATAAAGCATTAAGGCGCAAGGAAAAAAAAACCATGTCACAAGAAAAAACTCGGAAAACCCGAACCGATGAGGACCCTACCTCCACCATGATGAGGCAGATGTGATAGATGCACTGTTGGATGGCCTCAGCAGCCCCGGACACGGTGACGGCCCGCTCGGTGGAGTTCGGGAGCATCTCTGAGGCGACCTGGATGCTCGCCCCGGTCACCTCCCGAATCTCCTTGATCTTCGACCCGCCCTTCCCGATCAGGGATCCGCATTGGGAGGCCGGCACGATGAGCCGCAGGGTGATCGGGGGACGCGGGACTGTCCCCGACCCGATGCTGGGAGCGTTCGCCATGTCCTGTACAATCAATCAATGCGCGTGCAAGGCTCTTTCCGAATATGTTAAATAAAACTTAAATTTAAAAGAAAGGTTCCGAACCATCCAAAATGGCCAATGACGTCTCCGAAATTTCATTAGTTAAAATGTTCTTTTTTTTTTGCAATGGAAACCGGTTCTCATTTTTTCATTATACTTTTATCAACCAGGGACTACCTGTACAGATACAAGGGCTTTCAGTAAGACACACAAAGACCCTAGATGGGTTGAGATCAAAGGATGGGAAGGTGATGAGACAGGAAAATAAATCCCCCCCACGAAGACGGAATGGAAACGGAAGCCCCTGCCGTGCCGAACACCACATCAAATGACTCTCTCTCTCTCTTCTTCATCTCTGCATGAACCCAGGTAGACAATGGAGGGTGATCATACCCAAACCCGTTTTTCCTCATGGGGGTTCAACACCTGCTTCCTGCTCGTTTTTTGGGCTTTCCCGGAACGGAAAGCCACATTAGAGCTCACGACAGAAGCCGGCAGAAAATGCATCTCGTCATAATTCACTGTGGGCTGACAGGTTATTTCAGGTGTGTGTATGGGAAGAGATGATGCCTTTTTGTCGCGGTGGGACCGAGCCCGAATGTCTCGGGCATGCCTATATGAAAAGAGGGGGCCTGGTAGACGGCGGGGCACCATCGATCTGGATCCCCGAATGAGCGTGGGGGAAATGAGAAGGGGGCAGAGAAGGGAGCAGACAGGGGAAGGCAAACCCCCCCTCCTCGCCCCTTTCCCCTTGTTTTCCGGGTTGGCCATGGGGTTTCGATCAAAAAGGCGATCATCTCAAGAGAAAGGGAGAGAGATTGACGCCTTCTGACCCCTTGCCAAGAATTCATTACGAGCATCTCCCTCCCCCTTTTCTTCTTGCTTTGGTCCACTTCATCAGAGGAGCCTTGGCATTCCCCCCCCCTCCCCCACCCACCCGGAAGAGAAAATAAAAAACCGAAAGGGCCTGAAAGGAGGATTTCGGGAAAATCCTCCTCCAGGAAAGACAGCGAGACTTATGACATACCCAAAGGAAAGAAAATAGAAAGGGAAACTGCAATTTGTCACCCCCTTATGCCAAGAACAGCCAGCACCCACATGCTGAGACGGGAATTGGGGTTTCGGAAGCGTAAGCGACGAAGGAAACCTCGTTCTGTCCCTCTACCAGAGAAGATGGAATCGATGAGACCAATCATGGGAGAGGGGAAGAAAGAGGCTTATGTCATGCATGTTCGATTGGTAATTCCCCCGGGGGCAACCCCCTCTATGCCATTAGCGTCTGGCCTCGGGGCCTTTTAGCATGCATGACGTCATCGAGGCCCCCCCTCTTATACTTTCCCCCGATCCATCTCCCAAGTAATCCGGCGAACACCTGAGCAGAAATCCGCTAAAACGGAGGCACTAATGGAATTCGTGCGTCGCGCCTTCCTTGATGGAGGATTCCTCCGCTGCTGACGAACCAGAACAATCGATGTGACGTGAGAAACACCGATATCCCCTCCGCCCCGCTGTATCTCCATTTCCGTGTCATGTGCATAATTAACGATAAGGATGGGAAGTCGAGATTGGATGGTAGGGGGAGGCAAGATAACAGCAGAGCGAAGGTGTAGGGAAATAGGAAGCCCGTGGGGGTCTCCAGGGAGGGGGGTAATAGATATAAATGAGGAGCCATTAACGAAGAGGGTTGAGCCTGATTAATGGATGAATCCATCCGGGATGAGAAAAGAAGACTCTCACTCACCTCTTCGAACTTGTTGCAGATGAGCCCGAAGGCCTTGATGATGGAATCCGTGGGTCCCGTGATGGTCACTATCCGCTCCGGACAACTACCATCCGAGATGTTGATCTTGGCTCCACTCTAAAAATATCAACCAGTTTGCATTTTCTCTTTCTTTTTTTCTTTCCCCCACCCCTCCCCTACTCTTCATGATAAAAAAAATTCCTCGTTGGGACGAGTATTTGATGAGGATGAAGGATTGAGGTACAGAGGATGAGGGTTGGAATGGAAGTGACCCCGATGGAGCAAGAAGGGGACCTTCATCAATCAACGTATACAGGGACACATTCAATATGAGGGCAGGGACCTTCCATTCCTCATCGCCCTCGACACACTGCACACTTCCAGGGCGGGACAGACGAGAGGACGAGAGCAAAAGAGGCCAAGAATATTACTTCTTTTTTTCATCTTTTAACGTAAGAAGGAATGCAATTAGCTGCCACGGCCTTATAAGAACACCCCCTTGTACCGTTTTGTCATCCGATTTTCAAAGACAAACTCAAACTTACGATGCTTCTTTGTCCTCCCCCCTCCCCCCCTCTCCTTGATCAACTTTTCCACAGGGGTGCGGGAAATGAAAAATAAACACGGGGATGGGACTCTTGATAGCTCTAATACAATCTCCCTCGTTCCTTCCTAGGGACACAGGAGACGAGAATGTGAAAGACTTTTTTTGAATTCCGTCTCCTCAACTCAGTTTCTCCCAGCTCCTATACATGCATGTATGCGGAATGGGAGCTCATCTGAAGGTCCATTTCAGAGGCCCCCATTTCCATAATATGGGCTACCCCCCGAGGAATCCCTCCCTTCTTATATATCCCCAAGGCCCCTTGATGATGCGTTTTGCTCCCCATTCGCCCAAGAACTCTTGATTGGGTTACAATTCCATTCCCAGCCTTCATGATACGAAAATTAAGCAGTTCCCCCGCCCTCATATAACAAACGGGGAGGATTCCGACTCGGGGCGCCATGCTCATCTGGATGCACCTGAGGTCGAAACCCTTTTCCTCTCTTCCCCCAGGATAGATTTCCCTATCTATCTTCCCATCTTTTTCCGGGTAAGCCTCCCCTAATCTCCGGGAATTGAACCGGGAGCCACGACTCTATCGACTTCTCCCTCACCCAATCACGCCTTCCCCCAACTCCCCTTCACTACTCTTCCAATCATCCCCCAGGACAATTACTTCTGCAAGCGGACCTTCATTTCTCAGGGTTGACACGCAAATCAATTCACCAAGCAAGAGACCGCCAGCTCCAGTAGAAAAGTTGAACGGAGACCCTCGAGGGACTTTAAAACCCATCAATCACGGGCAAGGGAAGGAGGACATGGGGGAAAGAGGCACGCAGAAAAAGAAAGAAAGAAGGGATGTAACGCACACATGCCCTCCCACACGAGGGGGAAAAATGACTTCTCGGGTAATGGAAGAACAGAAATTGATTCCCATTAAAAGCCTTTCCAGCACTCCTTCCCGTTTCTTTCTTTCTCTTTCCCACTTCTATCTATCCCAGGAAGGGAGTGGTTTTGACACTTACCTTCTCTCGGAATCGAGTCACTATCTCTCCCTTCTTCCCGATTATGCTCCCGACTTCCTGCAAGAAAAAAAAAGGCACATCAGAAACCCACAAATATATATATATATATTTCTTCTATAATTGACTTAGTCGGCCGCGCCGCATCTGCTGGACCCCAAAGAGACGTCCAGGACCAGGGAATACCAGGAGGAGAGGGCACCAAAAATGAAGAAAAATGATAGGACATTCTCGTCATTTATCACCATTTCCCACAACCTTCGAGGGCACCACACCATCCGTCTTCTCGCGTAATAATGGAGACAGCGGAAGAAGTGAAGAGAGACAAAACGACAAGGAAAAAACCCCTCCCATTTAGACTGAAGGGACCCGGGTGTCATGGAGAATTTAGAAGAAGCTGAGAAACGACGACAAATAGGAGACTTACGAGAGGAAACAAGGAGATGGGTGATTTGCATTTCAATCTCACAGTGCGAACAGTGATGCTTCATAAAGGGAATAGGAGAGAGGTTCTATTACCTATGGGAAGAGGGAAGGGAATTCAATCCCCGAGTGCCAGGCAAATACAGCGATATCGAAAGAGAAGATGGAAACGGTTTTGATCGAGTCACGGTATGGAAGACACCCAAGGTTTCATGCTTTGCTATATGATAAGCCTCATCATGCATCCCGACACACGAAAAAAAGGAATGCCGAGGCGGAAAGGTTTTCCTTCTTATATTACTTCGATGGATGAATGTATGTATAAATTACTATCTTAAAAATCGGAATCCCCTTTAAAGCAATAAAATGCAAATATCTGGGATGGGAAAGATGAGATCCGGAATGACAAAAGAGGAACCAGGTGGAGACTTCGCTGAAGAATCCCATCTGTTCGCATTTCCCCGTCCACCTGCTGCCGCCGTTCCCCACATTAAGGATATCACCCATTTCTCCACGCACTCACATCGATGCACGTGCATATGCAGTTGGCATACCTGTCCTCCACTGTCATTCTGGGAGGAGAGACACGGCCTTCACTTCCTTCTCTCGGGACACAAACGAAAAAAGAGGGCACCCGTCAGGAATGTTTAAGAGAAGGATACTTCAGGTGGAATTTTAAAAAAGCCTCGGAGGGAAGGCATGGAGAAAGTTCTTTTGCGGGAAATCCCCAAGAGAGACAGTGATGCGCAGGAGAGAGGGAGAGAGAGACAGGAAGAAGAATGAGGCTTCCCAGGCCCCAGGAACCCTAGGTCCAGCACCCCTTGGGTCCCATTCCCCCTCAACTGCCGGCAAATATGCCTCTCTCTCTTTTATTCATATACAGTATATACTGTGTGTATAAGCCCATGCTCTCTCGCACTCTCCCTGCCTTCCCCCCCCCCCCCCCCTCTTTCGTTTCTTTCTTTGGCGTTATGACCTGAAGGGAACAAATGACTCGACCTGGGTGCCGCGGGACCATTACTCTTCACGCAATCATGGCATTACATTTTTGCCCTCTCCTCTCCCCCCCCCCTTCCCCTTTTTTTCTTTCCTTGCCGTCCACCGAGGAGTGCAAACAGCTGTGCTTGATGGTCCCTTTGTACCCAAAGCAAGAGAGGCTATAATCCTCCGACATATAATCCTCCGTAACAGAACATCAGACACTCAAAGACATGGTTCAAGATGGCTACAGTTTCTCAATCTCTGTAGGCGCTCGGTTGAAAGCAAATAAAGTCATGATCTAGAGTAGGCAGTTTTTCCTTCTTGGCAACTGAAATACTGCACAACTGCGGAAAGAACCAAAGGCTTGAAAGGTGGCAGAGGTTTAAACCAGTCGGGCGGTTGAGAAATATACCTCAGCTCGCCAACTAGTCATGGATGACAGTGAGGTGCAAGAAACCCATCCGTGCATCTGTCTCTTCGGAGGGGGAGAGATATGAAAGATCCAATTTCTCGGAAAGAAACCATTAGGCGTGAAGCGGACGGGGAGGGTTTCCTGTTTTTCACGAGCGAAGGAGCCACGAGACCCACCCTGAACGGATCCAGGACTTCCCCTCGGGCGAAAAAAAAAGTTTTCTCCCTTCCTCCTCCCAAAAGCATTTCCAGCTATTCTCACTCATGAATTTTCCCACAAGTGAGAAGGCAAACGGGATTCCGCTGAAAGGGAAAGAGGTTTTCTTCCTAACTGGATAGGTTCTGTGCACTTCTTATTTACCCATCTTTTCTATTGCCCCCCCTCCTCGTTTTCTCGGAAAAGGTGGGGCTACGATCTCAAAATGGACAGACAGACAGACTAGGCGGCTGTAACGTTCTTGACGGAAAAAGCCGATGATCAGGTCGAGAGAGAAGAAAAGGAAACAGGCAGACTGTCGTCTCCCAAAACCATTTAAAAAAAAAGGAGAGAAAACTCATCCTTCCTTCTCCTCCTATTATTCCCTCCATCCTCTCCGCTGTTTCCTTCATCCAACAAATCAACATCAACAAATACGTGAATCTTCAAGAGCATCAGCGCAATTTTGATTTCAGTTTACGACACATCGGTGCATAGTTCCAGCCCAAGAAAACATGCCCTGCACCCGTAAAAAAAAAAGTCAATGGATGTGAAAACTTACTTTTACTTAAGTTTACTTTTATTACTTCGTTTTAACCATTTCTGGAAAACCAGAATAGGCCACCACGGACGTGACAATTCTTCTCAGATCAAGCCAGAAAGGAAAAACCGGGAGATTTACTTCATGGGAATTGATCCATGGAAGGGGTCTGCCCAGCTAAGGAGATTTCTTGTCTAGAACCCCGCTGAGTACGAGGGTACACAAAAAAAATCCACTGTCAGGAATTTCTTTTCACAAATACCAGACGTCTCATTGATTCGATGCGATGTCCCCCATATATATCCCACGCTTATTGTAATCTCACCGCAGCAAATAAGGCACAGCAGGGGAGGGTCTTCAAAGACGACAATCGCAGATCGATGTCCCCTTTTTATGGACGGTTGGCGTGAGGATGTATCTTACCATACACAATACAGGAGCCCAAGGTTTTCTTTTTTTTTGCTTCTCTCTCTGCCTTGAATAACGTGGAGGTTCCATCTGTCAAAATTACCTGTGCAGCGATTTTTTCTTTCCTCTCTTTCCGAGGTCGGGTGTGAGTAGTGCGGGCACGAACCTCATTTCTTCCCAACAGGGACAGACCAGGACCATTGTGTGTCTCCCCTCGATGAATCTCTGACATGCGACCTTTCTTTAAGATCCTGGGTTCGAGACTCAGCTCTCTCTCTCTTCTCCCACCGCGCGTCCTGTTTTTTTATGTGGAGAAGGGAGGATCGTTGGGGGGAGGAGATAAGTCGTGCTCGAGCTCTTATCTCTTCCGACACATCCTCGACACCTGAATCTCCATCCCATTTCCGACCATCAATGGAAGAAGCAAAAAAAAAAAGGAGGGGGGGGAAAGCACAGGGAAGCCTTGCAAGAGACTTCTATATCCTAACTGTTGGGGCTTCAGCCATGAGTGACGGATGAATGCCACTTCCTCATCACATCACAGGAGGAGACTCACACCCCCCCCCCTCTCGTGTCCATTCATGTCTCACCTCATCCGCCGTCTGGACCAGACTTATCTTCTTCCGCAGCGAACGTTTATCCACCGTATAATTCAAATGGCTCAAGCTCCTACGCCCAGATAACGGCTCACTCTAAGGGATTTTCATCTACCAACCCCTTGATCCACCCTTCAATTCTCTTGACGCTTTCAGCGAGTTCGTTATTCTAAGATTCCCTCAGAAAACATGCAACGCGATCTCTGACCCGTGCGAGGGCAACCATATTGGAGCATGAAAGATGGACGTCGACTTAACCATTTCATCGATCTTCATGAAAAATTTGGCAGGTCGATGGGGGAAACAGGATTTTAAAAAAGCAAGATAGAGCATGCAGATATGGGCTCGTAGCTGAGTATATCTATGTGGCGTGAGACTCTACAGTAATAGACCTACATAGGGGTTCCCGTAAGGGCTGTCTTGCCCCCTGCAACGCGCAGAAGTAATTTCAAGTCCTATGAGCACAATACTTGTAGCTACCCATGTCTACATATGCAGAAGCTTCTCGACGGCCTTCTAACCCGTCCAAATACTCCATTACTTCCCTAACATAAAATGAGCTCGCTCTTTCGAACGCACGGGTTCCAGCCATTGATTCGTTATGTCAGGAAAATGGAAAGATGGGTGCGTAGGCCCAAGCTGCACTTCCAACGGCGATTTTCAAACTGGCTGTCGTACCCAAGAGAACCAATTTCAGACGAAACTCTATTGTTTAGGAAGCCGTTGGCATGGTTGCACATTTATGTGGGGAAAATTATGGAACATATACAGCCTGCCATGGCGGCACCCTGGGGATACCCCCAGACGATGCGGGCCGGCCTCTCCACAGGCGCGACTTTTCCACCATGCTTGAATGGCGCCCGGGAGGAAAGAAATTCATTGAAACGCGATGCCCTATTCTCTTTCGCATTTGCTTGAAAACCCCAGCACACAAAGGAAAATAGGTCGACGAAACGGTGAGACAATATTTTGTCAATCACGGGGGATCGCAGACGGAACAAAGAAAAGAAAAGGGAGAGATAAACAGACAAGATAAAGACAAATTCCCAGAGTCTTTCGTATGGAAAGAGGGACTCGGTCGGTGTATATCAGTACACGAGGGCAGAATGATTACATTCCCTCCATCTCCCTGCACACATTCTCCTCCTCATACACACAAGCGTTCCCCTTCACGGACACAATCGCATCTTCATGCAGTCTTCTCCCTTCTATACTTCCCTACCATCCTCCTTGTCACCCACGTAAAATTTAATCCCCTCTCTTCTTCCCTCCTCCTCCTCTTCAATTGCCTCCGTCGCAAAGTCATTTCAATATTGACCCCAATTCCTCTCATGAAATTAATGACAAGAGCAGGAACGTGCTCAAGCGGAGGTGGACTTCCCGAGAAAGAGATAAAGAGATTGGGAGAAAGTCTCCCCCATTAGGAGAAGAAGAGAGCCGACACAAAAAGAAGCTCCTCCGTGATGTCACGTATAATGACCCCTTCCCGTTCGTAATAAGTTGATCGGATCGGAGAAGAAAAGGAAGAAAACCCCGAAGAGCCACTGGGTAAAAGAGACACTGAGAAGGTATACCGGGAGATTACGATTGGAGAAATCGGTCTTCCATCGATGAAAGGAGGAACGGTTTCATCCGGATCAGACAGACATGACGACTGAAGAAATGACCCTGATTGGACCATGATGAGAGGAATCGGGACTAGTATGAAAGACAGCGCCTCACATTGACCAGAAAAGCAGCTTTGGAGACTAACGAAGGCAGTCTTTTCGACGTGCGGTGCCTTGGGGATCGACATTCATACAGGCTATCCCATCAATGAGACCCAAATAGCTTCTCCCAAGATAAGCTGCATATACGCCGCAGTTTCTCATGACGGACATAAAGAGGACATTCAGGAGCCTAGATGTCCATTAGACGAACGAGGCGGATGACAAGATTTCTCATGAAAGTGTCCATTCCAGGTACAGGAAATTAGATTAAGATCGCGGCGCTGAATTTTGCATGCCATCTACTGCTGCATCTAGAGTATCACGTCACTCCCGTCACACACTTCCTCCAATGTTCAGCATGAAGCTACCGCAGAATGTGATCGTGCAACATTAATTGGGTGCAGCTATTCCAGCTCAAATTCATCCACAATGGTAACATTGCGACACAGACAAATATTGCGCGTCGGAAATGAACTGAAACTCATTTCGCGACAGGAAGATAATCATAATTGCAGCTACAAACTATTACAAAACATAATTATTACAAAGCATAATTAATTATCACTGGAGGGCATCACCGCTAGAGGGCATCATTCCAGAATAGAGCTGGGTCGACTACGACATAAGAAATTGCATTTCTATTGCCAAATATCTCATTCCTCAAACAAGACGACGTGACTGGACCTGAAATTGCCATTTCTCGAGGTAAGGGAGTAGAGAAGAGGGGAGCCATATGTTTCTTCATCTGAAAGGCAGGAAATCTCAATCTCAGAGGAAGGAAGGAAGGAAAGCAGGTGAAAGGGGTCACCCGGGCAGAAAGAAGCAGCATCTTTCGGGGGGAAAAGGAAACTCGTTACCCAAGGACGACGAAAGAGGAGGAAGAGGAGACAGAGAGAGAAAGAGAGGAATGGAGGGGGGGGGGGTAGGAAGAGAGAGAGAGAGAGAGACGTTAATTCAACAGGAATAATTGCTCCTTTACTTCCTCTTCTCCCCTTTCGGTCTTTCCCTTCTCTCTCTTCCAATCATGGCCTCGAGATAACTTTTTTTCCCACTCCATCCTTCTTCCTTTTCTTCAATTCATCCCGGATTTCAATTCCATGACTTTTCCCTTTTCTACCGTCTGACGCATTTGGCTTTTTCCAGGAGGAAAGACGCGAGGATTTTTTTTTCTCGAATCTCAATTCCCCTCCCATACGCATATTATCTTTTGGCAGAGATTTCCCCCGAGGAATGATTTACGAGTAGGGCCGAGGGGGGAAAAAAAAATGTCAGCTTCACCAAGCCCCCCCTGTGCAGTCGATAATTCCGACGGGAATTGAAAAAAATCCCCAAGACTTACTTTGCCTTGCATGAGGAGCCGGATAGTAAGCGTAGCAGAAGCCGCTTCTTCGGGCAATGCCTTCTCCATTGTCGCCATCTCTTTATCTACTGTATCTCTTCACACAAACCTGAAACAGGAGTAAAGAACACTTAAGACTGCGTCATGCCATTTTCCAAATGCCACGTACACCATGTCAATCCCCAAATGCCACGTATACCGCACCTTTCCTCAAAGGCCACGTATACTCCTCAAATCACGCCATATGCACTCTCCCGAAAGAATACACCATTGACCATAAATCAAGCCCGTCAAGATACCCCTCGTATACTTCCTGTTCAAACAACATGGTAACGCAACTTATGCATTTCTAATAGGTGCTCGATCGATTTCACTGATGGTTCCAACAAATCCGAAACCAAGCTCATGCCGTGCTGGGACGGAGAGAACGAAACACAGAACGTCTAAACATGTGAAAATTCTCTCAACGGCCTGCCTAAGTGTCCCCCTCTTTCAAAAAGCCGAGAATTCCATCACCATCGAGGACGTGGACAAGCTCGACAAAAACCAGGGTCTCGGGAGACTCTCGTCGAAAGACGGTGAAAAGCAACAAAATCAAATCAAGGGAAGGGGAATAAGAAGAGGAATAGAAATTCACGAACGAAAATGGTGTTTGGCCAGGAATTTCCAGACTTGGTGCGACGAGATGGAGGGGGGATTTCCCCCGGGAATGCATCCCGGTGCATGCAATCAATGCAAAGGTTATCGATCAAGAGGAGAAGACATACCATGAACACTAAATACAGTGAACATACACATGTACGAAGTACCAGCGAAGGCGGTAAGAGGAGGTGGAGGGATTCGCGTGACAGGAAACCATATCGAGGCTTTATTTCCTCCCTTTGTGCACATAAACGGCCCTCACAATTGATATCACTCGTAGCAGGGAAATGAATGGAACCATGAACAAACGATACTCCACATAACTTTTCTCCAGCCTCGAGGGAACAAGAAAGATGAAAGACACCGCACGAGGAAACTGCATTTACCAAGATATTGCACTTTACAAGAAATTGCACTTCCATTGCACACGTCAAATAAGTTAGGATGCCTTTCGTTTAGCTTCCTCTGCCTTTATAAGTGGAAACAGGTCTCCAAAATAATTACAAGAGCAAGGACGCAGAAGCGAGATACGAAAATTCCTCTACTGCTGAAAGTTCCCATTGTTCTGTTACGGCTCGAAGGACGAAAGCAAAACAAAGACAATGCAAATTAGACGACTACAGCCGTGATTTGGCAGAGGAACCTAGAGAGTGCGTCTCATTAGCACATTGTCCAAATGCCTCGAATGTCTCTGGAAACATTTAAAAAAAAAAAGAAAAACAAGGCAGCCACAGCGTTATGACAGATCTTCATTTAGAGACGAGAAGGGGTATCCAGTGACTAATTACGAGTAATGACTAATTCCAATGCCGAGTGGGTTCAAGCCCTGATATTTCTGCACGAGAATCTGCGTCCTTGAGCCATGCGATCAACTCAGATTTGTCTTTGGATCAATGAGAAATGGAAGCCAGGTGTATGGGTTCTCTTTGCGTGCAGAAGAGGAATCTAAGGTGAAACAGGCCTGGCATAGGAAAAAAAAAAAAGGAAAAAAAAACATGCTCAGGAAATTGCGGAAGCCGAGCTCAAACTTCCTTGAATATAAAGGAAGATAAGGCCCCATTACGATCACGTTTCAGCCTGGAGTGGGTGGCCATTACGCCACTCCTGGATGACTTTCATCCCTCTCCACGAATAGATATAAGCCTACCATGTTTTCTTCTTATGAGACCGGTAGGACCCGAGAAGAAGAAAGGGATTATATGGGGAGAGAATACACAAGAACAAGGAAGGGAGATGGAGAGATCGTTGGCGCTAATCCGATTTCGCGATCACGAAGCCGGGATATCGCTGGGCCCACTTTGCTTTCTATTATCTCTTATCCTAGAAGAGGAATCCCGGAGTTCTTTTTCCCCCCTTGGATCGACAATCGAATCAATGCTATCTTCCGTGTATTGACACTATCAAGGTCTACGAAGCCGAAAAAGAATATCCTTCACGAAAGTGCGGTGGCTCCAATAAATGTCATACCGAGCTGTAAAAAAGCTTCATTACCTGATGAATGTCACGACACCAGCTCAACTCCCGTGATCAAGAAGCACCGAAGGAGGACAGATAGTGTGCGTGACAGCCGGAGATTTCATGACGTTTTCATGCAATTCAATTGATTCCGAGTCCCCGCTCATGCGTGGCCCGAACGACAAGGGTTCATCGGGGACGTCACCACAGACAGTCCCCAAAGCACATGGAGTTGAACAGAAGCCAAACACCCTGAAAAGGCCCCAATGCCTTGACACAGTCAGACCATCCATCACCTCCGACTCAATAGACAAGCCGAGAAGGAGGAGGGACCGGAGAGGGAAAAGCCACACTCTCAACAGGCGCACTCAACAAGTTTTGTCGACACCCATCAAAATATTTGGGGTGAGCACCGCTCAGCTCCTCCATTCCCATCCCAGCATCTCACGATACTTTAGGGGTTTCCGCAGACCATGGGATCCGGTCCCTAAAGAGCAATTGGGAAGCTGGGGAATGGGAGTGGAATCGATGAAAAACAGGGCCCCAGGTAGACACTAAGCCTGGGGCTTGAGGAGGAAAAATGGGGTGTATTTCCATAAGAGAAGCAGAGAGCAACAGTAATCCCCTTCTTTTTTTTCCTTCCATTTTTTTGCCTCTGCAGGAGTGAAATCCAATCCAAGGAGTCTCCTTCCTCTCCATCCTGTGTTTCATTATATATTAATCACACTACGGAATCCTCTTTCCACTAAGAGCCTTACCAAGAGCCTCACTCTTCACTCTTCATTCTTCCTCCTCTCCTCATCAGTAAGTGCAACAAGGTGCATTTTCAGAGATTAACCCCGGATCCAGCAGAGAAAAGAAAGGGAGATCAAGAGACACCATCTTGAATTATATCCTTCCATTCTTTCGATAAGCACATCCCCGAGGCCACTGAATCTCATGAATCTCGAACTTACAAACCCTGACATTTGGGTCGCTGGCAGGAGAAACACTTGATAAGAGTTTCCGACTAATCTAAGCATCAGAGTAAAGGTATTAAAAAAAAACACTAGACAGTCATGAAAAATTCAGATAAAACCGACATATCAAAAGCGGGTGGATGGTGGATCCTCTTCGCCAATCCGAATAGAGACCGGAAAAATAAAATTAAAAAAAAAGACAAAGGCGCCTAAGAGTACATGACAACGGAGACATTGTTATTTTTGGCTCGGAAACGGGGAAGGAACGAAGAAAGGAGTTTTACTACTTTGATCTCAAGCCAAATTTCCTTCTTCCTCGCCCCACTCTCCGTTTCCCAGTCTCATTCTCTCATCTGCACGTGCCTTTTACCACGACCACAGTCCCTCTTCCACATGGGAGAGGCACGAATGAAAACAATTACATAGACATCGACTTGTGATACGGATATACATAATCGACAGTCGCCTGCAAGTGCATGGTGCATCACTGAAAAACATTTGAAATACTATTTGAGAGACGAATATGCAAACAACATCATGCGGAACGTCTATATAACGATTCTCGCCATCTCCAACGACCAACATGAAATGCAAAGCAGCAATAAAGATTCTGTCTCACGCTGGAAGGAACCCACAATGTCATCCCAAGTCCAAGGGATGGGGAAAGCCATGTACAACAACGAGAGCTCTTTCACATAATAGGAGGAAACGAGAGAGAGCAAGACAGACAGGAGGGACGGAGACACAGAGAACCTGGTTGCCATGGCAACCCGTGGCTTCATCCTCTCTCTCTCTCTCTCTCTCTCTCACATCATCAAGAAGACGCCCCTCCTTTCTCTATTTTCTCTCTTTGTTCTGCCCATCCATCCATCCATACACCCATCCCATCGAGGCAGGTTGATTCCCAACATGACGAATGTACGCGCATACACACATACATTTTCCCACCCGTATTGGACGTATAGAAGGCGATCAACCCCCAAGTGGCGACAAAAGGAAGCCGTCCGAACCAGGAAATGAGTCCATGATTGATGGTGACATAGGCCTTGCATGACATCATTTCAATTTTGGGGGATATGTGAAGATTGAAGACGAAAGGATGTAATTACGTAAGATGGAGGATTCTCCGAAATCCCGGTTCACTCGATATTCGACAGCAATTGAATCCTTAAGGGGGAAGACTTTGACGTCAAGATATGGGGGAGGGGGAACGGGGAGGACTCATATCCCAGATACTAAATTATGCAATACACTCGACTCTCTTGAGATAACGAGAGAGCGAGGGAGGGACGAATATGTGCAAACAGCGGGGATGAAAAGCAGGGAGACCTCAAGCGACATCCAGAGGAGAGATAGGGTGGTGGCCTGCATGTGTGTTTTGCTTCCCCTGTGTGTTGATCTTGGCCATCCTCGCTACCTTCACCGTGTTTTCCCATCTTCTCCCCACCGTCCTCCCGAGAATGCGCGATGACAGATCGTGGACATGATATTCTGTCGGCGAAGATCCCCCGTCAGGATCGAGTATCTGCCTCCGCGTGACCTTTTTTCCCCATTGTTTGCGACACCGCGGGAGAAGGAGATCGCCAGGAAAGATGAATTTCATGAATGTTTCACATTTGCAATTCCCATTGCCTGGGTCCTAAGATTTTTGACGATGGAATAGGAATACATCGATGTCGGGGCCAGACGGAACCGACTATCGATGTCAACGAATGCCATTTGCGAGGAAATAACGACCAGGCAGATAAGATTCGGGCCTAATATTTCTGCCACTTCTCTGAACAGACGATGCTTGTCGGCGGGCTGCTCCCCCCCCCCCCCCCCCTTCCCTCCCCGAATAGTTTATGCAAAAAAGTATGAGGGAAGAATGAGGATAGAACAAGCAGATATGACTGGAGTGGGATTCTATTTTTAGAGGGTTATCGAGGTCCTCGAAGACGGCAAATTGGACGCATGCAGCGTTCCAAAATACGTATGTATTTGTTTTACCTAACTCCCTTCGTAAAAAGCAGATTCCCACACACAAGTGACTTGATTCCGAAATGCCTCGCGCATAACGGCAGATTTAAGAATCAAGGCTAATTCCATTATGGAGCCGAGGCTTCTCCCTGGGGACATCCACTCTTCTCTTCAAGTTTTCGTCAAGCCTTCCATCACCCCAACATTCCATTAAAGAACGTTCCTTTTCCTCCTCTTTCACGCATCATCGCATTAGCATTCATCCCCAGTAAAACTTCTACTTCCAAAGTAGGCATGAAGATAACGAGGCAAGAGTAGCACTTTATAACCATATCACCCCCGTACGAAGTTGAAGATTCCCTCTCACGCCACGATCCAAATAAGAGCCAGATCTCGTGGACCGAATTTCTTCGCGGGGACATGAATCAGAAAAAAAGGGAGACGGATGAATCTGGTTTAGAGCTTACCGGACCGGAAGAGAAACGTCAATCATCATCAACCCTATCGCCTCCCATTAGACCACAACACGCTCACGTATTGAGGCCGATCCAAGAATAGATGCCTACTGAAATAAATATCAATGATCTTGTTAGAGGGCTTCGACTGTCCTCCTCAGGGATTCTGACGACATCGAGGATCAATGTAGATGAATCACGTCATGCGTCCCCCACTCCCCAAAAATATATCCCCAACGATACCATCATTAATTCATCCTCAATCAGGACAGCTCATCCATAACATGATGGATCTACTTGAGATGCATATCTCGATACCCTCTTTCCTGGAGTGTCACGGCCACAAAAACCTTGAATATTTCACAGCGTAGATATGCAGATCATCAGATCCGGACATATCACGATATGGCCAACACGCACCCGCTTCCCACGGGAATCCCTTAAACCGACCCCAGCCCATGTAAACCCTTAGATCAAGCGCACTCGAGATCAGCTGACATCGAAAATGGCTGAACAACGCGTATGCATCAACGGTGGGTCGACTCCGTGTTTCTGTGCGATCTGGGGATGATACTCTGTACGCTGCGGGCAAGCTCCCAAGGCAACGCGTCATCGCAACTCTAGTCGATTTAGAAGTCAGCTTCAGCTAAGGTCAACTTAGGTCAACTTCAGCTTTCCATAGAAATTTCCACGGAAACGTGAGCGTCATTCAGCGTCAGGTGAGAGGTCGTCAGGCAAGCAGAGTAATCCGTGTGAAAGGACAAATTTTTAGCAGTGACTCAAGCTCGTCAGTGAGACAGTCAGGGGCCATGATTGATGGCCGAGTCCTGAGAAAATGAAGAGGAAATCAGGGAGGGGAGAAGACGACACCCATTCATCATGGATTTGGCCCCGTGCATTGACTCATAATTATGCCAAGTCTCGAAATGGGGTTATCTCCCTGGTTGAAGTATGACTTCACGACAACAGGTGAATGACAGCTAATTCTCCGTGCCCTTGAACCGTTCGATTCATACCTAAATCAGTTTATTATGCGACATAGCTTTCCCTTCTCGATACAACTTCCGGAACTCGTGTTCACGACCACACATTAACGCCAAAAATTGGCACGCTAACTCCTAAATTGGCAAATGTCCTTCCCTCCCCCAAAGTTCTCTGAGTCCATCAAGCTTCATTTATAACGGTCCAGCACTCCGTGTTCTGCCAACACGTGGTTGGAGAGATGTTTCGTGTCCTGCTAACGATCCATACTGTTCAACCAAGAGCCGAAAACGACATTTTCCGAGAAATGAAGTGCCGATGAAATCGCTTTGAGGGAGGAATTTTGGGATTTCCCTATTTTGTAGGTTCATAGGGTACAATTTCCCTCGAACTTTATACAGAGGACTTAACAGTTTCATCCTGAATTCAAAGGAGGCCCCTGAAAAGCTCATTTCCCAGAATAGCTCTGTTATCAGCATGTAGAATTCATGGCATGTCCCTAATTAAAATTCATAAGTTCGTAAATCAGTTTGTGCCATGCACAAGGCCTAAAAAGCAACCGGAAAGTGTCCTTAAATTACGGTGAAATGGTAATAAAGGAATGAAAAACATTTTGAACGCAAGAAAAGACTTCGCTGAGAATTTCCTTTGTTTAATAGCCCATATCTTCGAATATTTCGCATTCTTTGCTACAGTCCCATTTGGTTGTATCCACGGGTGCCAGGTAGCGCGATATCAGTATGATACTAATGTACCTTTTTTTTTCAATACACACAAGTATCGCATTAGCACTGCCATCACGCTAATAAGGGCCTGTCCATACAGCCCCGAGCGTCCATTTTGGGTGTGAATCTTTACTTGCAAATAAAAGTGCCCGTTTAGATTGAAGGAATTTAATCACCTCACTGCAGGTAAACCGAGAATCGGAACACACCAATGTTATGCTGCCACGTAAGTCTCGTCCGAGCAAAAACTACTCAAAGTTTTCAGGCTCCACTAGAAAGAACTGTACAAACGACCATCGTCCCTTCCTCTCAAGGCTGCTCCATGGCGATAGAAGCATCGGATGCATGCATCGGGGGTGCGGCTGGGGCATCATCCAACTTGCGAGGAACCGTCTCGAGAGCCGTCGGTGCGCCCTTCGACTTCTCCAGTAGCTTGGAGGCACAGCATTCAATGAAGATCCCCCCAATGGGAGCCGAAACCAGGATAGACATGACGGCAATCGTGAGGATCTCCCGACCCCATTCGATATGCTGGGGATTCGGATTGCTCATGGCCTCGGCCGTATCCAGAGCCGTGAGGCCGATCGCTGCCTGCACTGTGGCCTTGGGCGACCATGCGATCGCTGCAAACACCTTCTCTTTTAAATTGAAATGACCACCTGAAACAGCAAGAAACGCTGCAGAGCACCGAAAGAAAAGGCCAACGAAGAGGATTATGAGCCCATAGCCGACAGTGGTAAGTTTGAGCTGAACGAAGTCGATCTCAGTCCCGATGAGACCGAACAGAAGAGGCTGGAAGACGAGCCAGAAGTAACCAAAGACGAGCGAGACAGGATTGTTGTCACCATAGCCTTGACGCCGCCAACCGATGCTGGCCACAAATGCCAGCGTCACCACTCCCAGAGCACCAGCTGCGTGCATTCCGATGGCCATGCTTCCAAAATAAGATGTGATGCCACCGATCATCAGCAATAAGGAGCGGATCTCTGCTACGGCAAGAATATCTTTGTGATTCGGGATGAACCAGAAAATGATGCCGAGGATGATGCCGTAGGTAAGTCCGACCGTGACTTCTGCAAAGGGCATGAAGATCTTCTTGATGATCGAACCCTGAGAGAAGGTGATGCTCAAGAAGACGACAAAAGCAGAAATAGCGAGGACATTATCGATGGAGGCTGCTGCAACAAGCAGCGTCTGTACACCCTTTTCGACACCATAGCATCGCGCTTGTATGTTAAGCATGCAAGGCACGACAACGGCAGGGGAGACGGCAGCTAACACGAATCCCAGCATGAAAGCCCAAGTCCAGGGAAGACCGAGGATTAAATTCGAGAAGCAGGCCACCGAGATCGCCTCGACGATGCACGGCAGAAACGCCAATCGAATCACCATCAGCCTCAACCGCCTCAACTGCTCTGGATTAAGCAGAAGCCCCGCACGGATGAGAATGATGAACAAGGCGAGGCCTCGAGTCTTGCTAGCCCAGTCCTGCTTGAGCGGTTGCTGGGTCCAGGCGGTCTGACGCTCCAGGTTACCCAACACCATCCCGACGACCAGCATTCCAAGGAGGCCGGGTAGACCAGTGATCTCCGTCAGCGATCCAGCCAGGAGACAGGTGAAGAATAGGATATATAGCTTGAAAAGATTCCCATCGAGGAGCATCTCGTGACCCGTGAGTCCATATCCGGCCAACCAGACCAGCGGAACGGCCAAGACGAACGCATACACACGACCCAAATTGATTCCAGGAGGGCAGAGCAGCTGTTCCTGCAGACGCTCACATCGCGTTGCATTCGATGGGGGCTCCCGTTTCCCACGCAATAAGCACTCATACCAACGAGAGGTTGATATGGTATCGGGGACGTCATCGCATCGATGCGAGGGGGAAGCTTCAGCTTGATCTTGCATCAATGTGGAGGTAGAGGAGGAAATTCAGAGAGAGGGAGCAAGGCGCGAAGTTCTTTCACGGCAACATAAACACCTTCTGTTTTCACATTCAGGGGAAAGATTCCCAAGATCAGCCTGGAAATGCATGAAATCCATAATCGAGACGTTATCATTCAGGCCCCGTAGCGCGCATAGCCCCTCTTAAGCCCCTCCCGCCAAGCCCGCATGACGTCACGAACGCAAAGCGGCGTGGACCGTCTTACAGTTCTTTCACAGTTGGACCGGGAAACCGAAACTTTCTTTGTCATTCTCGGGGACTCTCCCTTCCCAATCCTAAGAGGTGGAGCAACCAAGCATTCCAAAACTATTCCTCACCCCCCATTTCAGCATGCCTGTCTTGGTTACGAACATGTCAGGCTGTCGACTTCAAGGAACGAAAATCAACCTTTAGAATATTTCAAGGGAAAGGCGAGGCAGGGCAACGCTAATATAAAAAAAAAGTTGACAAAAAATGTCACACGCATCCTTCTTCTGCGTGCGGAGAAGAGGAACTGAATGCATCAGTCAAAGCAGGTCTTCGTCTTCGAGGGTAAAAAACAGTCATGAGTACTGAACGCATGGGCCATTGCCTCACCTTTCCTCAAACCTTTTTTGTGTACTTGAGAACGGGTTAACACCGCGTTTCCATGACCAAATCGCTCTTGGCTAAAGTCGACTAATGTAGGGCCGACCTGAGTTACAACACACTTTCCCCCTCACCCCTCCCGATGCACCTGTAAACGGCACGGAAACACGCCCAATCGACATAGCCTCACTATTACGTCTCAAACGTCAGCCGGTCCCGGAATCCTGGCTCTATGGATGTGCGCCAGCAAAGTCGACTTAGCGCGCTTCCATGGCCTCTCTAAAGAGCTTTACTCTCTCGAGTTGCTCGGTAGAGCTGGCCCGAGTTGATTCGCTCCAAGGAAAAGACTACAGTAGATCTGTCGCTTCCACGCATTTCCATAGGGGTTTAACCTTTGCGGTGCATTTTTTTGTAACGCTATGGAGATTGGAACCGGAAAGAGTTAACGTCGAAGTTAACGCGACTTCGAGATGAATCGGCGCGAGAACTTACATGGAAACAAGGTTAAAAATATAACGTCTCGCGATCGGCTTGAAAACGCCACGAGGTTCACGTTGAGTTTACATTTTGAAACAACCGAAAGCTGAAAATCTCCATGGAATCATGTTAAAAGGTATTTGTACCGCAACATACTTCACATTTAAACTACTAGCATACGCGGACCCTTCCAAGAAAGTATTGCTTCAGGTAAAATTTGAATGCTAAAACTGAAGTGTAAAAAAAGGGATTTCCCTTTCCTTTCCGTTTCACCGTCCAAATTTTTTTGCTATCCCCTCATCCGCTCTTTCACCTATAATTTATCTCTTTTTCACCTGTATTATTTTTTAAAGCCTAGTCTTACCTGCATTTTACAATTACCTTTCACCTGTGATTTACCATTTTCTATCAATTTATCTTTTAACTCAAGATTAACCTTAATTTTTTTTAATTTAGAATACCCAGTTATTTACCTCGGCTGTAAATTTCACCTGTGATCCACCTTTCCTTTCCTCATGTGGTGGGCTTCACCAGCAGCTGCAATGGAAGCCAGCCTCCATTGCAACCACTCTTATCGATTCAGAATCTTGGGCCTAGGCAAATAGGTGTAACATTAAGCCTGAGGCTAGAACAACATAGGTGTTGTGATCCGACACTAAGAAGAAAAGCATGACTTACGAGATCTCATGAAATCGCCGGCAAATTTTCTTTCTTAGCTTACGACTTGGCGATCTGATCATTAGTTTCAGAATCCTGAATGAACTTTTACATTAGCCTATTCCGAGCTACATTATCGAAACGTCGAGGATCCCGAGATAACCTTAGTCTGCAAAGGAGCCGATTCGCATCACAACACCGAGAACATTTAGAAAAGGCATAAACACTGACACTGACAGACTCGCAGTCATGACTACTACCGAGCCACATGGGGAATTGTGAAGTTCCAACGCGCCCACAAAGATAAAGGCAAACGCGAAAGTGCTAGGGGGAACTTTCACCTGGGTTAACCCGAATTTCACCTTGGGGTCTTATCTCTTTTTAAGATCCTGCTTGGGGGGAGTCCTTTCCCATGGAAGCTTCAGATAAAATTGTGGAGATTCCCCTTTTTCCACCTCTCTCAAGTCGTCAGACCCTTCAGATAAACATTCGTGAAGCTGTGAAACAAAGGTGAAAGAGCGGGTAGCGTTTTGTAAGGGCCATGATCCCTGAAAACGAAAGAAACCGCAATATAAATATTTTTCGCAAGACCTGGTGCGGCATTCGTTTCTTCACGCTGCAGCGTCCCAGACGAAGTAATATATCAATGCATAACACAACAATCCGACATATACGAGACTATAGACTGAACCTATAGACCAAGCTTGAAAATGAGACCGGGGGGGAGGGGGGAGGGGAAGGGGAGCTCGAGAGGAAAACCAAAGGACGAGTATTCCAAGAGTAAGCTTCGTTCTTATGTACCAGCATCACGTCAAGCATAGAACCGGGCTCTCCTGGCTCGGTGTGTTAAGGGACCGGATTTTCGGGTGTTTCAGCAACATATTAGCAGTCATATGCTATCTCATCTTCAGAGCCTTAAAACGGGTGGAATCTCAAGGTCCAAAAGACACCAAGCAGTATTACGCAACCTGATGAACTTCGAGTGCACCGAGAACGGGCAGGGGCTTATCGAGCTTATCACGAAATCACAAATTGCATCACGACCACAAAAACAGACCTACTTCCGTCATGAATTCCTGACTCCAAGCTGCACGGCATATTCTACTTGGAGGACCGACTGATTAGACGTTCAAGGTTTAAGATAGGGAGTCTCGTGGTGATTCAGAAATAAAATCCGCACACTTTCCCGCATGAAGTTTCTCACAGCTGAGGTTTATGGATAGCATCAAGTTCTTCAAGTGGAATATCCCGTATTGGTTGACGGACATTAGCAAGAAATCAAGGAAACGAACGAGAGCTTTCATCTACAGTGATCGTAGCATCTACCTTCTAACGAACTAGGAATGTGATCTCTAACAAGGAAATTGGATGACATACAAGTCCTAATTAGCAGTAATTTTGAAAAAGGCGGTCTCTCTTTGTAAATGAAGACGAGGAAATCTGGCAGCAACGGAACGAAACAGGCAAAAGCATGTTCCTTCGAACGCTAACCCCTGCCTTGGAAAAGAAATTGCTGGCATCTTTGATGCACTAGCAACTATCAATAATTTATGCTTCCCACCATGACGGGCATATATTCTGAATATGGACGCCATGAATCATACATGACTAACATTATGGAATCACTCCGGAAAGTGGAGGTTTTTTGTGAAGATCCTCCGAACTAACTGCTGACTGCCCTGCGCGCATTCCCATGAGAAAATATTTCATGCGAATCTTTAGTATTCCTTTGACGAGACAATAGTATTCCATTGAAGTCTATTGACTTCTTTCTGTTCTATATCAAAGGAAAAATAATACTTTTCAGTTATTAAAAATTCTTCGAACGATTTTCAATTTTCTGGATACAATTTCTACGAAATGTCCAAAACTCTTTAATGTAAACAAAGAAAGAATCGCTTCCGAGTGTGGAAGCACGCTTTTGCATGTGTTTCGGTGTTCGCAGACGAATCCTACCCTCAAAAATTGATCCTTTTTAAATATATTTTTTACACTCTGTAACTAATGTTTCTGAATGCCTAGTTCATCATGAATTTGGCTCCCTTTACTATGAAAAGTCCCTCCGAGTAAACCCACAGTTAATGTATAACTTTATGAACACATGTGTTCAAATGGTTAATATCGCCGTCCCCCCGAAACGGGATCCTCCATGTCAATTCAATTTGCGGCAGCATTGATATTTACCTTAGATTATTACTGTTATTATAACCGGGATGAAGAAGTCCAGAGCAATCTCTCTCCCGGCTCCCATTCAAAAGGTAATCTTCTGGGGAGGAAGCACGGAGAGATTTGAAAGCCCACGGATCCCCCCTGGAACTAATCAGGAATTAATGAAGGGGGGAGCCGGGGCCATTCATTTCCTCCAACTAATCATGATGACATCCACTGTCAACGGAGTATGACGGAGCAGCAATAGCGAGGAGAGTGCGCAAAAGTGCTTCGTCTTCGTCTTGGGAGGATTAATCCCTCACGCAAATGCACTCACAGGTGTCCGTCACTCAAGTCTCCGTGTGTTACCATACTCCCGGGTCACGGAATCCCCCCCCCCCCCCCCCCCCCCCCCCTCCTATCCCGGATCCGCCCTGTTTAAAAGTAATTTTCCTGAGACGAAGTCTCGTCAAGCAACTCCCACAATGTCTGGAGCTTATGAAAGAGTCAGAAAGTAGAACTACACAAGTCAGTCGGTAACTTTCTTTCGAGCAACTCTACAATTGCGAACGTCTTGAAAGACGCTCAGATGCATGAACGCCAGGAAGTCGAAAGCGACAGTAAGGGTAGGGGTCATCAATTTCCGAGCTGGCAAACTGCAGGAAGGCGTAAGCTATTGTTGTCTGGCTGAAAAGAGGAGGAGGGAGAGAGAAAAGAAAAAAGAAAAAATCCCCAGAAGCTGAGGGCGACAGTGATTAGTTGATCTGACAACCGGGCATTCCATCTTCTTCCCACATAGCCCTTCGGCCCGATCATCAAGGCAGTTTTGAGACAAATACCACCTCACGCAAAAATACACACAGACACACACGAGCCTCAGTGAAATATCCGTCTCGATCTCCACGTCAGCAGGCGAGCACGAAGAGCGAAAAAGCGAGCGGGGAACTTAACTACCTGGCACGTCGGAAAGACGGGCGAGATACTCAATCCCCTTTGTGGAGGGGTTTGGCATGGAGATTCACTTCTTAAGAGACAGGGATGGTGAAGGAGATGCAAGGCGAGCATGGAGAGAAAGCCCTGGCAACGGATATCCTTGTCCTACACCCATATGTTG